AAGTCGACGACGGGTCAATATATGACGAGTGGAGTTCGATTGAGCGAAAAGCGCGGCGGGCTAACCTTTTTATCTGGTGGTGCGAGGTCCGATCCTGCTCTGCTCAGGCCTGGACTCCAGTGGTCGCGGTGTGGCTCTGCCGCGAGAGCTATGAGTTTTAAAGCGAGACGAACTCCCACAACTTGGGCAGTATCTCTCCACCACCCAAAACGCGGCTACCAAGCCACTCAGTCAGTCAACCAGTCAGTCAGTTGGTAGGCCGGGGACTCAGCCACAGGACGGAGAAAAGTCAGAGTAAACCCTCTGACTCATGGTTGGTACTTAGTCACGCGTTCGACGACGATGACGACGACGACCATACGCACAAGTACATACTCGCCGCCGAGGTGAGGCAGTGTATACGGCGAGCAATATATCCGTTCGCGGTTCTCGGCCTTATCTCTGCCGCTCGACAGCTGTCTCCGATACCTCTTTCAGACAATCCGACATCTGAACAGAATGATCGTTGGGAGGTCGGATCCGGCTACCCGGTCGGCCCCGGGTACCGTGCTCTAAACACGCCGCTTATCGTAGCCGCGTTCGGCAGAGACTCGAAGTATTCACTCCCGTCAATGACGGGCCAGGAATAGATCATGGTCCGATGCCTATTCCCCTGACGGAAAATTCGGTTACTTGTTATCTGGCTTCGAGTCCTATTCCCAGTTCACTGATTCTGTTCGTTCCGAGGTCAGTCCGAGGGATCATCCTCTCTCGAAAAAAACGCGATCAGAAAGAACCAGCGGCAGCGCGTCCCGTGGATAAGTATTCCCCAGCCGTGGAGGGAAAACGGGGCCCTGGACCGGAGCCTGTGAAGATTTCTCGACAGGGGAAGGAATTTTCTTTGAGTCGTTGGAATACTCTCGATTTTCCTGATTTGCTCCGCCCCATCTTGGGAGACATTGTCTCGTTGGAAACGTTTTGCGAAATATACATTGTAGCATGGCGTTGATCGTTCCTCTCGAAAGCCCTCGCATGCTACTACCCGAGTCGCTGTCGATGGGCTCTGGGTTCGAAGCGTCATGTTTGCTTTTCGCTATCTGCGCTCTCTCCGCGTTTCTCATTCCGCTCTCCGTCATCGCTGGCCAGCCTCCTCTATGTAACTCGTTCGAAGTCAACCTTGACCGCTCTTCGCGTAGTTCGAGTTTTCATCGGCTCTTCTTGTGGTCGTTTGCTAGACTCGTCGTCGTCAAAAAATCCTCCCACTCAGCGTGACAAGAGCTCGGAATAAAAGCGCCCGAGTCATCGGCATCGACATTCTTTCCTTTGTACGGCGACAGTCGGTAGAGGAGCAAAAATAAAGTCATGCGCTCTCAATAATTTTTGGTCGGTCTCCGATTTCGTGGGTGCAACTCTCACCGAGGGGACCTGACGAGCGGACTTGTGACCCGACGTTGGACGGGATGAGCCTCCCGTACGTCATATAGGAACATGTGGAGTCTTATGAGACGCGTCTAGGTGCGAAAGACCAATGAAAACATCATGGGATCTGTGCTCAACTGATTTATTCCCGGGTTCGATATGAACTCTTGCTCAAGCTACCCTCGACCAAATCTCGACCCTCATCCGTACACTCCCAGTCAACGGAAGTATTATAGCAATTCTAGTTACAGTTGTCCCTTTGACGAAATCATGAAAGAAGACGCGTTGCTCTTAGGAAGCGTGACGGATTCCCGGAACTTCTCGAAGTCCCGAGTATTGATTCCCCCTTAGGGGAAGTGAGCTTTCATCCGCGAATCGGATTCACAAAGGAATGCTATAAGTATCTCACGTTTGCATTCGATATTTTCTACTGAGTAGTAAGTGAGTAATCATCGCAGTGCAGCTCCGGGATTAGATGAAATCCGCTAGCGGCTATGCTTTGTTCGAAACTCTTCTTTCATGGCAGTGTCCCCGCTAAGGTTCGATTCAGGCAAAGACCCGACTTGTTACAGAATCTGAGGCGCCCGAAAATCCGCTCTCTGATTGGGGACAAAGCATCGGGTTATGAGTTCACTTTGAGCGCTTTCCCCCGCCGCCACCGTCGCCGGAGAACTTTCCTAAGTCACAACCAAAATGCTTGAAGTTGACCGATATTCAGTCGCTACGCCAGGGTCATCGCTAGACGGGCATGGTCTGGGAGAAACGAAAGTGGAGGTAGAGGGGAATCATCCAGGCCTCAGAGAGCACTTCGTGCTTCGAATACACGGAGGTTTCCCCGTCAAGCCCCAAAAAGCGTACGATTCCTCATCTGATATGAGCACTGGCCCTTCCGGTGAAATACCGATGTGAACATACACTACATAGTGCAACAATCTTGACTTTGTTTTCGAAATTGGCTTATAGCCGACAGATAGAAGGCACTGTGGCTTTGTCTACTCGTTGTGTTGTCTCGGCGACTCATCCCCCGATCGGATGATCAGCGCATCGAGGTTTTCATCGACACCAAGATTGAATAATGAAATAATGATTATTATCATTTATCTGTTTTCCAAGCGCGGCTTGCATGGCTTCTTCACATAAGGCACGGTGTGACGCCATCGAACGATGATTTCAGAGGCCATCGTCCTCCTACCTAATTCATCCAAGGTTCACTGAGTGCGTAATTCCAGACGGCGAGTATGTACAGTGAAATCATACCAGCTTGAAAAACTAGTCAGCAGGCTTGAATCTGTCCCTTGTCTCGAGGAGGGGAATTCGTTCGAGCCCTTCCCGAAGAATCTCCGGAACTTCCGGAATCGGCGCTTATCTTGTTCAAGATCAACCGTATCTCGGATAGTGACCCGACCCAGGCGTGACACAATTCGGCTTCCGAATTGCTTCAGGCATCTGCATTACAGAGATCTATTATCTACATTCAGGCGCTACCTACGATCTAGACTCTAGAAGACGTGACACAACCCCCGCAAGCATTCTGAGTGTCCGGTCTCCACCTACACCTCCGAAGCCTTCGATTCGCAGGGCTTCGTCCGGCACAATAACACAACCAATACTCGCGAGTACATAGCTACAAAGGAACTGGGGTGGGAACTCAGCGAAGTACCGAATCAGGATCCGATGGATATTTTTGGCGAACTGCAAAGATCTCGCACAAGGAAGAGGAAATAAATGCCGGGTTACGCACAACTCATCGACTGTACACTTGGTCCTCGATTCCAGCCACGGTCTTTCACCACACGGCTTGACATTCGCCGATAATAATTGATAATTATGGATTGTAAGCCTTCGGCACTATCTCTTCACCTGAGAGTTCATCCGTGCAATCGAGTGATCCTCACTATGACCCGTCCGAGGATGCTTTTGTTCTGGTTCTAACTCTCGCCTGCCTCATTCATCTATCCCCGAGAGGAGAACTATTGCTTTGACCGATCTACATACATCGGATCGGACCGATCGCATTGACTAAGCTTGATCCGGGTTAGGATCTCTACATCCTCCGACTGAACCTTCAGCTCGTCGACGCAACTGCAGAGCACCAACCGGGAAGTCGATGCTCTGTCTGACGCTGATAGAGCGGTTTGTTCTCTCAGCGTGACTTCATACCGCGTTTCCTGAGTCGGCGGTCTTCTCCGGAATAGTGCGAAGCACTTCTCACATGATGTCTTACTTGAGTCATCTACCGCGTCACTGGAAAGTATTGTGCGTTCAAGAGGCGCTCACGGCGATTCGTCGATTTTCCGAGTGAATTCCGTCGGTTCGAGTCGAGTCGTCGTCGTCGTCCGTGACCAAGGTGCCTTTGGTGCCGCTTTTCGGTGAAGTGGACAGGGGGCTGCCGGCCGAACTGTTCCTGGTATTGTTGTTCCCATCGAGTCCGTGGCTCGTTTTGAAGTGCATTCTCAATGCGACAGCGTCTTCGAGCCTCTGGTAACAAACGAAACACACTTGACCCTCGAGATGGGAACATGAATTCGGATCGGACTTCTCCGGTTGGACACGCAGATCGTGTTCGGTTTCAGCGTGCTGAGCGCATTCGGTCGCTTCGGCGAACAGTCGACAGCATAGGACGCAGCGGAACGGCTTTTCCGACTGATGACTTTGATGATCCTTCAGCGAAGTTTCGTTGGCGAACGAGCGCGAACAACAGACGCAATTTACGCGAACCGAGGCTTTCTCCTCAGGCTCGTTCCATTTCAGGGAGGATTTGCTCAGAGACGCGGAGCTTTTCTCGTGTTTCCGGATCAGATGTCGTTCACAGTTGGACTTTGTCGTGAAACGGATCGGGCAGTGCGGGCACTTGTAGGGTTTCTGCCCGCTGTGCGTCAACATGTGTCTGCGCAATGAGCTCGACCATGGGAATTTTCGACGGCAGTGCTCGCACGCCACCGAGTTTGGAGCTTCTTTTCTGCTGCTCGCCTGGAAGAAACAATGCGGGGACTCGAATCGAGGGTGGAAGCGTGGCCACCGACCGATAGTTTAGGAATCCGTATCGTTTTAGTTTTTGCGAAGAATTCCTCCGGAGGGATACTCACCCGCACCTCGGAAAGACCTCGGACCTTAGTATCGACCTTCTTCAAGGTCGAATTGCTGTGCTTCGGGTTCTCGTTGCCCGGAACGTTGTTCGAGTCCTTGCTATTATCGCCCAGCATCTCCTCGAGCATGAGATGTGAGTTTGCGGCGTCTAGGAGATCAGAAACGGACGCCAGATCGTGAGGCTCCGCCTCTTCGAATGGTTTCTCTTCGGATTTCTTCGCATTGACTAGAATCTTCAGAGCGCTCCGAGTCTTATCGGAGAGAAGGAATGTCTTCGTAATGGGCGGACTTGGATCCTTCTTCAGGTTTTCGGCCTGGGGGACAAGCGCCGCTTTAGGGGAAGCTGCGACGGGATGGGAAACAGGCGGAACTTTTGTCGGAAGCGGGGAAGCTCCAGCGGAAGGCACTGTGGCTTCTGGGACGTATTTAGCTGCGGTCAGGATCACGTCGATGTAGTTGTTCTTCACCGGGAGAGATCTCAAGTCGTGGCCGGATTCCTCTTTGCGGCTGAGATCAAGGGCGTGCACGGCGAGGTCCAGGGGTTCGTCCTGCGGAGGGAGAGCAAGCTTCCCAGGATGATTTTCTTTGACTTTCTGATGAGCTGCCGGAATGACGGTCACTTTGGTTTCTTTTGGAAGCGAAATCGGCGAATCAATCGCGATTTTCCGACTCGATTCCAGCGAGAGAGCGCCCGGAACGACGGTGCGCAAGTGCACCGTCGGCTGTGACGTCACATCAACTTTAATCGGAGAGACTGTTATATGGTGGAAAGGTCCCAAAATCCCTTTTATCGGACCCAGAATTACGGTTCCGGATTTCAGCAGGGCCTCGTTCCGATCCGGGACGTTTGTTTTGACTGTGGGAGCTGTTTCCCGCGCTGGCTCAGGAGTCGGAGCGAAAAGCTTAGTTTCGGCGACTTCCTCGACGTCTTCGTCAAAATCATCCTTCATCGTAGAATCGCTGAGCGGCTCCGTGTCGTTATTGAAGGTTAAGGGGATCGGAGGGTCCTGGATCCCGTCCGAGGGCAGTGGTTTTGAGCTTACGGCTTCCGCGAGTCGGTGACGATAATCTGGATGTTGTTTCAGGACGTGCCGAATACAATTATTCTTCGTGGAGAAGCCCAGTTTGCACACGACGCACGAGAAGGGCTTCCTGCTGCAACTGTTGTTCAGGGAACGCAGGTGGTGACGTAAGACACGATTGAATTTGAAGTCTTTGTTGCAGTACTTACAAACCGTACTGCCCGAGTCGTGCTGCGCAGAGAACGTTGGGGATAACCGTTGGCTTTGCATGTGGGGATTGTATTGCATTGCCGACCGAATTTCCGACTGCAGAAGGGAATTTATACGAATTTAGAACCATTCCTCGACGTCTTTCTGGAAATTACGCACGTTCGGAATCGAAAAGCAGTTTTACCTTCGTCTGCTTGTTGTGCCGCTTCCGAACATGCCGTTCGCAGTTGGCTTTCGTTGTGAAGGCGTACTTGCAGATCGCGCATTGGAATGGTCGCTCACCGTTGTGAGTTCGTAGGTGACGGACGAGGGTACTCTTATCCGTGCTCACGTACGAACAGAGTGTGCACGCGAACGGAGCGTTTACGTGCAGCTGCAGATGCCGTTTGAGTCGATGGAGATTTTTGAAAGCCATACCGCACATATGACAAACGCTGTCTTGCTCGCTCGAGTCACCGGAGTAGCCGAGCAACAGCGAATCAGAGACAGAATCGCAAGAGTTTTCCGAGTTTATTGCGTCGGCCGGCGGGCACTGCGCTGTCCCGCTCGTGGCCAAACTCAGAAGCGTTTGAACGTCGCTGAGATCGTGGCGCGGCGAACTGCAGTTGGCCTGCAGCTGCAACGCCGACATCAATCGGGTCTTGTCGTCGACGAGCTCTTTGTGCACCTCGCTCTGGTGTCGCTGGAGATCACCGCAGCTCCCATACGACGTATTGCACACGACGCAGAACACCTGACTGTCTTCGTGACGATTCCGATGTATGGCCAGAGCTTCGCGAGACGGGAACGAGCGGAGACAGCGCTCGCAGTCGTAACCCCGGACCGAGGGACACCTCCTCGGACGGCGGTCGCACTCGACCGCCGCTATCAAATTGTATTTCGTAGCGGAAAATTCCAGATGGTCGAGATCATCGAAGTTGGTCGAGCTCGAGCTACCGGAAGAATTGGGCTCGATGCAGGTGTGCAGGCCGTCGATCAGGCTTGAGTACTGGGAGCAGAGGGCGAAGCATTTCGGACACGAAACCGCAGAGTCGTCGTGCACGTTCTGTAGGGTGGAATTCGATTAATTTACGTCAAAAAACGCGACGAAAAGTTTCCATCGAAATGTGAAGCGAAAAGAAATCGCGGATGCAAATGAGCGGACCGCGTCCTACCCCCTCACTCCCCGAATGCTTCCCTCCCCCCCATTCCCTTATCTGAAAGAACGATGGTAATCTATTGACTTACGACAGCGTGCTTCTCCAGGGCTGATTTACTGAGAAAAAGTCGACCGCAGATCAAACACCTGAAATCCTGCGGCGCGAACGGGGACACGATGGACGGCGGGGCTGGACTCTTGCGGTTCCGGGTGTTCTCTAGTTGGAGCAGCTGGCTCTGCATCTGCAGCAGCGGAGCGATCAAGGGAGCACCGCTGTGCGTTCGCATGTGACGATGCATGTTGCCATTTGTGGTGAAAGCCATCCCGCAGATCTTGCCTGGATCGAGATTTTTCCTTCCTCGTTATTCCCGCGAGAATAATTCGGTCGCGCGATCGAATTCGTGCGAGCGCTCGAGACTCACACTTGAAGGGCCGTTCGCCCGAATGCACGAGCATGTGGCGGTCCAGACTACTGGCCGAACTGAGCCCTTTTCCGCACAGCCGACATGTGTGCTGGGCCGGATTGAGCTGCGAGCTGGTGCATGAGATGACATCGTGTACCCTGCGTAGGTGCATTGACAAGCCGTGCGCGGAGGGAGCGGATTCTCCGCAGACTTGACATTTATGGCTGGATATGACGGAGCCCGGGGAGTCTTTAGGCGTCCCGAGAAGAGTGATGGCAGGCGGCGATGTTTCCTCCCGCTCCATGGTCACGCTCTCCGTATCTAGGATCGGAAAGAAAATTGAGAAAAGAGTATTTCCGATAAATTTTCCCGGGACGACCGCGTTCGGACTTCGTCGAGTTCACGTTCGCTCGTCCTCGAGCTTCCCTGTCTCCGTCGACTCTGTTCGAAGACTGCTGACCAGTACACTCACCGGTGATTGTCAGACGAAGCTCATCGTCGTCGGAATCACTCTCGCTCATGTCCAGATCCGCCGGTTCGCAGGAGCCGGCGGACGTGGTAGACAGAAGAACGGTAGTGTCCTCGGTCGTCATGTTGAGCGCTGCAGAAGGATACCCTGGATGGGAAGGAAAGCGCCGCCGGGGAGAGTGAGATGGGCGTCTACAGTTTCAAGGAGCCGCTGGAGCCAGGCTGGGTAGACAATCCTGCGAGGAGAAGAACACTTGGCAGCATCGACCATTGTTCCGCTTTGTTTTCTAGAGCCGACTCGGGCAAACAGGCCTCGAGTCACATCAATGATTCAGTCGTGGCTTTCTCGATTGACAGATATGGAGATAGCCGGTTAGTAGCTGACCAAGTTGCTTGGCTCTTCCTCTGATAAGTCCTCCCGGTCGACCGGTTTTCACGAAACCTTCGGAAACTATCTCATGGTCACGCCCCGTATTTCAACTCGATCGCGTGAGCCCGATTGAGTTCCCTCGTTCATGTATCATCTCGGTCGGTGAGCAATTTACTTCTCTAGCCGCGCATTCCTGAGGTGGTCGACCGAGTGCCACAGGACCGGAGCCCGCCCCGAGGGTCTTAGCGGTAACGTCAAGCCCGCGGTGGGACCGCGGGGATCCGCTTCCCCGAGCCTACCAGCGGTCTGGGACGAGCTCAGGGCCGTAGCTCCAGAGCGATAGACCCAGCGCCGACTGCTCTTCTCCGGAGGACGTCTTCACCGAATGAAGAAGACCGCTCTCCTCGAGAACCCTCAGCCAGCGATAGTCCCTCCCGATTTCCGAAGCAGGTTTTCGCTCGACGCTCTATCCGTCGGACGGCAGAACAGAGTGCGATATTCCAGTGATGCAGTCGTGTATCGAACGAGTCTGCCATTGTTTTTGGTGCTCCACGAGTTATCGGCACTAGAGGAGCACGCTCGTCAAGCGACACTAGATCTGTCTCTCGCAGCCAGCGGTCGGAGCGTTCGCGTTCACCGATATTTGTTCCCAAGTAGAGGAGAAACTCTGCCTCCTCCAATGCACTTGAAGAGGAGATTACGCGCATTGGGAGTCATCGCAGGAAACCTACCTATCGGCCATTCAGCTGGCAGAGCACAGGTTCCATTGTTCGTCTAGCTAAAGATATTATACGTTCGAGACTTAGCATCTCTCGTAACAGGATCTACCCGAAAAGCCGATCGCAGCGCGCCCAACACAAACATAATACATGAAAAACACAGCACGAGTAGCGAAAAAATTGCCTCGTAACTCCTGCAGCCCCGGCCTAATGAAACTCGGAACGCCATGAAGCCATGCAGACACCGCTGTGACAGAATCATCGGGCTCGGGAGGCTTCTCGGGAGATTCAATACCGGGTGCAGGTGCGATGCGCGGACAGCATCGGATGTCATAGGCGTAATTCGCTTCGAGTCCTGATTGCCCGCCTGGATTCTGTCCCGGTTAATTCGGACACGTTCGGAGGCGTTCGATCAGTTGGCTCTGATTTTACCCCGAGTACGCGGTCTGCGGCGCGAGAGTTTTCCCTCGAATCGAGTCCGCCGAGGAGAAACGTGGGAACGGTCCTCCGGGATCGACTGTGAAAAGGGCTGACGGAGCTTGGAGTTATTCTGCCGACAGAGATTCCCGGGCCAAAAAGGTAAGTGGCGAAGAGTTCGTCAGCCGACGAATCAATCGTGTGGGAACGAAGAGTGGAAGATCTGCTGGACTGGCCGGTCGACCGACCGACTGCCTGCATGCTTGCTGCCATGGATACCCGCAAACAGCGACGGAGCAACTAGAGCTGGAGTCGAGCGTAGACTCCGTCCTCCACCTGAGAACTTTCGTGACTTCAAGGGCAACCCTTATTTCAGTCGAACCTTGCTTCTGTCCTGATAGGCAGAACCGATTGAAATTCACTAACCGCCGGCAGAGCCTCAGTTGGACCCAGGATGGAATTCTAGTCTCATCGATTCTGTCCGGAAAAGGGGTTCGATTCTCGGGCGAGGATCCGAGGAAGATACGTATGTGGACGATGAGAACGCTGAAACCGCCTAACCCGGGCGCTCGCTCCGGACGAGATCCTCACCGATTGGGATCCACTCGCTCCCGTCCCAGTAATCGAGACCGTCCGAGCGTCAGATCAGATGGAATCCGAGAAGATAGGAAAAAAATTGAGCTGTCCCACTTTTGAAGCTGATAAATTTTACGGGCCGCCGAACGAAAACGCTTCGGATTGGTCCAGGTTAGTCGGAATGATGATCGGGGATGAATCAAACGAGGAGTTGGCGCGAAATGTCCAGTCAAAGCCCGCCGCGCAATAGTGGGACTCTCGGAGAAACGGCGAATGCGGCCCCAGAGAACCAAGCTATCGGTTATCTTCCTCGACGATGATTCTGAGAGAATTTACTAAATAACGTCGAATCGGCGTCGGATACGCCCGGAGTTCTGTCATCGAATGTGAAAGGGCAGAGTCGACTGAAGAAGGAGCGCGGAGACGACTCGAGATGCCAGGCAAGGTTTGATTAACTTGTTTGATTGCCACCACTCGGAACTTTGACGAAAATCACCAATAGCGGAACCACGGGATCCCATGACAACCTTAACGTTCCGAGATGAATTTTGAGTCCGTGTATCGATCATCGAGACTCAAATTTGATCTCGAGCGGGATTCGAGCCTTGGAAGATAAACAGAGAGCTCACTCACCATGGGAGACGGAGTCTGATAATTTCATCGGAGCCGATCACGGATTCCCCTCGGTAAGAACTCGAAAAAGTAACGACGAGTGAAGTTTCGTGCTGGGAGTAACCGTACTGCAGATATGACCGTCGGCTGGCACCGTTGTCGGCAGGAGAAAAGCTGCTCCTGAATGAGGCGGCCAAGAGGATAGCCGGGAAGGAGGACACATCCGCGCTCTCCGTGTTTTCACGATTTCCATAGCAACGGCCGGGACACGACTCCTGGCGCAGGTAGAGAGGATGGCAGCAGGCTCCGAGGAGCGCAGCAGCCATTGAGCCTTCGCCCTCACGGGTTCGCGCGGCTATACACTCACAGCGCTGGGCTTACCGATGGTGTCGTGATCCAATGTCGATCTCGCGCCATTCGAGCTTAACCGATGCGAATCCACGAAGAACTCACGATGCCATTGTCAACCGCTCGGTGAAGCCTCTACATATTCGATACACTGGATGCTTTCCGAGCTCGAGGGAAAGTTGAGCGCAGAAAGGAAGCGAACGAGTCACTGGGTAGATATTCGATGGATCAGATGGAACGAGGCAGATACATCATAGGATTCCTCCAAACGGAATCCGTGGACAGCGGTCTGCAGACTGCCACCTGGGATACGTCGGAATCGCCAGCTGAAGGTTCCGATTCATTCGGGATGGTTTCCATTTCCATTTTCCGAAAAGACCGAGCCCATCAAAGCTGCTGATCACCGATATCTACGGTAGTTCGCTCCTGTACATCTGAGTGATCAGGATATTTCCGATAATTTTCCCTGTCCTTCATGGACGGGATGCAGGATGTCAGATCCGTTGCTCCCTCTTCTCTATCTTGAACGGCTGTCCGAGATCTCGAGAATTTCTTATGAAAGGGCTCAACGATTCTCGAATAATGATAAATTATGAATTGATCAAGATCATGTATCGATCCAGGATCAGCTCAGGTCACCCGCAGAGCCCGTGGGAGCCGGAACGCAGCCTAATTGAGAACATGACGACCATCATTCCCGAACGGGATCTGTCGCAACCGGAAGGAATGGACGTGGTTATCTCGGGTTCGAGAATCCTCGAGGGTTGGAATCCCTCATTCACGAACCAACGAATTATGGAACGAGTCTGACTGAGAGCGAGGTCCTCGTCGAGGGAGAAGCTACATCCATGAACCTCGCTCGGTGTGGTTCCTTCTCCTCCGAGCCCTTCTCCGTACGTTATCCGCCCCGGGATATCTCGGATGACGCTCGGACCCTGACAAGGTCGTTTGATTCGATGATCAACGAGCCACCCATCAGAAAGAGCGAACGCCGAGGCCACTGTCATGCAGAGCCATTGGCGAGAACAGAGAACAGAGCCGATGAAGTTTCGCAGCTGATGAGCGGGAGGCTCCGAATTGGTGAACATTGTCGTTGTTCGATCGGTCGATGGGCTGACTGCTAGCTCGATGTGGTCCTATGGCTGTCCTGGAGCTCCTTACAGTCATCACAACGGAACGCCCAGAGAAAAGAGGAGCGGGCTGGCTGGGCCCCCTTTATCATCAGCCGAGAATTTATCCGAGCCGTCGACGACTCCACCCTGTGCTCGCTGCAGCTACCACGCTGGTACTGCTCCGATTGCTTATGTCGAAGGGCTTGTACTTCTGTGGGCGTCTGACTGTATGAACAATATGCTCCGCTGCTACCTCAGCATTATCCGACACGTCTCTCAAAACCGCTCTCCGCCCGTCGATCACGAGGTACGATTTCCGGATGGCAATCGGAAAACCTTATGAACGCATGGAGCGTTTCGCTCTCTCCGCTCCGTCACGCCGCGCCGTCCGCGTTCCTGACGAACCAAGGATCCACGGAAATTGAATAGGGGAGCCTGATCGCGGTCCGTAGGTGGGGGATGGGGGAGGGGGAGGGACCCCGTCTGGAAAGAGGCTTACTTCTACCGCGATCCTTTTTTTTTGGTCCTATGTGCCATCGACGTCGATTTTGGTCATCGAGAGCGAGCACCATCTCTCGGATCCGAGAAAAAAGAAGAAGACGACGTGGAGATCTGACTCCTGGGAGCTGGGTGACTGGCGAGCCGCGCGAGGAGGAGTCGTCGAAGAAGAGGATGGTGCCGAAGGTCAGACTCCTCCCTGGAGCACCTCGGCAGAGAAGCACAATGCTTTTGGTCCATCATCGGGCCGAGCTATAACGTCGAACAACCCTGCAACGTGCAGCTCCCAGACCTTTAATTGATATCGGGTGGAGTCCCGCTACTCTTGCTCTGCCTCAGTCGCGCTCTTTCACACGCCGCTGCTGCCGCCAAGCCCATGGAAGGAAGAAGATGCAGCCCAAGCTCAGCGGAAACATTTATCAGCCGCACAGCTTCGAGTCGTCCGTTCTTATCAGGTGTCTCCAATCTGCGCCACCCAAAGCCGGAACAGCGCAGTCAAGAATAGACTCTGAAGTCCGATGACTCCGTGGACTCAGAATAAGATCCGGGGCATCTCGCAGTGCAGTCAGCATTTGAAAACTCCGTATGGACGGGAGCGGGAGAGTAGCATGAGTGACGATTCACGGATCATATGCTGGGCCAGAATTCCAGCCGATTTCCATTTCCCGTGGGATGCCCGCGGGGAATGAAATTACAGATTTATACGGATATCTCTGAGCATTCCCAGCGGCGGAGTGGTCCGAAGTAGCTGCGGTGAGTCGAAGCTCACACCGAGTGTGGATCCGTGGAGCACCTCCAGCCACTCATTTGGAGCTCTGTTTCGTCCGAGGACACACTCGATTGATGAAGAATTGTTGTGACATAGGATATTCCTGGCGGCGCGGCGTGCCGATGAGGGGAACCCGAGTTCTCCGGAAGCGCTCCGAGCCCTTAGCCGAGGAGACATCCGGTCAGGATAGCCGGATATGCATCATTCGTCTCTCGGTCGAACATAGAGGTCCTGGTCATGTCAAAATATCTTCACTTTGTCTCGTCGCTCCGAGGATGAGCTCATCGATCCGAACGAGGAGACGCCATGACCGAAGAAAGGGCAAACTCGTTCAGCGAAGGCCCCTCGAGCTGCCGTCAGAGCGAGCCATAATTCCTCCGACACTTCGCGTGAGGGAGTAAAGTTGGCGGAGGGGACTCGCCCCGACTTAATCCCGTCCCGTGATTATCTCGACCCTGGAGCCCATTTTCGCATCGGAGTTATTCTCGAACAGGATGACATAGGTAGCTCGCTTCACCCTTCTCATTCGTCGACTTCCAGACGCTTACCTAGCGCGAACTGCTCTCCGCAGGCCGGGGCTCCGTAATCGAAGCCTTGTTAGAAAGTGATGAATTCACGACAAGTGAGTTTCAGACATGAGTCATCTCACACTATGTTGGACGTCGGTGTTCCCTACACCTAAGAACGAGGTTTACGTAAACGCAGAAGCGTTCGTCGAAGTTCCAGTGAGAATGAATCATAGCTATGAATGAAGCCATTTGTGACACTTCGAGAGGAGTTGCTCCCTACTTTCCATGCTCTGAACACGCGCTTCCCTAAGATGAAGGAAAACTGTATTTCTTCCACTAAAAGAGTTTGCCCCACAATCCCCCGACCCTCGCGTATGATGCCTCCCGATCAGCCCTTCGATAGAAGCATGCTCTTGGGTTTTTTCAATCAGATTCGGAAATAACAGACCTTTTCGAGCTCAGTCGGGCAAAAGCAGAAAATACGAGTGTTATCGTGTGGTGGACGGTGAAGTACGATTACGTGTTTCATCTCGATCACTACACACATGATCATGTACGAGTTATATCCTCGATCCGAGATTCTGCATCTGGGTCGTAGGACGCTCCTCGATTGGAGGATGTCCGTCGATCAGAGGAAATACGGTGTTTGGAATCGCCCTCGGTTTCGCAGTATCTCCCATCAGCTTGTCGTATGCACAATGAGCGGTGACCACTCCTCTCACGCACGGATTGAGCGCCCCCATTCCATTCCCTAATTCGGTGAGTTCCTGAAGCAACGATTGGCGAAGGATCTCATTCCAATGGATACAGATTCCGCATTGAAGGAAATAATATGACACGGAGTTTAGAGCCCGCTACACGTGCCCTATCCTCGAAAAACCCTGTTTTTATAGTCTCTTTCGAGTGGCTGGAACGTGCCGTCCGCCGAATTCCGCGGCCTCTCTAGTGTCGATCCCCAGACCGATTAGCTGAAGTTCTATGGCCTCAGGGGGATGTGATGATTGATTCTCGTCTCGTCGATCCGACGTCCGACGGTATAGCTATCGGCGTGATCCTGTGTATACGGAGCACCTCGAAATCACTCATTCAAACACATGCCGCGTTAGCTCCTCTCCGCTCCCTCAAGGGGTGCTGTGACCTGAACGAGTTTCGGGCTGCTGATTCCCGCCCCCGATCTCGAAACAGACGATTGAACCAAGAAGACACTGAGAGCCGAGAGCGCGTCCAATATTTTGTAGCAGACGACGAAATCAGCTGGTGGAGAGTTGCCGTCAATTGACACGATATTTCGTGTCGTCAGCCACCGGAGTAAAGGGGGAAAACGGGAAAGGAGCTGCGTCGCCGAGAGTCTCTATGTAGTGGAATCATGGTGAGCTTCTGTGACAGGCGCGGTGGACTCGTTTCTCTGCTCTCCGATACGCTCTGTGAACTCGGGGTCCTTGGTGATGCTCGAACCCATGCTGGAGTACTCTCGCACCGCATCTGAGAGGTCAGCGGCGTCCGCGTAGCTCTTTACGACGAGTCCCGTGAAGTTCCCTTCATCCCGGATGCTCAGAGGTAGTTGGAAACGTGTGGATGACCCTGCTGAAGTTTTGTTCCCTCCGTGGGGTAAGCCTGTTGGACATCATAGGATTCGGTGAATCGATTATAAAATTGTTTCGAACAATGGAAGCCCCGCCGGCTACGTCCCGCTTGCGGCGAACTTCCAAAAATTGTGATAGATGATAATCGCCCGGTGAATTATGTCCTGCCATCGATGATGTCATCCCATGCTTCTTGGAGGACAATGCGATCTCTCGACTCATGCCGGTACCCAAAGTCCGACAGAGACCCCTGTTCCCATCGCTTTTGACTCCGGTGGGAATCGAGGTATATTTTCCCATCGATTCTCATTCCGATGTCCGCCGATCGTCTGACTCCAGCAAGGCACCTGGCAGTGGCCTATATTCACGTCATCGGTCCTAATGGAATGCCGCAAAAAGTTTCTCGCGTGCCATCCGGAGGGCCCCGGACAGCAGAATCCCCGTTGCTCCCGCCAAAATCACACTCCGGAGTTTGCGTTCGATCACGAAGACAGCATTGGGGCTGTCGGGTGAATTTATGGAGATACTGCTCCTCGGAAGGCACTTGGCCCCCGGAAAAGATCCGTACTAATACCTTTCCGTCAGATAATCTCACTCGGGACATCGATAGATGAAGCTGCTTTCGTGACTTAAAACCGACAGCGTTGTCAATTCCAGGTTCTAACCGTGAGCTCAACGTGACCAACGCTCACCAGAATTGAACGCAGAAGCAGAGATGGAGAAGGATAAGGTTAGCCGTAGAATCTATGGAAGAGGCGATCTCCTGAGTCCTCGGAGCAAGCGATTTTGACGAGAATTTGTTCCTTACCCTCACAGGTGCCCTTGGTACCCTCACTGCCCAGAGCAAATTCGAGACCGTCTCAGAGAGTGATACTGAAGTACTTCTCGCTACTTGTGATTGTCATTCAGACAACCATCATGGTCCTGCTGTTACGATACTCAAAGACGCAAAAGGTCCGTCCACGATAAACTCAGATCGAGGCTTTCCCCACGATACCTCTCTCCGTCGAATATTTTGCATCTGTAAAGAATTACTTAACAGCCCGATGAATCTCCATCCTCAGGTCACTGGCGGCCGATACCTTTCTTCTACTGCTATCGTCGTGAGCGAAATCTTCAAGCTCCTCGTGTGTTTCGCGGTGCTCGCATCGAGGGCAGACGGCTTGAAGAAAACTCTCAGAATCGAGGTATACGGCAAGCCGCTCGAAACATCGAAGCTCCTCATACCTGCAGGTCAGTTCATTCATTCAATTCCACGGAGAAAAAAAATTTCTAGATGCATCTCTCAGTGTTCTTCTGAGTGGATGTATTTTTTGAGCCGCGCTCCAATAGCAGGAGGCGTACGATGCGCCTCGGAGTACTTCTTGAGCGCCTGATAGAGCCCAAGATCATCGCCTTCCGTTGATTTTCCGATCCGCTCGCAGGACTCTACACCATTCAGAATAATCTGCTCTTCCTGGCGCTGGGACGTTTGGACGCTGCAACATATCAGGTGAATGCCTCGGATTCCTTCCGTGCCACATGCTGCCCATCCATCACCATTGTGACCCATTCGAACTTAACGTTGAGCCACAAAGCATAGTTTCGTTTGTATTACAGGTCACCTATCAGTTGAAAATTCTCACGACGGCTCTCTTCAGCGTGCTTATGCTGAAGCGACGTCTCTCGATCCAACAATGGGTTTCATTGATACTGCTGATGTCTGGAGTGGCTCTCGTACAGCTTCCTCCGGATTATCAGTTCTCGTATAGCGGAGCGTCCAAAATGTCTCTGAATCATCTCGTTGGGTTGGCCGCCGTGCTCTTGGCGAGCTTGTCCTCCGGATTCGCTGGTGTTTTTTACGAACGGCTTCTCAAACATTCAACTCAAGAACTATGGGTCCGGAATACGCAACTCGCCTTATTCGGAATTTTGTTAGGAGCTGCTGCCGTGGTACTTGTTGATCTGGAGAAAGTTATGGATGACGGTTTTTTCCAAGGATACAACGCCATCACGTGGGCTGTTGTCTTCCTTCAAACGTTCGGGGGTTTGGCAGTTTCCTATGCGACCAAATACGCGGACGCCATCTTGAAAGGTTTCGCGACGAGCATCTCGATCGTTCTATCGACTGCGGCGTCGTGGTGGATTCTCGAGGACTTCGAACCGAGTGTCAACTTTTTCGTGGGAACGGCCATTGTCATGATGGCCACAGTGTCGTTCGGCATGCCTGTGAAGAAATAGTCGATCAAAAAAATCCATGGATGTTCGAATCCCGGTCGTGTCGTTGCTCACTCAGACCAGTAACGAGCCATAGCAAGTCGGACCATTCGCGTTCTACTGGCAGAAGCTGAACTCTGCACGACCGACCTTAGTTCGAAGTCGCCCGGTGCGAGAGGGCGCCCCAAGGGCGCTTCCTCGCCCCCTGGTACCCACCGGATGATAAGCTCGAAGTACAGCTTTCCTGAGTCACATGGTGCATTCTAGTTATGTATATAGTCTGTACAGGAGTGTTAGATTGTGTTTAAGAATAGGCATCAGGGAAAGGAGCGGCGTCTACAATAAAATCGTTTCCATAGCTTATCGTATATGCGCTAACTAAGAACACTTCGGGTGTGAGTGAATTCGAGGAGCATGACTCGTAGCACAAGCAGCGATGGGTCTTCAACGGTCTAGCAGGACCAGCACAGCTTTCTTCGCCCCGGTCGTGGCACACATGTAGGCTACAGCGTCACCGACGTGCGACGGCGTGAACGCTCGGCCGTGCTTGTCCACTCCTCATTCTGATTTTAGCGGCTTCCCTCAAAGGATCGCTTGTGGTTCGGAATTTCCACATACGAGCTTAGGCTGCGCTGTGATCCCCCGATTTCACCTCAAGGAGCTTCCAACAATCCGCCGTATGCCAGGAAGGTCCGCTCAAGATAAATTTCCATTTTGGCAGAAATTGGACAAAACCAGCTGTTGTGGACAGGACATGATCCCTATCGACAATGATGATCCCACTGGGATGGGACATGTGCCGGAAACGAAGGATAACTGGCCTGCCAGGTGCCTGCTGCTAGTGGTGGTGAATAACTCCTTGAATTCGGCGAATTCCGCGCTCGGAAGTTCAAGAGACTCCCGGAGGAGAGAGAGGGCTTCCGCAGGTCCGAATCGTGGAACGAGGGACATGAGAAGGAGGTAGAGAGGATTCTTCCTCGGAGGACTCTTCGGCAAAGCTGCACAACGCAGCGTTGAATCGGGAATTGGCTCTAAATGATCGCTCGACAAGGAACTCGGTCGAACTCCACGGAGTTCGGAGCGGAGAAGCTTTCTCAACTCCGGAGACTCCAATCAGCGGCGGCGGGGCTCGCGCGGAACGATGGAACAATGACCATCTGAAAGACAAGCAGCCGATTCAGCGGCCTGTATTGTGTCACGCTAATCACAATCAGAACAGAACCAGCAAGCACCTACTATGGGGACAATAATATGAAAATTGTCGCCTCAGCGAGCCCAGTACCGCACGCCACCCCCGGCTCCGAGGGACTTCTGGCAGCTTCTGGATTGCCGAAGTTCCATCAAATAACTCTACTACGAGCGAATCGCGAGGTTCTGACGCCAGGTCGTCTCCTCCGCGCCCTAGAAGAGCTCTTATTGCATTTTTCCATCTTGGAATCGTCGCTGCTGGAAACGTATGAAACCGTCGAGGATTGTTTTCCACCGATGAGATGATCCGCGATTCTCTTCTGGATTCCGCGCACACCGGAAGGAGATCGAGCGACGACGCATCCTGATTCAAACAATCCCGTGGGAGGTATCGGGATCAAGACCGTTGCATTCAGAATCGTTTGCTTATGGAGGTCCGCAGTGCAGGAGCATTCGGCTTAGAACCTCGAATGCGGAGAAACCAGCGGCTCCCGTCTGCAGTCGGTCGGGAGCCTTGCGAGGCCAATTCAAAAAGCGCGCGCCGAGCGATATCAGCCCTGCGGACAGAGCAAGTCGCACTCTACCTTTCAATCATCATTCCGTCACTCACGAACTCAAAACAGAGATAACGTAGAGAGGAGTTTGAAGTGATCCACCAGAGTGACTTTTCGGATAGCGACACGAGAAAGCTCGCGAAATAATTCCACGTTCCTTGATGGTCCCTTGGCATTGATCCGTAGGTCACGGTGGGGAACACGCGATGGGTTTCGAGGTAGGTCTCTGAGTATTTCATCTGACCCCACTATTTGGAACTTGAAACTCTCAGCTGGGTGAGCGATGGAACGGGCACTTCGGCGGCGTTTGTCAATGGAGATGTCGCCCGAGCAAGTGTCAGCGCTCCGAATCCCTCTTGCGACTCTGGAGCCGCCTGCTCGCGACCGAGCCAATCTGCTGTCACAGTCCGTGAGGTTTCCGTCGATGGTAGAACTCTGCCGAAGACAAGTACTCGTTGGGTTGCCAGCTACAGCGTCATTATTACAGCGTTACTGCTCGTATTCGCCTCGGTGGTATTCGGATGAGCGTGACTTTTTCGTGTACAAGCGAACCGTTCACAGTGGAGCAGACCTCCGAATAGAGCTCATGATTGGCTCACGGCAGAGCTTTTCGGTTCTCGGAACTTCCTTCAGCATCGTTGACTTGCGCGAACAATGCACTGCCTCCATCCCCACATTGGAGGCAATGATAGCGCTCGCAGAATTTGAGCATGTCATTTTGCAGGATGTCCGAGAACAGCTCCAGCGGATGATAAAGAGAGTCGACGGTCTCAACTCGATCGTGTTCACCGACAGAGATGGCGTTCCCGTTGTCAAGGTGGGTCCAGCTCGGTCTCGGTTCTCTGTCGGACATTGAATCCTTCGGAGAATACGCATGATCTGGTCTCTGAACTCATTCGATAATTTCCCAGGTCTCGCGGAACAGCCAGGATCAGGGATTCGGCTTCGCCAAAGCAGAGCAAATGGCGTGCTCGATCGCGTCGCTCACACAAGCCGGACGACTCCAAATGGGTAAGAAAATGACCGATGAACGAATTTTTGACTTTCCGGGTTTCGGGGATGACTTTCCTACTCCTCTAGGTCGACCGAAGTACGTCATCAGTTGCAAGGATTCGAGTCAACTCATCTGTTTCAATGAGAACCAGGTGAGAATGCATTGAATCATCTTATGTGGAGTCACGTCCGAGTCGAGCAGCCAGCCGTGGGCGACTCATCGATTAGCTGGAAAGTGTTTGCTCCATTATGATACTGGCTCCTATTCAAGGTATTCGTCCATCTCTTCGCATCCTCAGCCGCCACTACGGGAATGCTCCTGTGTCTTGAAAAAGAGCTCACAGCCTTAGCTAGCGATTTGAGCCGAGTTATAGACAACTCTTAGGTATCAACGATATATCTCGCATCGGATCGAATATAACGAGCCGGTTCCGATCCATCTTCGAACCTGGAACCTGTTGGGAGAGAGTCCTTCTCTCTGTTTTTGAATCGCAGGACAGGTTGGTGCTGTACGTGGTCCCCAAAAGTTCCAACACTGACAGCTCGACCCGAGCATGGCTGCGACGAAGTCTCGATAGCCCGATCTGCGCGGATGACCGTCTCCCCATTTGGAGCATCCTTTAGCTCCACGTCCGAGCTGAGACGGCTTATGAAAATGTCTGGTTAGATTTTGAGCTCTCAGGTATCACGGTTATCGAATGACGAATCGCACTCGTTGAGGCTGTTGCAACTCAGGCACACTTTTGGGACGCGATCTGTGATTGTTCGATGGGAGGTTGAAATAAAGTTCTGGAGCGATTTTCGTATGACACACGGTCTCTCTTGATTTAGACATTTTGACCTCTCGAGATATGGGATGAGACCTGTGTATCGAATTGATATCTCCGAGGGGGATAGGAATGGACGGGATGGACGATGTTCGTGCAATTATCCGGCTCTTGGTATCCTTCGAGTAACGCCGGAAGTCGAACGAAGTAATCAGGCTGGCGTTGGACGAAACAACCGCTCGACGACTCGTGGAATTCGCGAACGGAGCAGGCTCTACCAGGAGCTATCAGGACTCGGGTGGGCACGGCGCTGGCTCCCCTTATCGACACTTTCAATGCTCATACTGAGTTTGCCGGTGTTGTTGATTTGATAGAAACCCAGTATTGTCAACAGTCAAATGATCCCGCCGAACTCCGCCCATTTCTTCGAGGAGAGCAGGTTTCCGTCGTTTAGCGCTAACCCTCGGAACCCGGAGAGTCTGGTGAGCAAGTGCTGCAGCCGAGGAATATGTCAGAGAGTATTCTGTATGTGTGTGAGTCGCTGCAGCTGCTGATCGAGTTTGTGGAAGATAAAATTCGCGACATTCCTTCAGCATGATGGGGTGTCTCATCTGACCGCGAGCTCGGCTAGGCAAATCAAACTTGCGTTGTGGAGGAACATCGAGCATCAACGTAAGCAACCGTCGATTTTCGTGTCGCTCGACGACATCGGTGGGACCGAAGGCCGTCGGAGCAGCACACAATGCGAAGAGCTTCCAACAGAGCCGTCCTTGACTAAGTCGCCGCTTCATTATTCGCCTCGGAATATGATCATCCGAAGCAACGAGGAGAGACAGGAGAAACAATAAATCGAGAGCTCCAAACACGAAGAATTCAATCCGTGTTACATAGCGCCGTGGGAAACCGTCTCGAGCGATACCGTCATCATGTTCTGGGAAACAGAGCGCCAACGTTTCGAGGAACGTGCTCCAGTCCGGTATCGAAATTTATCGCCGTGACTCGAATTCGACGATAAAGTATCTGACTCCAGGATAGCAATGGCAAGCTATCCCAGGCGCAGACTATGACGTACCCTGAAGGTATTAACGTACGCCGTCATACGGCTCAATCGGCTCGCCAGCGCTTGCTAATCCAAGCGTACGGTTAGTCCGGGGTACCAAGGCCAGCGATACTGCGAAGGCCTCCCATGCACCGCCGATATCGATGTCGTCATTGCATTTTCGCGGCACGGCTGGTGGGGTTTGTTATCCGATTTACATGAAACTGTTCATGATCGACCTGTCATCCGCGGGCCCTCATGGAGAGCGCGAGATCCCGGATCGACCAATCAACGCCCTAGGATATATTCCTTGGCTTCCGGATGGGGTTTCGTCCTGGGGCTCATGATATCACCCCTCTATCGATCGCATGCTGTGCACAGTTTGCGTTGGGAGCGTTCCCTCGATTTGAGATTGCCAGAGAGCAGCGATGAAAATAATATTCCTGTTCGCCGTGACTAAGTGTTCTCTACTCGAAACACCGGATAAGGCGGGGAACTCGATCGAATAGGCCACTGCCAGAGCCATTCTGGGTCTCATGGATGTCGTAGATTTCTGGGTGTATGTATATGAACGACTCGATCGATGTTTTGACCACGAAGGCTGCGCACCCGTCAGTTGACGTTCCAGAATTATGATTCCGCGACTGCCGTCGACTCTTCGATGTTAAGGTTCGGAGTGGTCCGAATCTTTGTTTCGGAACCTGTGATTCACGACTGTTGTGATTCGGCACGACTCTCGTGATGACGCCAATTCAAGTTCTCGATACCGCGGAGCGTTTTTGGACTCCTCGTCCTCTGGGGCTATCTCTATGGAGTTATTCTGTCGCAAAGACCCTCGGTCCTGTAGAGACGCGCCTATTCAGCCTGAAAATCGATGAGAGACTCTTCTTTCGTGAGTGTTGGTCACTGCACGGAGATCGTCACAACGCCGAGCGGACATTAATCTAATCGTTCCGCTCCATCTTCCTCTACGGTGACGAGGGAGATTGCTGGCGGGACACGATTCAAACCTTTGTATTGAGATGAGGGGACGAACTCATGGAGTCTCAGATTCGATCCCCGCTCGAAGAGTGGTTCATATCAGCTGAGGGGCTCGAGACCGATAATAATATTCCAATCGAGCCGGTAACACAGAGGAAGTACGACAAAAAAATTCAGTGGTTTGAGCTGCTCCAATTGGTTTTTCCCGGAGCTCCCCGACATCGTCGGAGCCCCGGACGAGCTCATCAAGCTTCTGCCTGGTTCCGAATGACGGAATATCAATCACGTCCTCGTCTATGGGGTGTTGGGGGAGAGGCGATCCCGAATGCAGACCATAAACTGTTTCATGTCGAGACGATAGATGACACCGTTAGGTTCATTCTGAACTCTCAACACAATGAGAGGGAATTTCATCAATCTTGCCGACTCTTAATTAATTGTAACCTCCATTTAAATCTTCTCCAGGATGATTCCCGGAAACTCCCTCTCCAATGAGACCTCGGTCAACAAAACCTTACATGGCCTAGGTTTCCTCCAAACATCGGGAGCTCAAGCAATATCAGGCGCTTTCGTGTGGGCTGCCTTGATCATCACATGCCACCAAGTGAGATCCGTCTGCGTCTGGTTTCCTTTCCTCGATATTCCTCGAACATCTTGTTAGTCCTCCCCTCATATATTCCCTCGCAGCCTCGAACTTATCCAGAGGTCTTTTACAGATATACCAGCATCTTAGATTCTACACGCTGCCGTCGGAACAGCGATGGATTATTCGAATCCTATTTTTCATTCCACTGTACGGGTTCATCTCTTGGCTGTCACTCTTATTTCTGAATGAGGAGCACGAGAATATATATGTGTACTTTAACGCGGTCCGCGACTGGTACGAAGGTGAGTTTTCCCGGAAAACACAGGCGATAATAGGAAATTCAGATTGGAGATTCTCAGACTGGTAAATTCTCCAGGCGTCCACTGGATCTCACAATTTCCGAAAGGGCCAAGCAATACGCTCATTGAGGACCTTCCTCTCATTTTCAGCTTTTGTGATATACAGTTTCTTATCGTTATGCTATGAGTATCTCGGCGGAGAAGGGAACATCATGACCGAAATCCGAGGCAAGCCCATCCAGCCTTCCTTCATGTACGGCACGTGTTGTCTCGGCGGAAGGCCGTACACGATCGGATTCCTTCGCTTCTGCAAACAAGCCACTCTACAATTCTGTGCAATCAAAATCCTCATGAGCGTGATCGTGCTCTTCATCATTTCATTCATCGGGACAGACGTCTACGTCAACCTCTGTGTCAACATTATCTACAACTTATCGGTGTCTCTAGCTCTATATGGAATGCTGCTCTTCTACTACGCCACAAAGGACATGCTCAAGCCATTCGATCCCGTTTTGAAGTTCTTCACTGTGAAATCGGTGATTTTCTTGTCGTTCTGGCAAGGTCTCCTCTTGACAATGATAGGACAAATTGGGCAGTCCAAGGGCACCGATCATCTCGCAGCGACCGTCGCGGCGGCTCGTCAAGACTTCCTCATCTGTGTGGAGATGTTCTTCGCGGCCATCGCCCTCCGCTACGCTTTCCCAGTCAGGGTTTACGCCCACGGAGGAAACATGCACACCGGTCGTACCGTGACCATGCAGTCGATTTCATCGAGTCTCAAGGAGACTATGAATCCGAAGGACATCATGAACGACGCCATCCACAACTTCCATCCGCAGTATCAGCAGTATACACAGTACGCGGCGCCTCAGAACCCGTCCGTCGCCTCTCCTCAGCAACCACCTGTACCTCAAGTTACCAATGGTGAGAGCTCTCTTCTTTCTATCTTCCACTGATTCATCTCTCCAAACTCCACCCGATACATATCTGATGGACGTTCAGAGCCTACAGGTGATTATTTGGCATTCCAGCGTCGACAACCGCTGGTGTCTCTGCGGCACCCGTGACGCCCTCGGGTGGCGCCGGTATGACATCGATGATCCTCTCTGGCATCAATCGAATGGTGAACCCGGGCCCGGGCCATAACGAGAAGGCTACACTGCTGAGCAGTGACGACGAATTCCAGTAAGTGCGGTGTGCGACGACTCGGCGACCCATCCATCACTCGATTGATCAACGAGTAGATCTATTCACCATCAGTCAATCAACTAACCCCTCTCTGAACTCATCCATCCACGCCTCCTTGACCTAAGCTAGAGATCTTTGCGTCGCGCGTATCAATCACGCCAGCCAGGCATCATTCACGTCGCTTCAGTGTCGTTCCACTGTGTGTCCTTGCTAGGCATCAGCTATGATCCGAGAGCCGTGCTTCCGAACTCTCGAAAGTTCATTGGCTTCGGGGCCATGCGAAGCGACGTCGTAGAAGCTCACGGTCGCTTGAGCTCATTCGAGTCGACTCCGACTGACGCTTGAGCAGCCTCCGTGAGCTCCTTCCTCGGGCTAGTAAGTCACCGCGCCGTTGTGATTGACTCTCTTGCTTCCTTCAATCACTCAGCCTTCCTTCCCCGCAAGCTCTATGATCCTCCTCTAAATTAGGTCGACAGGGAACGCAGGAATCCTTCGCCGTGTTCTCTCGGATCTTCCCCCGTTCTTCGTTTATACCCCGGCTCGATCGTAGATGCCCCTGCTCGCATGTTCTCTCTTGTCAGCTTGTTTCCGAGATGGAGCGGATTTCACGAGTTCTGTTGATAGAAATCCCGGAAACCTTTCCCGCTGGTCCGGCACGTGGGTCTGCATGTTCTGTGATGTGCTTGGTGGTCGGTCAGTGCAATCGATTGCTTCTTGATTTCAACAATGTTTGAATTTTTTCACCGGAAATCCAGATCTGACGAAGAAGATGATGTCCAATGGTTCACGAGCAATTACACGAGATAGTCGGCACTGATGTCACTACGCTGAGGGCTCGCTGAGAGAAAGAGGAGGAGATCGGTCACGGCCAGCAAGCTTTCAGCACACTCGTTAGAGGCAGCTGCCCGCACAAGGGAGAAGGGCTTCAATCTGAATCTCTCTCTATGATGCACTTCAACTAATCCGATCTTGGTGGTGGGTTGCTTACCGAACGCTTTCTCCAGCTCCTCGACAGTCTTCACAAAATTATGTAGGAGTGAATTTTGCGTCTCACCAGGACACTCATCACCTCGTTGACCATTAGGCCAATTTACAACTTCTCGAAGTGATCGGTCACGATCAGTTTACGCCCAATCGTTTGATTAGCTTAGTTAAATATACTTTTTATAGCATCTGAGGACTGGGCGCGACGCGGAGCTCGCCCAAGAGGCTTCTAGAAAACATCAGACGTGACGGTGAGGAAGCAATTTAACGGAACTTGCCTCTACCATACACTCCATGAGACTTCTTTCCTCTTCCGTGACATAACAGTCTATGCTATTTGCCAAATGCGGCCAGGAGTTGCATTTATGGGAGTCTCAGGGGCTGATGACCTCACCGCGAACACATTTCGAACACCTATCTGTTCCGGGCACCGCGTCTGCACCCCTTCCTAGAGTCGTGGGAGTCTTGCTCCAGCAGCTCTACCCTATTAGGATTCCTGATCTGATCTTCTTACTCATTTTCGGCAATTCTTCATCGATTTTCCTTTGCCGCACAGTAAAATAACTCCCTGGGCGTCATTCCGGTTTTCTTTTATCGAGATTCTCGCCCCGAATCCTCCCCTTGAATTTATCCTTGTTTGTTCCTCTCAACAAACGGATGGGCTCTCTATAAGTTTTATCTGATGCTCAAAAATGGAATTCGCATCTCCTTTATTTAAATTTCATCTCTGATGAGCCTGTTTCATTGATATCTCCCTAAAGTGGAAATCCTACCCTGATCTCTTAGGTGTTCAACGGAGAATCTGCATGAACCGGAACGCTACTGACTGCGGTTCGAACGTTCAAGTTGAGGCCAACCTGCATGCGCGTGAGAAAACCCTAGCGCTCTCTTAGAGCGCATCGTCCTGATTCACCCCTCCTCCACAAGCAACGATAGATCGGAATACTTCTCTGTACAGTGATCGAAGAGTGATAATTACCTATGATCCTAATATGGGTTTCGAGCTCTCGCAAGATTTCGCTCAGAACAGACTACGAGTCTGAAGCCCTCGAAATGTGTGACATGAGGAGCCGATGCTCTATAGTGGAAGATATTCAAGAAAATTTCCTATCCCTTCCCAAACCAATTGCTTTCCATCCCAAACGTGATCCTCCAATAGTTCGCGTCGCAAAGATCGAATGACATAGATTAAGGGAAGTCAGAACACTGACTCCAAAGGATTCGGATGCGGGAGCTGATCTTCCCCTGATACGGGTCGTGCTTGCCTTCGACCAATCGATGGTTTCTCATATAAAAAGTTCATTCAATCAACTGTGGTCGCAAGCGCAAAAGCCTGGTGATCTTGTCGGGCGAAACCTTCTCAATCACAATCACCCACTGTAGCCTATCTCATTTTCGGTCTCTTTGTAAAAGATCTCTGATTGTGTAAGTTTTTTCATCGGACGGGAATCGCTCTTTGCCAACACGAACTCTTTCGAAGAAGTCCTTCGCCGTATCCCCTGATGGTTCGAGATCCTCTTCCTGAGCTTTCGCGTTTCGCGAACATCGGAAGTCCAAAGCTTCGGAAGGGACCTGTCCGCGAAAGAAAGACCACGTAACTGCTGAGGGAACCGCAGTCCATCCTTCGAGATTTCGGCCCTTCACCCATGCGAAGAGCGGGTCCCGGCTCAAATATTCCCCGGAGACAGGCATCTGATGTTTCGTGTCGGAGTTTTTCGCGGCGCGATAGAATCATTGCTCCCCGACTGATTGGGCGAAGATTACTCTGGTCAATCGATCGAGGAGATGTGAAATTACGCACTCCCCGTCGCGGATCGATTCGAGCATCGGAATCTGCTGGATGAAATTCACGGAAAAATCCGAGCCAGAGTCGAAACTGAGGCCCGGAAAAGTCGTCTGAGCGGAAGGATTGATGGGATGACTTATGACCCCTTTTGTGATTGTCGAGGAAATGATACGGGACTCGCATGTCCTCATACCGGCAACAGAACACCTCGTTCGCTGAAGTCGGATAGAAGTCCGGGTAACTTCGTTGGATATGAATCGAGAGTCCCGAAAGCATCAAAATTTTTCGGTCGGAATGCTGTGGAACTATCGGAAAAGAGGAGGCTGCCATCGTTTCTGAATCCTAGGCTGTCCGGAATATAAATCACCCAACTCATCGAGAAGCACGGCCGTTTTTTGTCAGAGTGCCCGGGGCTGCTTAGGGTAACCATATATAGTGTTATAGAGGTGATCACCTCTTTAGATAGCAAAAAAATCTAAGGACTTTGAAAGGTGGAGGATCGATATCAGCTCCCGCCGAGCTCGTCGATGGAACTCGCGAGCGCCTCAGAAATGATAATAATTTGATCGAATCGTGTATCGTGTCACAACACATCGGAGAGAATCAGTCGAGACGCTTTTGGAGGAAGTGAATGTCAAAGGAGATGTCTCAAACTAGGTTGACGGTAAATTGAGGCTACGGCAGTTTAAGCAGACCGAAGTTTGTCTTGAGAAACCTAAAGTCTGCCCTCGGAAACTGTGACGGAGGATCCCAGCAAAGGGATGGGGATGTCGTTGAGGATTATTCGCAAAACTTGTCCTCTAAACATGGATTTCATGATTGAGATTCTCTTACAAGGAGGAGGAAGAGAAGTTTCTCCTTAGCCGTCTCACCGACTTCACCCCAATCGACAAATTGCTTGAAATTCCTACCAAAGTAATGTAAAGCTAAATTCTGTGTTTTCTGTGAGATGCAGCGTTGTGTAAACTTGTAAATACCCCAGGGTGCGTTGATTGTCTCTCGAGCGGATTACTCAGATGCTACCCGAGAAAGGTAGATAGCGGACGCAGCACGAGAGAGTTCAAGCAACCTCCAGGGGCAAGCGTGTTGAGACATGTTTGGGTAAAACTTCTGCGACGTCTATATGTTCAATAAATTCAGTTATCCTGAACTCTCATTGAAATCATTCATCAACCCGAGAAAAAATCGTTCATTTCACCGAGTTTCTCTTTAATGATCAAAGCAGACCGAGCAAAGACACAGGTCATGGCTGCGATTGTGAAAGCGTGAGTTATTGAACGAAGGGATTGGCGATTTGTTCCATGGAGTCTTGTGGGTGCACGATAATGATCGTCGGACCTCTGCACACGACGAGTCCTAAACTCCGTGTGTCTTCCGTGAGTTTGAGGTGGTCGTCTGGGTCCCGAAGAAATTCTGCAGATTGGCAAGGATTACCATATCAAATGCTCGGGAATAAACAAATGAATGAAATTTCTTCATTCGTAAAAGTTTTGCTCACCAGTAGTGTTGTCCATCACGAGATTCAAGAGCGGGTCGTAGCCCTTCAGAACTCCGGTGACTTCTCTTCCTCCCTGAAATGAACGGAAATTTACGATCGAGCATCAAAAGGGAACCAAGTCGGAGAAACCCCGGGCGTTGTGTCATGTCCTAAGAGAAAAATCTTCTCGTTCATGGAATTGTTTCCCTGTCTAGGCACCGGGGTCCCGGGCTGCCCAACTTATTGACATAATTACGGATGACTTCCTCTGCGAGTGCCCACCTGAAACTTGACGCGGATCAGCTTGTCGAGGTACTTCGACAGATCTACAATCGATTCCCTTTTCCGCTGAGGCTTTGCCTGTTGATCACCTCCGCTTCCCTGGGGAGGCTGAGACGCGGGAGCCGTCGACGACATCCTGTTGGGACAAACGGTTATCTTTCTGGAGGGAGAAAAGCCTGACCCCGAGTCATTTCCCATACACATAATAATTCCCATGGCATCGTTCTTCGGGGGAGAAACGAATTCACGCGCTCCGGCTCTCCGCGGAGACCGATCTCCGAACCCGGGTCGGTCGCGGTACTCACAGGGACGAGAATTTACTTCCTCTGTATGGAGCGTAGTCTGATACTTGAGCTTCGTATAAGCCAAATATTCGAGGATCCTGAAATTCGCACGAACGAGATGTCAGACCGCGGGCGAACGCGCCGTTCCAAACCTTCTTCTTCGGCTTGGTTTGTTTACATGTGCTGTTCGCTCTCGTAGCCCTCTCCCACGGCATGAAGCCCGCGGATATCTGAATTCGAAATTTCTCCAAACAACGATTCGGCCGGAAGCGACCACAAGCCCCTCCAACATGGATGGCTCGCCAGGAAAAAAGAAATGCATGGAGTTTCCCAGAAATTGGGCTCAATCAGGGGCCCTGGTTTCGAGTAGCGTCACGCGACGGAGCCAATGAGCGGTGGCGACTCGCGCCGGCGATGCGATGACAGCAGAAGCGGGAGATGCACAGGACGGCGAATTGAGTGTCAGTTTACCATGCTCTAACTGATATGTTCGGCGAGGCCTTGGGGGCGCTGCGCGGGACCGAGCGATTCGGTCAAGGACGACGTTCAGGAGCTCCGATCCAGAAGCATGAGACTTTAGCTCGTGAAGCAAAGACTCGGAATCCCGAGGGAGAGAATGCATAGAGAAAATATCCGAGATCCCTCTATGCATTCTCTCCCTCGGGATATCAGTTAGAGCATGGTAAACTGACACTCAATTCGCCGTCCTGTGCATCTCCCGCTGCTGCTGTCATCGCATCGCCGGCGCGAGTCGCCACCGCTCATTGGCTCCGTCGCGTGACGCTACTCGAAACCAGGGCCCCTGATTGAGCCCAATTTCTGGGAAACTCCATGCATTTCTTTTTTCCTGGTGAGCCATCCATTTTGGAGGGGCTTGTGGTCGCTTCCGGCCGAGGATCTCGGATATTTTCCCCTTAGAGGTACCATTCAGAAAGCTCGAACATCATGCAGACCCGGAAGGAATTCCGGAAACAACGACGCATACGGTGGATCACATCCTGGATGGGGGCGTTTCCCCCTACACGCGCAGAACGACCAGACGTCCCCCGACCCGGAACCGGGAGAGGAAGATGCCCTCAGACCGATATGTCGGCTAGGCGCGGAAGCGGGAGCTTAGGAGCTCAGTTTTTCCTTCTTGTCTCATGAGATCACAAACTACACGAATTTATTCGAATTCTATCTTTATTCAAAAATGTCACCATGAAGGGATGTATAAGGTCGTCGCGTCCAGTCTCGAATGAGTTGATTACTTCGACTGATTTCCTCAGGGGTCGGTGAGCGCTCGTATTTGAGAAACCGGATATCAGTCGAATATCCTCGCCCGATCAGCCGGCGTCGATATGAAGACGTTTCCTTCCGCGGTCAATCCTCTCGGTTGATAGAAGTCCTGATCGAGTGTGTTCACTATAGAGCTGACTCTGTCAGCCGTCGTGAGCGACACCGCGCAGCCGCCCCACCTTCGGAGAAATTCAATTAATGCTTCCACCAGAGTTCGATCGTCATCAACACATCTGCAATGTCTGAGAAATTAAACGAGAACATCCGACGGAATAGCTTACCCCGCGCCGGTCAACCTGGATCCGAGAGCACCCTGCGCCAAACTAAGCGACACGATTTTGTCCAACATTTCATGCGAGCATTCATACAAATCCCGGCAGCTGGAATGACTTTCTTGCATCAATTTGCCCATTTCTTCAATACGATTGGCGAGACAGGCATCTTTGAAACGATAAACTCTGTGCGCTTCTCGGAATACATGCAGTGCTCTCGCTCGCAATTTGAAGCTCCCCACGTGTTTCGTTTTCTCTGAAAGAGCCCACTGAACGAACTCGCTTTTCTCCATCTCGAATAACTCGCTCAGCTCTTCGATCGTGTACGGTTCTTCGTGCAGGAGTTTTTCCGTCTCGCTCGCGACGTCTTCCAAGTTCAGCCGTAGCGCGTTTTGGAGATCACAGAGTCGCACAGGTTTGTTCCATTCTTTCCCGCTAACTTTGAGCATAACCTGAAACGGGACAGCTCTCTGCCGAGATCCGCGATTTTTCTAAATAAGAGGGAGATCGTCTCCCAGATGGTCGAGAGTCGAGAATCGTTTACCTGAGCTGCCAATCTGCATTCCACAACCCGTATATTGTAGAACGAAGTGTTGCCCTTGTTGATTTCAACACAACTGTTGGCTACGACGAAAACCGCCTCCAGCGGCAGCTCGATCGTGCTCGCTGTGAGCTTGGGCTCGAATTCGATGAGCTTGGCGCAGTTCTGTTCCGCCAGCAGGCAAATCGCTTGATCCATGCCTCCGCCCTGAACTCCGATGTATCGCTCGCATTTCGCGCACAACGACGCCAGCTCTTCTCTCGGGAGATCCTTCCTGTGCGGCGATTTTCTCGTCAAATTCTCTCTCGTGAGGCTCACTCATCGAGCGGGTCAGAAGGCCGAAGCCTGATTGATTCGCGAGCATTATCAAGTCAACTCATACGAGCCGCGATTCGCGGACGGGACCGAAGAGTTGACCCCACATGGAAACCCTTTACGAACAATCGGCATCATACCCGATGGCGTGGAGTGAGGCAAGAGCCGCCGCACAAACGAGAGCACTACTGCTACTCATGCCGGCTGCGGGAGGCACATTCCCTCGAACCAGTAGACGCAAGCCAGGCCTTGAGACATCTGGAAACCTTTCCTGAATGGCGCGCACTCCACAGAGAAAGTAGTCCGTCCATTGCGGTTTCGAAGAGTTGATTTGGAAGTCGTCCGACGAACAAGAGAAGCCAGAGTATTTCGGATCGGTGTTCTCCAGCTCGATCTTCTGTTGATTGATTTAGAGGAATCATGAGACCAATCTCGAGAGTGTATGTAATTTTCACTTCAGGATCAGCAAAATATTCGACTTACTTTTCCTGTTGTGCGCTTCACGGCAACCAGGATATCCTGTTGAACTGCCATGGGCAGTACATTGTATCCACAGTAGTCGATGTGTTCACCTGCACAAGACTCGCGATGTAACCGTTCCGAATCGATCCACGAGTCAACGGGAATCCGCGACAATCAATCGATTAATCAATCCATCAGCGCTCTTTCACAGCTCACCGATGAGATTCACTCTTCCGGGGGCTCGGACCACGAAGTCGGCAACGGCATCGAAGTGCCTTCGGAAGTCATCGCGGAGGTCAGCGACCCTTCGAAGCTGGTCCTTCTGGTCCCGACTGTAGGAATAAGTTGTGTTTCTAACAAGATCTCCGATCCATTCCCTATTGTGCGCTTGCGTCGGCTCCCTCCCCCTGCCACGGACTACATATCCCCATGCCCAGGATCTCCTGTACTGCCTGTGCTAGCTGATTTCTTCCGGTCACGAGGACACACGGAATCTCTGCTCCCGGGAAAAATCTTTAAAGTAAGAGCCTCCACGACGTGACGACGCCTCAGAAATGCTTTCAGACGTCGAGGGCACCGTGGGAATCGTAGGGAATCGTTTGAATGATGGGAACGAACCTCGGGTCATTATTAATGAGTTTGGGCGAATCGTTTCACGCTATATTTCGAAAACAGGCTTTAGTCGATTGTTCTGCTCGATCACAGATGCTAGTCCAACACGAGCTATCACCATCGAGGACCACTTGGATCCTATCAGCAGAAATTATCAAAGCCGCAAGACAGATTGACCGCGACCAGATTCGACACGGCGTCCATAAAGATGACGAGAAGCATTGAATTCGAATGCACGCCTCCGAGAGCGTCGAGCAGGGCCAATGGCAAACGGTGGAAGTCCCAGCAGAGGAGTCCTCTCCCGGAAGAGAATCGAATCATTCCCCGACTTTCGGAGTGTCAAAAAATGTTCATGTTTCTGCAGCTCGACTGTGAGGGAGGAATGACTTTGTGGAGGCCTTTCGAATTCAGTGAGCAGAGTCTTGGGAGGAACTATCTCGCGCGCGATTCGATGTTTGTCACGTCAGCTGTTCGGCGAAATTTCCGATACGAGTACCCCGAGCCGGTGAGATTCTCTCCGTGATGACTTATCCGAAATTCTTGGTGCAAGTTCCGCTCTCGATGGCGGAGAAGTGGCATGAAATTCACGAGATGTCGCTTCAGTTGAAGCAGGAGAAACTCACTTCATCGTGCAACTACACCTCGCTGGACTCGGATGCCGCCGACGTCTGTGGATCGCTGGCGCCGGTATGTGGCTCATAATTTTCCCATGTTATGGCTCCACTCTCGCGACCCTGTCATCCCTCTCTCAGCGAGTGAGCCGCTCAGCGCACTCCCATGCTGACGTATCGAGTACAAACTGCTAGAGTGAAATCCTCAGGCGTTCTAGGGCGAGAGTCACACCGAGTTGTCGGATTTCCCCGGAGCTTATACCTCCTTCTTGCGTCAAAGAGAAGAAACCATCCGCGGCGATCTGAGATTTTCGAGAAGAACAATCAGGGAATCGGCTCTCTAGAGGATCGGGTCTCGGAACGAGAGAATTATCGAGTACCGCTGACAATGCTGGAACGGTGCTATTCAAACGATCTACGGGGAAGTAGGCGAGGCAAGTTCCTCTTCGAGGTAAACTTTCGAACCCGACCCAGAGAAACATACGGACCATATCCCTCCCCAGGTGGTGTTCAGAGCCCAAGGGAACCGGGAAGGTCTTCTGCTTCCAAAGCCTGAACTTCATTCAGAGTCCGTTCTCAGAGTTTTGTCAGTTCCGTCAGTGCCAAAAATTTCCGGGAAACGGCTTCATTCCACAACTGGAATACCTATTAGCCTATGGACATTCTGCGCGTTCCAAAGTTCGGCGCTGATGACGATGACGAACCGAGGATTGCTCTCTTCGCGAAGGGTCCGGAGTCCAGTGCGCAATCGGAATCCCCAGAACCGTGTTCTCGGTAGAAAGCTCGTATAATAAGTAGGGTTCCCGAATTCCGGACATTCCATGTTAATCCTCTTCGAAAGAGCGAAAACCGACCACCTGATCTACGAGTGACTCGCCTCTGATTAGTCTCCCCCGTCGTCCTAGGGTGTGGGAAAGGCTCGACTCAGGACATCGCAATCAGATTCTTGCTTATTCGAGCTTCAAAAAATGAAAGTGTCCGAAATTCAGGAACTCGTGTTATGAGTCCGCGCACAGCAATGCGTTGTATCTGACGTGCTGATGATGATTTGATAGATTTGACCCCAAAATCGGGTTTCCTCGCGCGGCAGCTTCCCCTTGGTATTGGCAACGAAATAGGTCCGCGAACGCCGAGCACAGGCGCTCTGCCGGAACAGGGCACGGAAGATAGAGAATTCGAGATGTGGAGTCATGTCTTCACTACCGCATTCGTGAAGAGTCCTACGCGCAGTGGAGACGTGGAGCTTTGGAAAGGTCCGTATGGAAGCTGGGCGCTAGATGGAATCATCAGGAGAAGAGAATAAATCCAGGCTCTGAAGGTCAGATTATTATCGCAGGAGAGCTCACCATCGGGCGATCGCCACAAGTTCCAGAACTCAGACCATCCCTTTCGAAGCGGAAGAGTTAGCGTCCAAAGAGTCTTGGAGACTTGGGTCGGGGAATACCCACTGCACAAAGGCGAGACGATGGCCAGGCGCGCAACCTACTATTTATCAGATTGTACGGTCCGGAACAACGCGACGCATCGCGGCGTGTTACGGTCCGTCATGCACCCTGCTAGCCGTGATGGAGCGTTTCCACGAGAGTCCGCGAGACCAAATAGAACGATTTCAGCCTTTCTTAACTTCACCTACCATCAAGTTCTGTGATCATTGATTGTGCAGGGAGGAGCGGCCCGCCGAGAGTAATGCTTTCAGCGTCCGGAATCATTACTCCGTTGACAGGAATCATGTCAACCACACTTTCGCACAATAAATAAATCGTGCTCCGAATCTCAATAGAGTCGTGTACTTGTCTCAGGGGTGCACAAAGCGCGGCCCGCAGCGCAATTTTCTGCGGCCCGCGACGCTCTTCCGGGTATTTACGACGAACAATCCAAAACCGCATAAAGCGCTTCTGCAAGAGTTTTGTAGACGATTCTCGAATTTCGAGGCTTCGGAGACCGAGTTCTAATGCTTTGTAGATCTCAACACACTAATGAGCGCAGGAATTCCTCGCACGGGAGCCGTCTGGAATGCCTCGCTTCTCACCAACAAGCGTCAAACACGAGTGGCAGAAGACAGAAGACATTGTTTCTTCGCCCATCACAGATTCCCCGACGAAGAAAGATTACAAAAGCTCCGAGATCATACTCTGCGAATTACTTCCCTCTCCTGCTCAACGTACATTCATGAATGAAGCTCCAGTATCCCAAGTCCCCCCTGAAGCAATGTCTTGGCTGACGGACGGGGGGGCCTCGAAGAAAATTTGCTCATGTGTATCATATGTAATATATATATATATATTTAATGCACATATAATATAAGCGGCAAATGAATTAGCCGGCCGCAAGTGCGGAACCGGCCCCCGGAAAAAAAAGTATCCTAAGTCCAGACAGGTCCCGACTCCGGGCGCGTTCGAAGCACGATGATTCGATCTCGTTTTCCGGATAGCGTCAACCCACTCCAAGGCGGATATTGATAATATTGCTCCCGTCGATACTATAATAGATCCTCCGGAGCCTACTGGAGCGGGGATGAGCAACGGAACGATATAAATTAGGGGATGCATTGGGCATTTTTCCTTGGAATCGCGGCATCGACGTACCTTGCGGCCCGCCAAACATGTTCAGACTAGGAAAATGGCCCACGAGGCTCTCGGAGCTGTGCACCCCTGACTCATCTAATCCAGCCCCAGGACCTCCACTGTTCAACACAATGGAAAAACTTCGCCAAGCGGGGCTGAGCAGGTCATGGTCCTGGGCGATATTTCTGACTGAGCCCTAATCCTCTGCTCCTTAATCCCTTGCAAGTAGGCCTGAGTTTCCGAAGTTCGCCCACTCTAATTCCCGAACTTCTGCTTCGGAAACCCAGGAATTTCCGAACTCCTGGTTAGGAAACCCAGGAATTTCCGAACTCCTGGTTAGGAAACCTGATTTACCGAAATTCGCGTTCGGTTTTCTGGATTTCCGAACTTCTGCTTCAAATACCTTAATTTTCGAACATCTGGTTCGGAAACCCTAATTTCCGAGCATCTGGTTCGGAAACCTCAATTTTCGAACATCTGCTTCGGAAACCTTTATTCCCGAACTTTTGGTTGGAAAATTAGTTCTACGTCGTAAAAGGTCCGGAGACTGTTATCTGGAGCTAAATTCCGATTCAAGATCAGAATCAGTTGTCAGGTAACATGGATACATTCTCAACCTTTGAGGAAATATTCACACCAACAAAGACTGTCAACACACAACTTGAACTCGTCCAAACAGCCTTCATAGACGTCCCACTCTGCGGACTAGAGGGGAGTCGAAATTCCGCGATGCGGACATTATCGACTGACAATATTCCCTCCGACGACCGGTGGAGAAGAAAAAGTGACTGGAACGCTCGACTGAATGATATGAGACATTGTCTAGAGGTCGACTCGCAGTGTGAAATCAACTTTTCCAAAACACTTTGTGATGCCTGCCAGGCTCTCAACGGGGGCGACAGGTGCCAAAGAGTCGGCTGCATTGAGCCACCGTAGAGACCTGAGGGAGCGTTTCCACAGTTGGGGATCAATAGCGTCGATTCAGAAGTCAGTCTGGATTGTAGGAGCTTGTGCGCCGGAGGTGACCAAGGAAATTAGCTTCCAAGATCCTCTCGGAGGTAAGTTCCCGAATCGCACTTAGGTATTCCTCTCCGACCATAACCCCATCATAAGGGCAACCACGAAATTTAGCTCTGAATGGATCTATGTTGTATGGAATTATGTGTCTGTGGCCAATAGATTCCAGATAACAGTCTTCGGACCTCTTACGACGCCGACGTAAGAACTACTTTCCGAACCAAAAGTTCGGAAATGAAGGTTTCTGAACCAGATGTTCGAAAATTAAGTGTTCCGACCCAGAAAATCGGAAATCCAGATCTCCGAACCCGAAGTTCGGTTATTCAGGTTCCCGAACCAGAGGTTCGGAAATTAGAGCGGGCGGACTCCGAACTTCGGAAACTCAGGCCAACTTGGTAGGTAGCCATTACCCTTTGAGAGAATTGATGCAAATAATTGGAGTTGAGGAACGATCACAAAGAGCGAAACACGGGGAGCGTAGATACGGCTTCATGATCGGAGAGCCGTCTTCCGATTGGGTATGCTTAATGCCCTTCAGGCGTAGTCGAGTCCCATCTTATGGGCGCCGTGATGGTCCATTTTGGGAATAAGGTCTCATGACGAGCCATCGCGGAATGGTTACGGTTCCTCTATCGCCGTCCTGGTCATGTCGTCCGTGAAGAGTTAATTATTCAAGTGCGCAACTGTGAGAATCTCTCTAATTTGGATGCCCTCCCTAGAGATTCCTGAGCCCGGGAATGAAAGTTGGCTCAGGAATTATGGATAGGACAGCCCTACCCTGTCGGAGTAGCAGCGGCCGCGGTTTTGCGGGGCCTTCAGAAGTGGCTTCCCAATCTGAAGTTCGAATCCGAGGATGCGCAGTTCGCAATGAGCGCATAGATCGAGAGCCGAGCTCGACCCCTCACTGAAAGGGCGAACCGGTCTAGGCGGGAGCCCCATGACTCTGAGCGATGGATCTCTTCGAGCGGCTGCAGTCGGGAATTGAAGTCGGCGCGCCCGATCGCAGCTTCTCTGAGCCGCACAACGCCAACATGGCTGCCGTCTAGCTATGTCTGTGCGCTGCTGCGGCTGCTGATGCCGCTGCTGCTGTTGCCACTACTACCGCTGCGGCTGTGCACCTCTGTGAAATCTCACTGGAATGGTCGTTGTTGGGTTCGCCTCAGGTGCATATGCGAGCTTTAGACGATTCTCCAAGCGTGACTGTTGTCGTGTACTCCGGAATGCACGTATTCTCTGACCGATTCGAGGGGAACTGCGGTCTGACAGCGAAATTCTGGGATACACTGAAGAGTTCGAGGTTCTCAATCTAGGATCTGATAAACCTGAACAGGCGTCTCCGCAACTCGCAATTCTGATCGGCCGATGTGCGGTTCTGTGCCTCAACCAGGGCTGGCTTGACAGCGACACTCGGATACATTGTCATCAGACAACCCTCGGATCAATCCCTATCTCTGACCGACCGTGTTCATACATTCATGTCGACGGAAAACCTCGACCGCAAGGTAGTTGGTCGCCGGTGATGCCAGTCGGCCTGGACTAGGTCTGCTACGTGGGCAACGGGTCAGCAAAGTACGGGATAGCGGGAGAGCTGATGAATGAGTTATTCTAGTTAAACTCAAGATCCATGTTTACGCCCAATCCTGCCGGGGGCTCGGACAAGACCCAGTTTCTGGAACAAGCCAGAGCAGCTCGGGACGAGCGGGAACGCGGCCGAAGGTGAGTCTCGCCATCGTTGCTTTCGATCGTTGCTTGTCATAAGTGTTTCAGCCTCGACGGTGTAGATGAGGGATCGGACTAGGGTCCCATGACTCCGGAACGCTCTGTCCGAGGGTGTCCATCCTGCCGACTTATTCGATTCCTCGGTCCCACTCGCCTTCGCTGCCTGAGGATATGGCCCCAAGCAGATTATGTGGTTCCTAGTGATCAGTCGAAGGAATTCTATTCCTGGCTAAATCGAGAGTTCGATTCGGGTCGAGTTCGATTCTGGAATCGTTGACCCGCATTCCAAACTTCAATTGAATTCAAGTTCTGTATTCTAGAATGCATACTGGGCCGTAGCTTCCTCTGCTCTGCTGGCTCTTCTTGACAGGAGAGGAATACCTTAAGCGGCGAATCGAGCTCTGGCCGTTTCCTGCTCGTTGCCATCGTCTCTCTCGAGTTCGTCTCGAATACATTCCGCGGCAGGTTCTTCCCGTTCGAATCATGAGCAACGCGAGTCAGCTGATTTCGTTGTCCAGGGAGAGTCGCCTTGAACACGATGAAGATAAAAAGGGAGCCCAGACGTCACGAATTGCCCCATCCGACGCATTCCAAGTTTGAGCAGGGTATTCTTTAGAGTCAAGGAGTCTCGACGCCGTCTCTATATCTCATGTCGGTTATTTTGAGGCAATCCCGTTCTCTCTGAGTCTGATCCGTAGAGTCGACAGAGAAATATGTCGTTGGGTGTATCCGACCGATGAAGATTATCTCTTTTCCTTTTCCTGTCTACACCGGGACGAAGAGGCTTCAGGAGTAGGAAACTCGGTACATCGTTTCATGATACGAGAGACTTCAGTACAGGAAGACCATGAGGCGAAGGTTGTGGGAACTCATTTCCCAATGTAGACGAAAGGTTGGATTCGGTCAGTCGATGTCGGTTCGAGGTGCATTCGAATGTTGTACCAAAGTAATCGCAGCATCATCTCGCGTGGAAGTTCGTGGAGTGCATGCAAGTTCTCGGAATCCTGATCATTGATCATCGATCTGTGTATGTACATGTTCGATCATGGACCGCATTTGATTTCTCTGCAATAAGTTCTGTGAAATTCAATCAATCCAGAGCAAATGACCCAGACGATCTCGAGTTACTGCCGTAGAATCTGTGGTGGGTGGGGGTTAGCGCAGGTTCGTCAAAGCGTTAGCTTTTCTGCATACCTGCTTTCAGCTGCATCCCGTTCAGAGAGCGAGCGGAATAGATCGCGAATCATCTCATCGATCGAGGATCCCGATGCGAGGCGCGTCGTTGATCTCCTCGCGAGAATTCGAATATTTCAATTCGCTGAATTGTCGTCGTATAACTATCATCGCCGCTTTTCGTATTATCGCTGCTTTTGCGGCGAGTTTTCCTCTCCCGTAGGCTGAGCCCTGATCGCTTTGACGAACATGTGCTAATTGTCGGGGGTTATTTGCAGGTATAGGAGAGGGAGATCGTCTGAGTCACCGTCAGAAGAAAAAGCCTCATTGTAGCCGACACCGAAACCGTGCTTGAATGTCATCCTCACCGAGATCATCTGGAAAGCCGCAACGGCCGAACCAGCGAAAGAGGAGCATGAGTCTCGTACCGAGCTCACCCAGTCAGGAGACAGCTGTCAACTGTCCTGTCTGCTTCGGCATGATCCAGGACGCCTACATGACCCGATGCGGCCATTCGTTCTGCCACGAATGCATCAAACAGTCGATAGAGAGCCGACCCAACTGTCCCATGTGTGCGACCGAGCTCATAGACAAGGATGGTAAGGAGCAGGTGTTCCCCAACATCATGCTCAACGACTTCATCTCGCGCACACACCGCGAGAAACGACTCCGTCCGTCCGCCCCGGAAATCAGCTCCTGCATCATGCAGCTGTTCGCGGAAAACAAACCCCTCAACGTGAGTGACATACAGCACGCGTTGGATCTCCTGCAGACGAAGAAGCTAGAATTAGAATCGAATTCGCGTGAGATGCAGCTGAAATTGCTCCGTGAGTTCCTCGAGCATTTCCACAAGAAGAAGCTCGCCGAGGTCGCCAGACTCAAGCACGACTTGGCCTTCATCGAAGAGGATCTCTCCTTCCTCAACGCTAACGAGCGCACAGACGAAGAATGGCAACTACTGCCAAACACGCCGACGGGACAGGGCGCCGACTTTGCCAGCGGTCTACCGGCATCTGCTTGTGGGCAGATGGCGAGCGTAGCTGGCGGCTCTGGGAGCCAACGACCCAACGGACTGCTCTCCAGCCGTCGATTCCGGATGCAATCTCACTTCGCATGTTTAGAAGAATGTTATTTCTCCACACGTCAAATGTTCCGCGACGAGGCGACAGCAGCCGCCCATCCCGCAGGAATTGGCTCAGCTTCGGCGAGTGGCGAGAAGATCGAGCAGCCGGTCGCCCCGCGGGGTCTGAATCGGTTCGCCGAGAGTTTATCGAAGTTCACCCGATATTCGCAGCTGCGATCGCTGTCGACTCTGAATTATTCCTCTGACCTGTTGAACGGGACGAGTATCGTCTCGAGCATCGAGTTCGACAAAGACAACGAGTACTTCGCTATTGCTGGCGTGACGAAAAAAATCAAGATGTTCGAGTATTCGTCGGTGATTCGGAGCGACGTCGAGATGCACTACCCCATCCACGAGATGGTGTGCAATTCGAAAATCAGTTGCATCTCATGGAACACGTACAACAAAGGAATGCTCGCCTGCAGCGACTACGAGGGCACCGTCACGCTCTGGGACGCGTACCGGTCCCAGAAGCTCTGGGTCTATCAGGAACATGAGAAGCGATGTTGGTCCGTGGACTTCAACAAAGTCGACACGAAACTCCTTGCGTCCGGGTCGGACGATACCAAGGTCAAGCTTTGGGCCATCAACGAACAACATTCGGTGGGCTCGATCGAGGCCAAAGCGAATGTCTGCTGCGTTCGCTTCAACCCCGATTCGAAATACCACCTGGCCATGGGCTCGGCCGACCATTGCGTACACTATTACGATCTGAGGAATTGCAAACAGTCGTTGGGGGTTTTCAAAGGCCACAAGAAGGCGGTGTCGTACGTCAAGTTCCTCAACTCCAAGGAGCTGGTTTCCGCGTCGACGGACAGCCAGCTCAAACTCTGGAGAACAGACGATCCTCAATGTCTACGCTCCTTCACGGGACACGTGAACGAGAAGAACTTCGTTGGATTGGCCACCGACGGTGACTACATCGCTTGTGGAAGCGAAAACAACGCTCTCTACATATACTACAAAGGAATATCAACTCAGTTCCAGACGTGGTCGTTCAGGAACTCACCGAGCCCCCGTGAGGACGGCCCGGGTGCTTCCCATGAGAATAGCGAGTTCGTTTCAGCGGTATGTTGGATGACCGGCACTCCGGTTGTCGTGGCCGCCAATTCTCAAGGAACCATAAAGCTGCTGGAGCTCGTGTAGCTCCACGCTATCTCTCGATGTGGCTCGCCCACGGTCCGAAACTCATGGCATCGCTATGACGCTTGCTGTCGTCCGGCCTTTTCGAACGGCTCGCACTTCAGCTAGTACAGCTGTTCCAGCTGATATCTGTGACAGCTATCTAGGCAGCTGCAGAGTCAACTCATTCCAGGAGAACCTCCTCACCGTAGATTTGAGCGGATCGGAACCCGTGCCCATAATGACCCACATTTCGCAAAGTCGACGTTTGGAACGGGGCTACGTATTTTCCGGAACGATTCTCAAGGTACAAGCTTTCCCGTTATCGATCGTATCCTCTTCCTTTGATGCCTTGAAATCTTGGCTGACATCTTGCATTCGAATACTTTCCCTCGACCAGCGCGGCAAATAAACGTTCCGGCTTACCTACGTAGGTTCAATGTGATAATTTTGTTGTCGGATGATACATCGGAGATTCCGCCGAATTCATCACCGCAGACTCGCAAAATCTACATCTGCAAGCTTCGCGGACCTTGACTCTGTCTGCTCTGAGAGTGTTTCGAAATAATACGGCTCAAGGATAAGGCAGTCCGCCCGCCTTCTCGATCCAGGCAAGGTCCTAGCCGGACCCGGCTTCGATCTTATGAGGGATGCGTGGAAAGAGTCTCCGCTGCTTTCTTCTTTGCTTTCGAATGTACAGGGAGGGGTCTGTAACGGTTACCGGTCCGCCGCCTTCCAGAAGTGAAGCATTGTAAACTTCTCTCTTCATCGAAGGATCTACGCTCAGTTGCGAACTCGAAGGAGAAATCTCACAATGTTCAGAATCTATCCTTATCAGAATGTATGGTTATGTATGTTTGTATGTATGTATGTGCGTGCGCGAGAGAGGATGCCTAAGAAATTCGAGAACGCTGGTCTCGGTCATATGACTTAGGAAATGGGTATATCAAATTGAAAATGAATACACTCCGGAATCGTACTCTAGGCATTTGTATGATGAATCATGACAGATAAAGCGGGGACGGGATCACCAATTGAGCGGAGTTACCGGATCGGCTGTTGTTCTCATCTGAAAGCACAATTATATGTGACGAAGAATCCCTATTAACAAATTCAGGTACAATATCTAGGAACGCATAATGAATAAAAAATATTATATGGATGTTACCTGTGTTTTTCGTGATGATCTGTCGTCTTCCTCCAAAATACATCTCCGAAACCTAGAGGTAAATGGGATGACCACATATCTGGAAATGCGTGCCCGTCTGGCCATGGCATCGCAGGAAAGCAAACGGGGCTTCGTCTCTGTGGATCCTCCGTATTCTTGGTAGAGATTCTCGGCGATCCTCATCTTGAAATTGACTCGGCCCGCAAGGGGTACACGTCCCGCACGGCCGTGAATACTTGACAACCTGGATCAGGGGTGCGAGCTGCATATCGTATAGAGCCATTTTTCCAATATTTGAGGTCTTTCTGTTCCGCGAGCCTTAGCTGGGAGCGTAGGCACTAGTAGCGTTGGGAAACTGAATTCTCAAGAGCTTTCCCTCAATTCCAACAGGAAAGAGGATGCGATCACAACGATCTCAGCGGCGATCCGAGGTTTCCTCGCACGGAGACGACTGCGGAGAATCGTCTACGCCGAAGTGGACGCGTTCCTAGCCGGGGCTGAGCCGGCTACCGCTGTGGACCTGTTCAATAACACCCGGTAGGTGCTAGTAGCCACGTATTGCCCGTGTCACATGAGCGGACTTATCCTGAATGTGCAGGAAGTAACTGAGTTCTGCTCATTTTTGCTCCTGACAGGAAACTCTTGTTCTTCTATGGTGGGAAGGAGCCGAACGCGAAGGAACAGCTTCGCACGAATAATCGGTTCCGAGAAATTTCCGCGAGGATTCTGAAGTCATTGGAAGGGTCCAGCCCCGACCAGGTATGTTTCCGGGTCGTTCCGCGGGTAGTTTGACTCAGAATTGATGTAGGCAGTTACATGATGATGCGACCGTCCATGCTGCAATGTACCTCGAACTCATCCTTCCGCATCCCCAGAATTACGTCGAGGCTCTGAGCGACAAGAAGATTTCCCCTTTATGGATAGCCATAACGAAGAAGTACATCGTCAGTGTCTCAGAGAGCCTCAGGAAACTCGAACCAAACATCAGCCACGACCTGAACGCCATATCACTGTACCTCCACGTACTGGTTCGTAAACTTTCCAACATGACGCCCTCAATTTGAAGATTACCTCTCTGACTTTGCATAGAGTTCCGTGATGACATTGTACGAACCGCTCTCAGGTGACATTCTTCAACGTCAACTCGTGGAAGCTGAGACCTCACCAGGAGCATCTGCGACCAACCCTGAATGCGCTTTCTTTGAAACTTCTAACCCATGCCGTCGCAAATGACTTCCTCGCAAACCTCCAACGTCTCCTCCTGAACTCGGTGGTGAAACAACGTCCCCTTCTTGGGCGGGCATCGTTGATCGCAGTCGCAACATTGGCATTGCGTCCTCTAGCTCTGAATTTCAGCGAAGAATACCTCTTGCTCTTCGTGGTGCATTTTCTATCTGTACCGGCAATCGTCCACCAGATGAGAGCGATCGCTCCCTTCAGCCTTACATGCCTCCAACAGCAGAACATTCTCCCGTTGACCATAACAACATTGGCGGAAGAACATAAGATGAGAAGCGTATCCGACTCCCTGGATGCCCTGCACGCTCTTTGCCTCCTGGCGAATCTTGTGGATCTATCGCACCAGATGGCTCTTGAAGATCCGAGCCAGCTCGAAGCGTTGTCGAAAGACTTGATTTCACTGAGCACCCGAATCCTGGAGAATTGTCTGCAATACGTGGGCAAGAAACAATCAGCAATGAGTCACTATCATCCCCTCTTAGGGTGGTTTTCTCAGAAAGTGGATGCCAGCCAACAGGAGGTGAGATCTACTGAATTTGTTATGCGAGGATCCTCCGAAGCAAACCCGTGACCCGGAGAATCCCCCGTGCAACGAGTTCCCTCCTAAGAACTTTCTCTTCTGCAGGTGATCACGCATATCAAGAGTCAGTTGCAGCTTCTATGGAGTCCAACACTCTCGATGATTCTGTTCAGACCATTGTTCATACTCCAGCTCAAGGAGCCTGAAAGTCCTCCGCCAATAGACACAGCTGCGGTCGCCATCGTCGAGGTATGTAGGGAGCACCTTCATCCTGCCTGAATGTTTTCCGACAAGATTCCCGAAAGGAGTCATTCTCAATCTTCTGGATAACGTACACTGACGAGGCACTCTGATGATCAGCTTTTCCCCTCCATCAAGGTTATTGGTATGTTGCGCAGAGGAAGCACTACGCGATCAACCCCTCCTACAATGAAGATCAACTGTCCCGAGGTTCGACAGGTCGCGCTCTCTTGTCATCTGTATGAGACCGCGATCGCTTGCCTGACGGAATTGCGGCATGACATTCTCACGGGACTGTCCTTCCAATCGAACGAGCTCCTGACCAAACTTTGGAGACTGATTGGCGCTCTCGGAGGGAGCGCGCCGTCTCACCGTGCGAAAGTTTTTCTCGAACTTCTGCAACAGAACGTCAAAGCGAACGCAATGGAGTTCCAAATTCTCAAACTGCTCTGCAATTGCGCCTCGCATCTCCTCGTCCTTCTCGACGACGACGAGCTCTATATTCAACAGAAAACGTTCTCCCTCAAGGATCTCTGTGTTATGTCGGCGTTCTTGAACATACTACTTTTCAAGATCATCTCGAACCAACTGCTCGACCTCAAGTCCATATCGTGCTGTCCGCTGTTCGCTTGTTGCCATTCGCTGCTGATGCTGCTGTATCGGCGAGACTCCAGGCGATCCTTCACTCCCGAGGACCATTGGTTGGTGAAAACCAAGTTCACCACACTTGTTTCGGATTTCGAAAACGGCAAACTGTGGGCCCAACTTATCCTGCACAAATTGCCGCACGTTTTACCACATAGGGAACGCGTCCAGCTGTTCCGTCGTCGAGTCAAGCAGGACATGGTTCCCGGCGGCACGGAATCCACTCACATCACGGTGCATCGGAGCAGAATCGTTGAAGATGGCTTCCAGCAATTGAACGCTCTGACTCCTCAGGAGCTCAAGGGCGTGATCCGCGTACGCTTCGTCAATTATCAAGGTCTCGACGAAGCCGGTATTGATCAAGACGGTGTCTTCAAAGAATTCCTCGAAGAAACCATTCTGAGAGTCTTCAATCCCGCCTTGAATCTCTTCAAAATGACCAACAAGCAAACGCTATATCCCTCGCCGACGTCGTACTTCAACGAGAACCATTTAGAACTCTTTGAATTCGTCGGCAAAATGTTGGGGAAAGCTGTTCATGAGAGAATCGTTGTCGATGTGAAGTTCGCGACATTTTTCCTTAGTCAGATTCTAGGTCACCATCGAAACTTCCAGTATTACTCCTACATCGATGAGCTACCGTCGCTCGACGAGGAAATCTACAATGCTCTCACTACAGTCAAGGTAGGCTGTCGAGCCGATTCGGGAGTGTGTCCCTCGAAATTCCGAAATGATCTCGAGTCGTCGATCCGTCATCTCACAGAAAACCTTTGATTTCAGAATTATCCTGGTGATGTGCAGGACCTATGTCTGTTTTTCTGTGTAGACGATGATTCACTAGGCAAAATTGTCACTCATGAACTGGTTCCCGGAGGGAAAACTATGGCTGTGACTAATGAAAATAAGATGAGGTTAGTTCCCCCTGTGATTCCCACGGAATCAAGTCAATTACCCGAAAAATATTGAAGGTCGTAATGATTTCCCGCGTCTCTTCCCAGGTATATACATTTGAGCGCTCAGTATAGAATGCAGACGCAGATCTCCGAACAGACCAAGGCTTTCATCCGCGGCTTCAGGGCTCTCGTGAAGAAGGAATGGATCGCGATGTTTTCCGCTCCGGAGCTGCAGAGACTCATATCGGGCGACAACACCGGTATCGATCTCGACGTGAGTTCCCGAAATCTTTCGCTGTTCATGATCTCGACTCGAAACTCAGCTCCTCTTGATATTGGGCGAAGTCCTCGAATCCACGGGAGCTCATCCTTGCTGTGCGTTCCCTTGCAGGATCTCCGCCTGAATACGAAATACTTCGGGGGCTTCCACAGCGCCCATCGCGTCATCTGTTGGTTATGGGAAATCCTCTGGGACGACTTCACTCCGGAGGAGCACCGATTATTTTTGAAGTTTGTCACGTCTTGCTCGAGTCCCCCTCTTCTGGGTTTTGCAAATCTGGAGCCTCCATTTTCAATTCGTTGTGTTGAAGTGGCTGACGACCAAGACCGTGGAGACACCGTTGCGTCTTTCGCGCGAGCTTTCTTCAGAGTACGCAAACGAGACCCTGTTGATCGACTCCCAACTTCATCGACATGTTTCAACCTCCTCAAACTCCCTAACTATCAGAAGAAGGAAACTTTGAAGGAGAAACTACGATACGCTATAAACAGCAACCCCGGTTTCGAGCTTTCGTGAAAGGAAAATCTCCCTACCAAAGGTGTTCAGAGGCAGAATTTCCCTCCTCCTGAAATTCATTCCATGAACCATGAATACATGAACAAGGGGAAAATCACGTATATAGTCTATATAACTCTGAATCGGTTCACATGAGCTGCTCCGGAGCTTAATCAAAAGGAGAAACCAAAAATATACAGGACATGCACGACCTGATTGTTGCAAATAAATGCAATAGCTGTATCCCAATAGCGTGATGGTGAGCTCCACGCGGTCAGTTGTGTTGTCCGATGAGAGCATCCCGCTCCAAGAATCATTTCATCTTATTTCTTTCTCTATGTAAGGGATTCTCGTCGAGAATTTTAATAGAATATATTTGAGTCTTGATGTGATTTTTGACTGAGTTCTCCCGCACATGAAATGTCATATTATTCCTCGTGGCGTGAGTTGAGCTCTCCGGCTGGGAGTATCATCTGAAGGTGAAGGTCGGAAGCTAGGTGTTGAGATCCTCAACCAAGGCGAAATAAATAAATGAAGCAGAAATCACCGGTCCCGTCCATTACGCTTGCTGATCAGCTTGATAGAGACACGGTGCGGAAATGTCGCAGTCGTATGAATCTCGATCCGGCGCTCCTTAGGTGTATTTGGTTGGCCATGCTCCGTCCTCCCAATAACTCAGCCTGCGCTGGCTGGGTTCCGGGAAACCATCGGGAACGATTCTCAAGAATTTGTGGATGCATTTCCACAGCCCTATGACTTATTCTTTGTAGATATTTGATTCCAGATCAGATTCTTTGTGAATCATTTCGCAAGGCATACGATAGCCGCTTTCGAAAATTGAAATCGTAACATCCGATCAGAGCTCGCTCTGGGATCAAGCAAACCAGCGAATGGCCCTCCGTGGGCATTCATCGGCGACATTGTAATCCAGCTTCGAACAGATCCGCTCACGAATGTAGAAGACGAGGCCGTCGTTTGCCGTTTTCGTCTATTCGTTCATCGGAGCCGCATACGCGATAACTCAGTTCCGAGATGGGACTCTCGGCTCTGATCTCCAGATGTCCCGAATAGACAACAGGAGAAGCAGGCCGGAAAACGAAGGGGTCCAAATGTTCAGCGCCAACCCCGGACACGGGAGGGCAGATCATTGCCTCAGCAAGTCCCCGCCCCTGCCGATGAGTCATGTCCTCTCCTTGGGAGAAAACGTCACGACGACGGTTTCTTCGGCTTTCCGAACGCTACGTTTGTAGGAGCCGATCTTCCGGAGGAGCTGTGTTAGCGCCATGAGTCACGCAGCGCGTCGACGTCAGCAAACCAAGCAAGGCCGCCGAGGCAGAGTCTTCACGCTCACTCATACATCGATCGCCGTTCCAGCAGGGCTCTGCTCAGCTGGCTCTTACGCGAGCTTAAAAGTCGAAGTTTCTCTCGATCAATCGAGTCACCCTCGAGCTTCCGCCCGGGCTAAGCGAACGGGATCGCTCAGCTGTTTGGCAGAAAAGATTCCGCGTGCTCCCATTCGCCGAAAGTGACGTGTCGTCTGTGAGGTGGAGAGAGGACTCATCTTCCCGCAGTGGTGCCGCTGCCGCTGTTGTTTTGGTCGAGCTCAGAGATCGTTCGACTGCAGTCGGTCCTCCGGAACCAGTGACAAAATCGCTTGTGAACGGAAACTGGCATTGGAAACTGAGCGATACAGGGAAAGATTTCACTCCCTCGGAAGGACTCTTCGAATATCGGGAGGAAGCTCCCCCTAGAGGCTATCAGGTGAGCCTGCGACGACAGATGTTCTCTCGTGAGCCCCTGTGGATAAATAACCGATTCTGTTGGGCGACAGCGATCGAGACATTGGATTCTTGACTACTCTCAGTTCACTTGAACGTTCCCTCCACGGCGCGGATGGGAATCTTGAGGTGTTCGGTCGACACATCGGTGGTTGTCTGTCTCACGAATCCTGTAGCGGTGAAGTCGCGTCAGTTTTCGGTCACGTCGACGCGCCAAGTTGACCGAGGTTGCGTTGAGGGCGGAGGTCCCGAATCCGTGTTTCGTCACCCGAGGCAGAAGTCCTACTCACAGTCTGTGGGACTGTGTCAACGAGAGTTTCTGTCAGAGGAAACTCGTCGAGCTCGTCGTCATAGACGTTGAGATGATCGAGATAGATTGGTCTGATTCGAAGACATTGCAGCGCCGATTGTCAATGGATTCTTGGAGGAGTCCCTCAGCTTAGAAGTTTCATCGATATTCGAGAAATGCTCGCCTCGATAAGGCCTTAGAATGTCAGTAGCGTGTCAGATGTCTCTGCCTACGCCCGGCACGCGGGATCTTCCTGGCATTTCGGTGCACTGTTTCGCCAGCGATCGGGGAAACGGGCACGAACACTGCGATGCTAAAAGGCGTGAACTTTCCGGTCCGGGGGGCACATGGAACGGCAATTATTTCGTCGGTGATTCCTCACGCTGCGCACTTGTAAGCACGCCTACGGCTATCTCAATCTCAACACCACTCGGCTCTGTTCCCTTCTCGGCGCTAGCAGTGTATGACGAGCCACTCTCCGATGATGTGATTCATTCCCGCATTCGATTACATTGTGATGAGAAGCAGCAGGTCCTTGGACGCATTCAGCGCGACATAGCGCTCGAGCCGTCCACCATGAGTCGAATCGAGAACTTCGATTCTTCAATCGAATCAGATCTTCACGAATCGAGGCTCTTCATTCATGTTCATTTTTGAGTGATCTATCTAGATTGCGTCGCTCTGCATTCTGCGGTAGAGACATCGACCCCCCACTCCTTGCTTGGATCGGCCTCCCGAGAAGCATCTCACCCAGTGACCACGACGGCCGCGGTTCCTTACGTCTGCCCCCACCACGACAGTGGATTTGTTCTGGGGCGATTTATTTCTTCGTTCACGTTCGTTTATGAATTCCAATTCCATCTGTATCCGCATCCGAAAATCACCTTCCGCAGGAGGTGATCTCTTCGCTGATGATTTTTTGTAGTCCCTCTGGAGTTCTTCATCATAGGATTGATTTATACAAGGGAGTCTCTGAGTGAGCGCAATGTCTCCTCCCAACAGCTTGCTCATTCTTTTCTCCCCCCTGCTCTCCTCAGGAATCTCACTCGATCGCCAGATCTGGTGTCCCGGAGCCGGGGACTTTTGTAAAGAGCCAAAGCAGGCGCGAGTTCGGACTCTGATCGGGTTGTTACAATTTATTTCAGACGTCATGTCTTACGCGCAGTACAGCGAAGGTGGCGCTCCGTATCCGCCGGCCGCACCGGGTTTTGCCCCCCCGCCGGGGTCTTATCAGGGTGCGCCGTATCCCCCTGCAGGAGGCGGTTATCCACCGCCGGGTGGATATGCCCCGCCGGGACAATACCCGCCAGAATATCCGCCGCCCGGTCAAGGTGGATATCCTCCAGCCGGACCTCCCGTTTATCCCCCGGGCGGCTACCCTTCCGTTCCTCAGGGACCGGTCACGCAGCCCCCAATACCTTATGGACCTCCTCCGGAGCAAAAGTAGGTTTTCGACCGAAAGCGCGAGCCCCGATCGTCGCCTGTGAGAGTGAAAAGATCTATTCTTCTACCTTCCGATATCTTTCAGTATTCCAATGGTTCCTGTACCTCAAGCCATGCCGGGAGTCCCTCCAGGCCTTGAGTACCTGACCGCGATCGATCAGCTGATCATCAAGCAGAAAGTTGAAGCTCTCGAGGCTCTCATCGGATTCGAGACGAACAACAAATACTCCGTCAAAAACTCAATGGGACAAAAGGTTGGTGGACTGGGATCGCGCAAGACATCTGCTACCCGATCCAGGACCAGGACTCTGTGGTCTGATCTCTTTTTCCTCAATCACCGACGGTAATAAACTCGAACAAAACCTCCCGATTCTCCCTCAGATCTTCCAAGCCTCCGAGAAAACGGACTGCTGCACCAGGAATCTCTGCGGTCCGAACCGTCCCTTCGATATGAAAATCAAAGATCTTCAAGGCAACGAGGTATTCTTCCGAGAGTATTTCGGGACCTACGATCAGGGCTCACAAGCGCAATGTAGGAACGGAAGCGTGAGCTGATTCTGATTCCGGGAGAAACTCTTTTCCAGGTGATCCATCTCTACAGACCCTTCCGTTGTACGTCCTGCTGCTGTCCGTGTTTTTTGCAGAGGATCGAGGTCTGCGCGCCTCCTGGAAACGTCATCGGTTACGTCTGTCAAGAGTGGTCGATTCTTTCACCGAAATTCACCGTACGCGACGCTCAAGAAAACGTCATACTCAGAATCGAGGGACCCATGTGCACATTCAGCATTTGTGGAGATGTTGAATTCGAAGTGCTTTCCGACGCGACCGGACAGAACGTCGGAAAAATATCTAAGCAATGGACCGGCCTGCTCCGCGAGATGTTCACTGATGCCGATAACTTCGGGATTTCGTTCCCCATCGACCTTCACGTTCATGTGAAGGCCACCCTGCTGGCGGCCGCTTTCCTCATTGACTTCATGTTCTTCGAAAAGAGCTCCAATAAGGAAAGTGACCGAATCGGCATGTTCGACTAGAAACTGAGATTTTTCGTTCGCCGTTCGAATCGCAGCAGCAGCCTACAATTTCCGTCTGTGAAGCATGGCAACTTCATCCTACTTCGTGTCCTGCCATACAAATCCTACAGCTCTGATTCGATTCTGGTTCGACTCCACGATCCGGTTCCTGGCAGCCCCTGATTTTTGGAAGGTTCTTAAGAGGTTTGCCGTTCTGTCGTCGTCCGCATCATTTGGAGGCTTCCCCGCGGGCGGCGACATTGATTGTGGTCGAGTTTTTCCGCGAAGGAGTAACTTCCCCGAGTACGCCGACAGCCTCGCGTCGATGTTCGAATCCGGCGAACGTTCTAGATGAGCTTCCCGGAATGAGCGGCGATCAAACTCTGGGAGCGGCTGCAAAAGACAAGCTCCGTAATCGGAGGGGAATCAGGTTATTTGATACGGTTTCAACGTTTCAACGTCCCCGTTATTGCCATTATCACATGAAGTTTTGAAGTTGTCATCGTTGAGTAAAATATTCATATTGGAACGCTTCTCGTCCTCCGGCCGTAACGTTGATTCTTGAGTGCGAAATATTGCGGGGATTCTTCGGAAAACTTGTGGAGCTCGAAAAGTCTTGTCTCCGCGATATTCTGATAACGTGTATGTAAAAAAATGACCATAAACTTTTCGTCAAGCCTTCAATGGAGTTTTTATATCTGTTTTCATTCATTCTTCGTGTCGATAAAGAGCCTACCCATCATTGAGCAGGTCTTGCCCATCCTTCCCAGGAATCGAGATCATTTTGCAGCGAAAGCAGACCTCATCTGGCGCTCAAGCCGAGTCGAGGTACTCCCACTGCTCTAATGCACCTCCCGTGTCCATCTGACTCCTCGTCGGAGTTCCTCCCACGGAGTCGTTCGGAGCGAGAGGAATGTCATCGAGGTGCTTTTAATCGTTTGCGTCAAGCAGCGCGAATTCCGCTCGTCGGCCTCCCAGTCACCGCAGCCAACCTACTGGGGAGGGCGGCTTATCGGCGGTACTCAAGCCGGAAGCGGGGTCGTTCGAGCGGTACTCGTCACTGATCAGAACGAGAGAGCCCAGTCTACGGTGCTGATTCCCTCGCTGTCATCGCAATAGGGCAGACTTCCCATATACCCGAGATCATGGAGAAGGCATCCACGGAAAGCGCAGTGCCGAACTCTCTGCGGTGAAAAGTGTTCCACGAGTTGGCAAGGTTCGCACTGAAGGCACCGTCATTGGGCGTGGATTACCGGGGTCACTAGATAAGTCCGATTTCTGAAGTGTGAACCCTCGACACTATCCTGACCGGTGTTCGGAGCGATCCCTTGACGAAGTGGCTGGTCGCAGGAGCCTTGGAGGAAACGTCTTCGAACCAGACTTCTCCAAAAATCGATTCAACGCTCAGTTGCGCCATCGAACGGTGAACTCTGTCTAGGAGAAAAACGGAACGGATCCCGATCCATCAAAACGGAGCAGTGAAGCATCGGCTCCCGGTGTGCCTCGGGTTTGAACACTTCACAGTGCCGAGGTACAGCAGGCTCTCTTGACCTTCCGACTAATGCGAGTCGCGGGAATATTTCCATGTGCTGACATCGAGCGACCTCGAGCTCTCCTTTCCGAAACCCCTCGATATCGGACACGGTTGCAGCAGGTGTTCCCAAGTGATCCCCTTTGTCTCGGTCGGCTCCTACGTTTCTGTAATATAACAAGGTGACCTGTCCGGGATTCGGAACTTGTCGGAACAATGAGAATTGTTGAGAGAACTCCTCGGAGGAAAATAGCGATTCGGGTCCCTGCATCCGTTCGAGACAGCGAGAACAGCTGGAGGTAGCCACCAGTTTTGAATAGCGGCGACGGAATCAGCGGGTAGAGAGGTGGGCAGCTCGCGAGTCCCTCCACCCCCGAGTCCGAGGAGAAGGCGAGCTCCCCGTATGGTCGAAGCCCTCTCCGTCGAACCTCTCGCTCTAAGGCGATGTAAACACGGCATCGTTGGCGTCAGATGAGGGGCTCCGGGGAGCGGGCGATCGAGTAGCGGTGGGAATCGTCCGTTCGCTGGATCGTGGAGTGTTCGCTGCGTCGAATCTCCGCCCGAAGTTGGAGCTCCGCGTGCCGCGACCGCAGTGGCTCATCCGCTTGGTCGGCGGACTCCATAGGTCATCATGCCAAACCCGAGCCGATGTAAAGTGTTCCACAACTATGGAGATCTCATGCTTACGTGGCTCGAGGAGCTTTGCTGGCGAGCCGGATCGACGTCCCGCGATCAAATGGTCCTCCTAGAGAGCAACGATGGCGCACACTTCAAGTGTCATCAGTGGCTTCTGGCCCGCTGGTCGCCGTATTTCGAGGCGCTGTTCAGTCGATCATTCTGTGAGAGCCGAACTTCGCGGGCGAAGCTCGAGAACGTCGATGGCGACTCCCTCGAGACCGTGCTCAATTATTTCATGCACGGAAAGTTCAACGTCAGCGCTGAGAATTGTCTGCGGTTGCTGTTCGCCGTCGAGTACCTGCTACTGGAAAACCTTCAGGACTTCGTGACCTGCTTCATCGAGGAGAATTTACAGGACGTCCTGAGATCGGACGAGTTCTCCAAGCTCGAGCTCGAACAGCTGTGGAAACTCGTGCCCATACTAGCGCGCGGCATCTGTCTGGACAAGGCGCTGGGCATCGAGACGGTGGTCCTGTACCTCGAATGTTGGAAACTCGGCCAGAACACCCAGAAGCTCGGGATCTGCGACGATGTGAGAGCGCTCATCAAAGAACTCGAGAACAGTCTCCATCGGCTACGGACACCGGAGATCGCGTACGCCATCTACAAGCATACGCCCAATTGCGTCACGAAGCTATTCACCGAAAAACAATTAGGTTCTCGCCCTTCGGGGAGCCTCAACGATCTCTACGACCGCGGAGAGCTGGAGCCCCCAGCGAAAATTAGCACCGGTCAGCTAATGAGAGCGCACTCCACCAACGAGCTCACGTCTCAAGAGGATTGGATGATCCAACTGCGTTCGCTCATCTCGGAGGGAACAACCCTGATGCGTCAGCTATCGAACCAGGAACTCCAGCTTCCACACGATATTCCACACGAATGCATCAAGAACATGGCCGTCATGCCAAACCGCTTCATTTTGGTGCTCACCGACTCTCGCCGGCTCCATCTGTGCCCGTGGAATCAACGAGGTCCGAGTCAACTCGTCGAAGCTCAATGCGATACTGTCCTGCAGTTCGGCCGGGACATTTATGCCGTTCTCCAACAACAACAGGTTGCCTTATGGAACTGCCAACTGAAAGTGTTCGAGACAATTTACTCTTTAAGCGAGCATATCATTCACGACATATCGTGGTACCGAACCAACAAAACAAGCTCAACCCTATCCTTGCTCATCGCGCACAGAGCGTTCCCGTGCAATGTCGAACTTCTCTGCCTAGATTTCGATCAAGTGAGTATCTATCTGCCGTCGTTCCTCGATTCGATTATCGGAGCTGATCGCCTTCAATATCTTCCGAAGACCGGGAGCCGTGTCGATATCCCAGGGCATTCGACCCTGATCAGGAGCCGAAAGATTTGAAGCGAGCTCAAATGTCAGATGACCTAAAATATCGTTCCCAAATCGATACTCGCGGTGAGGGAAACTGCGCCGGGGAAGGCTTTCGGTCCGGACCTCCCCTCGGCTTGCGTGACTCTCCCCCGGGAAGTTTTGGACAAGAACGAGAAAACGAGCTCTCAGGGAATAGATATCTTGCGTCCCGACCGCTCGGTCAAGGTTGAACCAGGCATAAATATAGTCTCCTGATCGCGCCATCCTGCTCCGGTGCTCATTCGCGCCTCAGGTCGTCGTGTGATTCTGAGCCTCTTAGATTCTCCGATACCGCGGGAATCCCTCAATCTGGCATTTGCGAAGGCTCGTCAGTGGCCCAAAATCGACGAATCGACTGAGAAGTATGATATTCTGATCTTTGAAACTACTGCGATCCTTTTCAGGTCACGGGAAGTTTCAAACAGCCCCCGGTTCGATTCCATCCCGCGCTAAACACGTGCAAACTCTCAAATCCACGACTCGTCGCCCTCAGCGAACGGGTTCTGATTCTCTACGAGCAGGGGGATGCAGACAAGGTGAGTCATCGTCGGAGGAAACATCGACGCGTTGCCAGCCCTCGACGGATTGGGGGTGTCGTTCGGTTCTATTCAATAATCCAATAATTCCAGGTTTTCGTCATTATGATCGGCGCACAAGAGTGCAAGAAAGTCAAATGCAAACTCGGAATCAGCAATAACTTCTACCTCAACGATCAATTGCTATTCTACACAGCAGATAATTCAACTTTTTACAAGATTCGCTATGATTTTAAGGATTTCGACTGTGAGGAATGCGGCGAGGTCGCAAGAGTTAACGCGGCTTGTGTAGCCCCATGTCTCAGGTAGATCTGGGAGCTCCGCATCCCGATTCGAAACAGGTGCCATATGATTTTAATTTTCGAGCGTGGAGGTGTTAATGAGGTATTCTTCGAGGTACAGCGTCAGCGAAAAACTTTATTTTTTGAGCTTCGAGATTTTTGCGGGAGAACATATCTCTCCAAGTTCAGTGGCCATGAAGACATTCCGTGATATCCGTAGAGTACATACATATCGATTGGGCAGAGAGACTCGTCAGGCTTATTATAGTATCAACGTCGAACCTTGGGATAGGAGTCTCACTTAGTAGGTCACGCATGTCATCAATCAATCGACCGGAGAGCCGGAAAGAAGATGCTGCCGCCGGGTGACAAGAATTTCGTACTTTTCCGTTTGCCCTACCGAGCCAATGCGTGATTCTCACAACTAAGAGTTCACCTTGACAATACTCCTATATATGAAGGTCAGGGACGGCGAATGCTTCCGAGTGGGGATTCCCCGAGAATCGAATAAACCAGCAAGGAGCCTTTTTTTAAATTGCGAATAAAAAATTCAGCTGCTCATTTCCCGTTCTTCCCCTTCAGCTGCTCATTGTGGCGCCCACAGGCTTCTTATGTGTCATGATGATGCTTGTATGCTGTCCATCTCTTCCAACCCGATTCGGTCTTATTCCGGGACGCGACCAGGATTACGGGAAACTATGGACCGATCTGATGAGCTCGATCGAGCTTCGCCGACACCTAGCCGACGGAAGAATCCCCGATATCCACGGTCTGAGCACCCAGTCCTTCCGTGGACAGAATTCCTCGATCAAGTCATCACCTCAACATGAGAAATTATCACTTTTTTATTTACATCATGATTGATACGAGTCTTATTTACATCACGCATCCTGTTTCGCAATAGCCCCGAAAACTTCATCGGGTACGGCTCTGGTCTCAACGGTATCCATTTCCTCATCGTTGTTGTCGTTTTCTTCGTCATCCTCGTCCGGTACTTCGATTTCGTCCGGATTGTGCACTTTAGATTCTTCCAACGCTGGCTGCGTGTCTTGTGCCCGGATGAATACCGGGCCTTTTGAAATCGTGACCGATTCGACAACAGCGGCGGCCGCCTCGCCTTCGGCTGCCGATGCTTGCGCGGCCGTAAGGCTCACGCTCATTTGGGTATTGAAAGTTGCCTGGACGCTTCGTTTTATACGGAGGAGCTCACGTAGCGTATCTTCGTTGCCATGCGCAACTTCAAATCTTTTCCATTCCTCCCAGAACACCTGCTGTCTCCGGGGATCGCACATCTGGGAACAATGCATGTAGATCATCCGAGCGCGGTCAATTTCGCCGAGCTTGCACTCGAGTTGCGCGAATTCGATACACATTTTCACAGAATCCGCGTCGGGCAGAGTTTCGATGGCTTTCTGGTATATCGGACGGACTTTCGTGAGACCGAAACGCGTCGCTGCCAGTTTGATATGGAGGTCGAACATTTCTTTCTTCTCTTCATCGGGCACGAGATCTTCAGCTTTATCGTAGACGGCCATGGCGTGTCGCGCGAGTCCGTATTGCTCTTCGAGTTGAGCGTAGAGCAGGAATATGTTCTTGATATACTTCGGCGGACAATCAGCCAAACACTGCTCGAAGAGGTCTCTCGCTCTTTCGAGCTTGTTTCCACCGAAGCGCTTGAGAAATTTCGTCAGATACGTGTTCCATATATCGTAGACGTTCGGCCATTTGAATAAGCCGATGCCTTTTTCGTACAGTCTGAACGCTTCCTCGAAGTAATTGTTCTCCTCGAGGAAAAGCGCCGCGTTGATGATTATCTGCGGACTCGCTATCCGCAGATCTATCATATGATCGTAGACGGCTTTAGTGCTCTGCAACGTGCCGAAACTCTCTTCGAGGTCGGCGTATAACGACCAGATCTTGATATTTCTATAGAGACGCATTTGTACTGTTTCAGACTGATCGTGGTAGGCCACTTTACGTGACGGCGCAGACGTTGCCGTACGGCAGAGTTTTATGGCTTCGGTGGGGTTGTCGTGACGCAGCTCCATTTCGGCAAATTCACACCACACGTTCGCGAGCTCATCGACTTTCGTGTAGGGCACCTGCGTGGCCTTCCGGAAGATTATCCTAGCATCATCGAGCTGGCCCTTGGACTCGTAGAACTTCGCGAACTCGGTCCAGATCTGGGAAAGTTTACCACCGCTGGCCAACTTCGGATCGACGGTGGTGACCGCTTTCGTGTACGTTTTTATAACCTCGACAGGATCGTCTTCGAGCAGCTTCACTCGTTTCAGCCACTCGTGAACGCTGTGAGGGTTCTGCCGCAGGAGGACCGAGTTCAAGAGCAGCGGTCTGCGATTCATCAGATATTCGTATCGAGACAATTTTAGCTCGAGGTCGAGCTCCTCCTCCGGCGACATCGTATCCTTCGCCATCAGCTTGCTTATGACCGTGTATTCGAACTGGGAATAGGCATCGAAAATTTGCGCGAAGTCACGCACCGTCAGCACGCTCGACATTGCCTCCTCGTAGATGTCACGTGCGCGCTCAAACAATTTCGAGCGGATATAATAGTCGGCGAGAGAGCACCATAACTTCCCCAACTGGTCCGTGTACTTCTTCAGCCCGCCCCTGATGATTGCGTCGACGTTCAGGCTCTGCATCTTGTCGGGGTTTTTCGACATAAGTTCGCACAATTCCATCCACAGCTGATGCTTCGATTTTCCTTCGGCCGACGTGAAGCTCGGGTCGTTCACCATGTCGGCCATTCTCTGCGCGGCTTCGTTTAGCTTTCCGACTGAGATCAGATATTCGACCGCCGTCTCTCGCGACTCGGGACTGAGCTTCAGGAAGCGCCGGTAGACTCTCAGCCCGGTCTCGGGAATGTCGTGGAACGATATAAACTTTAGGTAAAGAGGCCAGATTCGATCGTGTTGAGTTATCGGCAACGAACGTAAAGACCGATCGAGCGTGTGTCGGAGCCGGGTGACGAATCGTTGACGGTGAAGGAACTCGCAGTACATGATCCAGATTCGAGGCATTTTGTGCATCCAGACCAGAGCGCGCTCGAATGTCTTGTTGACGGCCTCAAAATCCGAATGATCGATGCACAGATGCTGTTCGTCGAGCTGTTTCATGATCTCCTGGAGGTAGTAATGCCAGATCTTGTACGATCCAGGGAGTTGCGTCAGCGCACGCTCGAAAATAATGTTGACTTGTGCTTTCGTACATTTCCTGCTCTTTCGGAACTCGGCATAGCGGAGCCACGAGCGCACGACAAATGGGTTTCTCAAGAGCTCTTCTTCGTAAGCTAGATGGTCCTCCTCAGACAGAAGATCCGAAGGAATTAGGCTCGCCTCCGCCTGCGCCATCGGCTCCTCGTTTCCAGCCTCAGCCATGACTCCGGGTGATGGCCACGTTCGTGCGAGTCCAGCGAGTCAGAGCGAAATTCTTAAATCAATTCAAAACGACTGCTCTCCACGGCACATAATGGATTCACTTTCCGCCTCTTGTCGGTCGCTCATACCAACGGAGCATTTCGCTTTTCGTGTGTACGAAATGCAACCGGTGCCGACTTGCGCTTCAATGCAGCTCGCCGAATCGACTGCTCTGGCTCTCAGCGCGGATGGATTTCCGGGATCTGGGATCCTCTGTCCCCTATGAGTATCTGTCCAGAGATCGTCGGAGGTATGGAGTACCCTGCCGGAGATTCGCCAATCATCATTCAACGCCGTCCGACGCAGCGTCCGCGTCGGAATCCCGCTCGCTGCAACGAGCCAGGGATGCGCGCGGCTGCATTCAAAGGCCAGCTGCTTTGTTAGCAAACGGGCCAGCTTGATGAGAACCCGCCATTTCGTATTCCGAGTGTGATTTGAACAGTGGGTCAGAATCTGGATAAATCGGGCTTCTTGATAGCTGTGTCGGTTGTGAAAGCCGTGCGAGATGTCGATTGGGGTACCGATCAAGGTCCTCCATGAGGCTGAGGGCCATATCATTACCTGTGAGACGAACACCGGTGAAGTTTACCGAGGGAAGCTTGTCGAAGCTGAAGATAACATGAATTGTCACATGCAAGGAATCACTGTGACCTACCGTGACGGAAGGTAATTCCCGATAATGTTCCGCCTCCCCTGGCTATTCTGAACCTGAATTCAGAATTTCCGCGCCCCGCCCTCCGCACGAAGTCGCGGGGATCGCGATATTCTCTGCGAGATCGCAGAAGCAGCAATAGTTTCTGACGAGATATCTCCCTGTAAACCTTCGGAGGGATTCAGAATCCCGGGGGACGCCTTGAAATCGCCTCAAACTCCCCTCCGGAGCGCCCGGCTATTACTGGGTTCAATTGATCGTGTGACAACCTGATTTTCTGGTAGGAGCGCCGGCATAAGTAAAAAAAATTCCTCCCGCAGTACTTCCCAACTGGAGAACGTGTACATTCGAGGGAGCAAAATCCGATTCCTGATATTACCTGACATGCTGAAAAATGCTCCTATGTTCAAAAAACCGCCTGGGAAAGGCATGCAAACCGGCGCAGCGGCGGGTAGAGGGAAGTCTGCCATTCTACGAGCTCAAGGTGAAGCATTTCTACGGGATTTATGTCGATTATTATGGTTCCGTCCACTCAGTCTCGATTGATCGTTGCCCAACCGCCCATGTCCCAACGTATCCTCACGACATGACTTTTTCTTTTTTTATTGCAGCCGCTCGAGGCCGGGGACGAGCTCGTGCGCTGTTTCCCAAAGGTGGTCGAGGAGGTGGTGGTGGTCGCGACGGAGGTGGTGGTGGAAAGTGAGGCGCGGTCGGTGCGGGTCATCCCTCTGGCATCACACAAGATGCCTGTGTAATAAGTTGCATATATGGCAGAACGAAGAACCGAACAATAAATATTCCATCACTTCACTCGTCGTCATCTCCCATGACTTTCTTACTGACGGAAGTCGGGAAGGAAGAAGCTGCCTCACTATCGAGAGTCCCCCGGACTCCAAAGTTCTCGCTGAAACGTACATATGTGTATTCGAATGATTCAGTACGGGGCACGACAGTTAAAAGCCTTTACTTTATTACATTTGCCTTAAAAAATGATGGACCCTCCTCTCCCTGCTCCTGGATGAGCGCTTTGCCAAGAAGCTCAAATCCGTTATAAATAGATCTATCACAAGTCCAGAATACTTTGACAACGGACCGCAAACCACGAGGCAAGCCGGCGTACTCTTCTAGCTTTCCGCTACCATATCGATCCCGACTTCACTCCTCGTTATCAGGATTAGGAGCATTTGCTGACGGGAAGCTCGGCTCACCATAAATTCTCTCGAGGTATTTGAGTATATTCTTGTCGATGAGGGCCTCGTAAAAGTCTCGATTCAGAAGGCGGAACTCGGCTTCGTCGACTCCCTTCGTGCGCATGTGACGTTTCCAGTCACGAATTCGCTTATAGAGTAGTAGCCTCCCGGAGAAACGTGGGTCGCAAAAAACCTCTTTTAACAACGCGATATCTCTGACCGAATGCCCGAGGAGAAAGTCGTTGGACTCTAAGCAGCGGTCGGAGTTCTCAATGATGAATTTCTTGACGTCTTCGGCCAAATCTGAAACGCCGAAAGTGTGCGCCACCGACAGGAGATCGATCGCTTGGTCGACTCTGAAATCGGCAATTCCAAAAATGATGTATTCGAAAACCGTGTCCATCACTGGTCCCGTGTAGTCAACTTCGAAGCATTCCTTGAGCTCAATCCTGCCGTTCTGGTTCAGAAGTCTCTCGAAATGCGCGAACGAGTTCCTGAGTATCTTCAAGTCGACCAGTCTCGTACTCGAGTCTCCGCATCTTAGCACAACAGGATTCGTTGCTCCTGTGCTCGGGAAACACAAAACTCCGTGTGCCCTGACGGGCGATGACGGGCTCGGAGCACAAGTCGAGAGATCGCGCACAATCATGGCTTTTCACTAGGCGATCGTTGAGCAACGGAATGCGACTTCCAAACAATTGTTCCAGATTCGTCTGCTGATTGCGGAATGACGATGCTCCGCGCGCACATTGACGTTCCCGAAGAACGTGCACGCCAGGGCAGCTTTCGGGAAGAGACCGGGATCTATCACTACCCCTGAACCGAGCAGGACGAGTCGTTTCGAGCCCCTGATCAGTTCGAGCTGGAACCAATGGCTGTGGGAAAGCCAAGCTCTGAAATAGAATTCAAGGGACATGGGAAACAGGAGGCATCCTTGCCGAGGATCGACGCGGCTTGAAGCAGATGGCTCAGGCCTTCCCGGCTTCTGAGTTGATAAAATAAATTGGCCGTCCGACAAATTCGCGGAAGAACAAGAATCTTCCATATTCGACCTCGGTATGTTATAAAACCGATCAGATTATCAAAATGTTTTCTCGACTCCACCGACTCCATGGTAGCTCTGACGCAGTGTCCATTGGAGTTCCAGACAGATCGTTAGAAAGTTGCCTCTCGCTTCTCCTGGACCCCGAAAGCTACATACATGAGTTTATCATTGGAATAAGATGGAAACGCGATGCTGACGTCGCATCCCCTCTTCCACGGTGCAGCATGCTTCGTGCTCGCTTGAACAGAAATGTTTCGAGGGATCGAAGTTTTGAGACTCGCCACAGATGGCCTCGACTCCACCCGCGTTACCGTCCGACGTGCCAACGCTGACATGCAATATTACATAAGGAATACACGGTCCTTACGAACGGTCGAACATCTTTCTTTATTGTCTTTCCCTTTTTTTCGATATATCGTCGTTAAGCCCTCATCATCCAATCGATTTAGGCGCCCGTTGAACTCCTCTCATGAATTGCGTAGTGGGAAGGCTACGGATCTTAAACAATTTACGATCATCCTCTCCTTCCGTTCATAAGATTCCCATACTCGAAAAATTTCAATATGCCAGCCGCTCGCCAAATCTTATCGCTCAGTTTTCTCCCATCGTTTCGATTCCCCGATCCCCTCCCTCTCTCCCTCCGGAAAAAAGTTATCTCCAGAATCGGCGCTCCCGCGGATCCTTCTGATTCTTCGTTTTTAGAGCTCCCAGGCCCCAGGTCGAGCCCCTCTCGAAGTTGTGCCCATTCGCGTTTTCGCGTGGGATCCCTTAAGATTCTCAGTCCGTCTCCGATAAGAGCTCCCGTTCCACCAGTTGGGTTTGCGGTTTTCGCTCGAATCGCTCACGGTGACATTCATCTAGTCATTCATTCATTTATTTATCATCATTCTCCGCTTCTGCTTGCGGGCTTTGGTGATGATCATCATGAGTAAAGAGCCCCTCCCCATCGATCGCTTCTGTTTGAAATCCCTGTGTGCGCCCGCGACCTCCGCGTCGAGTTCCGCCGGGGCAGATGTAGTGCTTAGAAGGAGGAAATCTTCACTCCCAACATTGAGGCTCAGCTCCACCGATATCATCGTAGCCCGACGGAGGCTCGAACCATATTGTCCCGATTGGCAAAAGCGATCTGGAGGAACTTGAATTTTCTGCTCACGAGACGAGTTCGGATGACTCGCCTCTTCCATCGTGGAAAAAAAATCGAACAATCATTTCAACCACACCTTCCACCCCGCACCATCTTCCAAACCTCAATCGATCACGGATCGAATTTTTTTTGTGGATTCCACAAACTGATGGTTTGACTTCAAGCAACCTCGTCATCAGGTACAGCCGAAAATCGATGATAATACAGAGTCCAGCTCCCACCCATCGGAATGAGAGGGTGGATGCTTGGATGAGGGTGGGAGGAGCAAGCAAAAAGAGACGACGACGACCGATGACGTCGAATATCTATATGATCAACAGAGCGAAAAGACAAATCAACACATTCATTCCTGCATACACTCGACACTCGATCACACATTCATCCAGACATTTTCTCACAGAAGAGACAAATACTCCGTGGCCAACGAATTCTGGCATACAATGCGGTTGGATCGAGACGAGGAGAGGCGCCTCAAAGTCGCTCAAATGCTGAGTCAGCAGTTACCTTCGGATATTCTTGAGCAAGATGCACCGGGATAAAAATTCAAGTGTTTTATTCCTTTATCGGATCTACCGTTGTTGCGGGGTTGCTCCCATCGATGGGGAGGCTATCTCGCATGACAACGGGGGCTCTATGAGTGATTTCTGACATTGGAAGTCTCATCAACAATGCCAGCTCTTGATTCCTCTCCTCGAAACTTTGGTCGCCCAGGTCCTGAATTCGATGCCGGGTTGAGGCAGACGGATCATTAGTGGGAAGCGGATGAGTGATATAAGTCGGCAGAGCTCTACATTACTATTCTCAAACTAAATCAACAAGGAAACCTATCAGTTTCATAAGGATAAGGGGCCAGCCCCCGTGACGACTGGCAACCAAAGGCCATTCGGGAACGTTCTGTCGGACTCGAGTCCAGCCCGTGATCTCGATTCTATTCTTCTCCCCGAGCATTCTGAATGTCCCCGCGACCGTTACTCCGAGAAAAACAAATCAGGATGGATTCCATTTCTCTCTCGCCGGCTCGGTTCCCGATCCCGAATTGTCTTTTTTAATTAGACGGGTAGACATTGGGGAGGAGCGGAACGCTTGAATCACGTGGAGAAGATTGAATTCGAATCTGATGCTCGAATATGGAGCCAAGGAATCTACCTAAACAGATTGCGTGTTCGTCATTTGATTTTCTTCCCAAAAAAACGGATCCGGGGACTCCAGGAGTCTCAAGGCATTCGAACCTCGATGAGACTCACATTTCTTATGATGCATCCTAATCTATTTCGACTCGTCTCGATCCTACTACTTATCGCATTGCTTCAAGAGCATGTTCGGACATGATAAAGCTGGTTCTCATACATACATAAATCCACCCATTCTCTCCCTCGCACTCGTTCAATTACTCATTCATTCAGCCAGTCTATCCCGCCCAAGCATTCATGGCCTCACTTCATGCTGGCGGACCCCGCATATATACACATATATATTTATATATTCATACAAATTTGTATATGTATCCATATATAGAATATGTATATGTATATACGGTTGTGTGCAGAGAATTTTTGATCAAGCTCGCGCCTTCGTATTAGAGTTAGGGAAGTCGCTTGTTTGCATGAACCGAATGACACAGGGATGATCGTTGCCTTTCCTCAGAAATGGCTCCTGCATTTGTTGTACACAACAAAATTCAACAATGATCCCGTGAGTTTTTCGCACAGCAGTCGACTCGGCAATCTCAGCTCACTCGAAACCATCATCTAAATTCAACACATTCGCCTAGGATGTTGATGTACACATACTCATTCATCTTGTTAATAATACTTTCTCGTTTGTTCGTTCTTCGATTTCTCTCTCATCCAGTCACGCCTATTCTCCTTCATTGCATTGTTTGGAGTCTTTATCTTGTTTAACTTTAATTTGTTGTTCCCACGAGGTACCTACAAAAATAATGGTGGCAATAAGTATCGTCGGATTTCGATGGAAATTCCCTCGATTAGATCCTCCTACGTGAGAAAGATTCCCTCCCTTCGGAACGAGCGCTCGTTCGCCCTGGGACAGGTCTCAGACTTGCGAACTGCGAGGAATTCAGAGCCCAGGTTTCTTCATCCAGAGGGATAGAAAACGAATCGATTCCCCCATCATCGATTGCTTCTCGGGACACTTGAACTCATCATCCCCAACCGTCGGTATCATCATTATTTTTCTGTGTGCCCAGGACACCATCATCGATCCTTCTCGGGATCCCGAGTATTCGGGAGAGAAGGCGTATGTTCCTTGCGATCTCGAGGGAAAATTATCAATGAATTCATAAAATGATAATCTTCCTGGTTCGCGAATCATGGGATGATTATCAACCTCCTCCCCATACAGATCCTCTTCGCTAGAGTTGAAGTATTCGCGCAGGGTGGCCAGAAAAGTTTTTCGGAGTTTTCTCGTTTGTATCAAAATTTTAGCCGTAAAAAGTACTATCTATGGGTTTCGATTATGTACAGTCTATATTACAATGCTGTAAACTAACTTCTCCTTTCTCTCTTAATGCTCCTCAGTTATGCTCTGTCATCGTCATTATTATAATAATTATTATTATTATTGTCATCACCCGCTGTATCATCACTCTGTGTAACCTCAGTGCATGATCATTGGAAACTCCCTCGGCAAGCAAGGTGAAAGTACATTTCTCCATTGAATACGGGTCGATACCCGGTTCGGGGGCACGTCCCGAGCCGATCAGTTTTCAGTCCCTCGTCGCACTCCCGAACGCGGAATTCCGGCAAATTAATTGTTTGTGCGAGTTGCGTGCTATTCCGCTGTTCGAACGACTCAGTCAGTCCGGCTAGGCGGCACGATCGGTCATATATTGATAGCGAGAGAGGAGAGCATTTTTTTCCGAGCTCTTTCTTCGTCTGCGAAATTTCGCTAGTCTGCCCTGATCGCAACCTGCATCTTGAGCTAGGCGATGGTATCGACGGTCGACAGCGACGATATTTCCGCTTATGCCGTCGAGTTCGTCGTGGTCGTCGGCGCAATAGATGCTTCGATTTCCGCCCGCCCAAAGCGAAGTTGTTGAGGATGAGCACGCAACCGATGAGGCATAAGGAGTGCGACGAAGGGATCCTAACTTTCGCGCCGGACTCACCAGATCGAGCCCCGCCACGATTTTCTCCTATTAGGAAACCAATATGCGAACATTTCTAATGGATCTGTATACCAAGCTTCGCTCAGCGGATCCGCCCTTGAACGCACTCGGAACACGGCTGTCGATTTTGTTCTCTTCGTTTGACTCCCGAACGCATCGTTCTTCGTAACTATCTCCGATACCTCCAAAGGTCTCCTCCGAGTTCATAAATTACTCCGATACCCTTGTCCTAATCCATGTCGTTCACAAAATCATTATCGACATCAAGTCGATGCAGCCTTTCGTGTGACTTTTCTCGTGTATCGTTCCGATCCTCATCGTCACCTCAATTGTAATAATAATAATAATTATTAAATTCTTCTCCCACATTCTCATCCCAGCGAGTGGAGATGGTTAAACTTAAAAAAAGAGACCGGTGGACAACCATTTGTAAGGTATACAACGATTTGCCTGCATCAGTTCTTTTGTCCGTGACCTATCTGATGCCGTACAAAAATAGATCTATAGGTATCGTAGATATACTCGGGTATATATATTCATATATTCTTTGTGATGTAAGTATATGTGTGGATGTACCGATGCACGTATTAAATGTTCCTTAACTATTTGGGACTGTGTCTCGTTCCAGGCAGCGCTTGCTCAATCGTTACCTCACGTTGCTTTGCGCTTCCAGCTCAATCGTCCGCGATTCTCTTACTTTCTCGTTTGCATACCATTCGTATGTTTCATCAGGATGAAAAGTCCGTTATGAACCTCCCATACCCCGATCGACCAACTCATCGCGCCGATAAACGCGTGCCACGTCTCGACGAATGCATCGAATCCTGCAACAGGATGCCCTTTTCGTGTCCGCTCGCGTAATCCGCATCCCCACACTTCTTTCCGTACAACTCCCTCTCTGGAAATCCACATCGAGATCGCCGTCCCCATGCGGTTCTCGGTGTCCGCGCGAAGGTTATCCCGAAACTTCTCGCTGAGGAAATAATGATTATCATGGCTACCAAGAAAGAATTGACGCCCGCCGACAAGATCTCATCTGTAGGTCGAAATTCTTGGGGACAAAGCGGACGCCTCCTTGAAGAAGAGAACATATCGTGTTTGTGGAGCCTAAAGATTGGCATTTGAAATCAGGTCATGTATTCTCATTCAGAGGAAGGTGACAGAAAACCAAGTCCCGATCTCCCTCATCGATTCTGTCTTTTCCCCGAGCGCTACCACATACAGCACATGGCTGCGACTATCCAAGTCATGATCGAGAACTTAATCAGGATAACTAAAAAGCCCCCCAGTCTAAGCAGGGTATTTACCTCTTCGCGCTTCTGTTTCCAGATGAGCGATCGTCTGCTCACATCCTCCGACGAATCCTTCTTTCGTCGAGAAGATACTCGTCGCTGCCAGGAGGGAGCAGGACAACGGTCCATGTTTCTTCAAGCAGAGAGCCCGTCGGATGGACGATCGGCTCATCCTCTTGGTTAACTCATCGATATATGGGTTGATTGATTGTTCGATTGGTGGCGATGACGAATGAAATTCATGATGCTTCAACTTTGGTTGTCTCTGTTGAACTTTTCTCTTCCGCGGTCTCAGCAAACGGGCCACGGCCCGAACGACGCTATCGTTCGTTCATTCATTCAGCAACCGCCGTCTACACTCTCGACACACAGCTCCGAAGTCGCGAACTCGATCGATTATAGCACTGGCACCCTCCTGCAAGACGATGGTCGCCGCACCGGCTCAAGTCGCTGCGTCGATTTCCGTCCTGAGCGACCCGGTCGCCGGATGTTTTCCAAAATGAATTCCCGGAAATGACGGGTTCAAATCTCGTCGTTGACGTCCTCCATATCAGCGTCTTCGAAATTCATCATCATATATAAACTGCTCGTAGATTGACCAAGACCGGGGCGACCGAGCATGTAGATCGCGGGACCGGCGAGCGGAGGGTCAGACGACGACGACGACATCGATTACCATACGCTTGGCGCGGGGAAGTCGTTTTCTTCTGCTTTGACGGTGTTCCCGGATTTGCTTGCTTTACTTGACGAAATGCGTATAGTAGGGACGTGGTGAGACGGACTGGTGGACTTCGATCATTCGGCGGCGTCTCGAAAAAAGATAGAGGAAGAGGCCTGTTGCATCGATCGATCGGGTGACTGGTTGATTGGTTGGTTTGACGATTGAATAATCGGAAGATTGATTGAGGGGTCGTGAGAGCTTCAAGTTCGATTAGCTCTGCCTGGAGTCTGTTGCGTTTGCTGCGACGGCGGCTGCTGAGGGCCTGTCTGCTGACCGCTTTGGTTGGGGGGAGGGGGAACCACAACTCCGCTTGTGGGCGCCTGGCCAGTCGGTGTGGCTTGGGATTGAGCCTGGGGAGGCGCTTGTCCGGGAGTTACGTTCGAGTTTGTCGACGGTCCTGTAACGACAGGATTCGTCTGAACCTGAAGCGCTCCTGGACCGTTCTGCACCGCAATCGCCTGCGCGAAGTGCCCGTGACCGTGCCCATGAGCAGGCCCGTGGCCAGCTGCGTGGGCAGGTCCCATCGGCGGGGGTGCGGGCGCCATTATGAGATGATGAGGTGGCGGAGTGCCCGCAGGTCCTCCGTTTGCACTCATCATCAGCAGTGGCTGAGCAGGCCATGGCGGTTGAGACGAATAACTCATTGGCGGCTGCGATGGATGACCGTGGGGTCCACTACTCGATGGGGGCGTTGGAGCACCCGACTGGCTGGGCGTCTGAGCAGGGGGACTCACGACGAATAAGTTCGCTGCGGGACGAAGAGAAAAATGAATATCCGCGAACGACCGTTCAGCGAGAACTGCGAGTTCCCTATACCGCTCACACCTGCTATTCACCAGCGGCTAGGTGTAAACTCAGGGACTCACCGTCGATCTGACTGGGGTACATCGCGTTCGCGGTAAGCTCTCTAAAGATCATTTGGGGTTGAGGTGCTAAATGTATACCTCCATCACTGTACAATTGCATGGATGGAAAAACTCCTGCCGGAGCTGAAAAAATAAATACCGAATGGGATCACGAGCCGGAAAAGCATATACCAACCCCTCATATATCGGCCGGGTCCGGAGAGCTCTTGATCTTCCTTTCTCTTTTTATCGAACTCACCTCCAGGGGGTGAAATTACTCCTCGAGTTGGAACTAAGCTATAGTTAACCATTTGAACTTGCTGCGCTGGAACGTGTCCGAGGGGTGGTTGCATGGTAACCACGTTTGACGCAACCCCCTGTGGGTGGGCTGGTCCGTATGCGTTTGGTGGCGGATATCTGGAAATTCGATGAGAACGATCGATTTGAATCGATATCCAAGATGCGAGGCTGAAGCTCGGAAGCTCGTACGTAATGGAGCGGAACATCGGAGGCAAGCACTCACCCTACGATAAGTTGCTGCTGTTGCGGACCTTGGACCATGGGTGGACCGGTAACGTGCATAGTTTGATCCATGGCTTGTCTATTTTGGCCCTTGTTGCCTCGATACGATCGGTTGTGTCCACCTGCCTGATGCTGGTGCTGGTGTTGATGCGGCCCAGCGGATCCGGGGAACGGGAATGGAGCCATAATCACTCCACCACTTTGAGCGTGAGGGCCTCCTTGAGCGGGTCCGCCTATGCTGATATGTCCTCCGCGAGGGCCTCCGTGTCCAGCGACGGCGGCAGGGTTCATGTGTCCTTGAGGAACCCCATGTTTGTGCGACATTGTCTGCGGCTTTGGTGTTGGGACGAAGTCCTTGGCGTTAGGATTCAGGGTACTTTTCTTGACGATCTCTTCCGTGTTTGCCTGTTGCCCGCTGGCGCTCGGGGCGGGAGACGGCGCTTCGAGGGTTCGTGGAGAAACGCCTCGTTCAGGGGTCGGAGACGCTTTGCTCTTCGCTTCGCCCGGAGGACTAGCAGGTGGTGATTTTTTGATTTCGTGAACCTGAATGGGCGCTTCTTTCTTCGGGACGTTCTGCGTCGCGTCCAATTTCGGGGACGGGGATTTCCGCGTCGCGGCGTGTTTCTCATTGGGAGCAACCTTCTTACTGTCCGATTGATGGTGGTGTTGTTGCTGCTGCTGCTGCGACGATGCCGGCGGCGGGGGCAGCGACTGAGAGCCGGCGGCCTGCGCGTGCTGTTGTGCCGGCGACGCCGCTCGCGTGCCTGAGACCTGTTGAGGCGGCGTGGGAGCGTGTTGCTCCTTCCGGGACGGCGCTTCTCTCTGCTGCGGTTGCATCTGCCCCTGTTGTTGTTGGGGATGCGGGGAACCCTGTTGTTGGGGAGATGGCGAGCTCATGGGCGGCGAGCGGTTGTGATTATTGCGCTGCGAGTGATGTCCCCCTGTCGTCCCTCGTTGGGATCCTTTCACAGCACCGTTCACGGGAGCCATCTGCTTACGACGGTGGTTGTGTGCGTAACGCGACTCTGATCTTTCTTGTTGCTGCTGCAGCTGTTGTTGCGAATGCTGTTGGGACTGCTGCTGTGTTCTGTTCCGGTCTTCTGACATCACAACCGCCGAGTATTTTATCTCCTCGTCGTCTTCGTCGCCCCCGTTCTCCAACTCGTAGTTCCGCTTGTGCTGTGGGTTGGATTCGATCTCGGACGCGATTTTAGCGGCCAAGGCTTCTTTCGCTCGGTATTCGGCGTCGTCCCGCGTCGGAATCGGGGTTGTGTAGCCTGTCAGGTCGTCTTTGAAGGAAGTTTTCACACCGAAGCGTTCCAGGTTCGTTGCGAACATATCCGCCGGTGCCCATCCCGCGGACGTTCCAGAAATGTCTTCTAACTGACCGTATTTGGTGCTCTCGGTACCGTCGTCTTCCCACACCTGCAGATCACGCTCTGTGATGCGACCGTTCGATCGCGAGATTTGTGAATCTGTGAACGCGTTCTCTGGAAGAGGGGAGAGGCACAACGTGAATAGAGCTTCAATGAGGAAATCACGATCGCGGTGCCCCGCACAACCGGTGACAATTCGCTAGAGGCCCGAACGACCCGTTGGTAGTTTGGCTGCTCACCTTTCGTAACGAAGCCGAGGTCAATGTTCAGCGCAGTCATGCTCACAATGTTCGAGATGTTGAAGATCATCGTTTCTTGCAAGGGCTGACTTGGCTGCTTTCGGAGTCTGCCCATGTTCCTCAACAGGCCCGAGAGATGGCCCGGTGCCTGCGGTGCTTCTGCGTGGGCATCTGAACCGTCCGACTCCAGTACATGCACTGTATTCAAAGCAACATCGAACGTCGGGGAAATGGTGAACAAGACCCCTTCGTAAACATCTTTGTCCCCACGCAAACGAACTTGAACAACATGTCCCTGCGAAAAAAGAGACTTCCAATTAGTGTCTTGGGGGACTTATTCAGCCGAGCGAGAATTCCGTAGCTTCTCAGCTCATTCATCTCACTCTAGTCTTACTTCTCGAAATGATCGACTGTTTTCGAAAATTTCATGAAATGTCGACAAAGAGTGAACAAATGAACTCTGGTGGAGGAGCCGGGGATTCAGGGTCGAAATCCGAGGCGGCATTCAATTTTTTTCCCTCGTAAGGGAGCGATTCCTCGAATTGTGAGCGTTCTCTTCCGCTAGTCTGAGTGTGGGGGAGCGGCGAAACATGCGAACAGCATGAGACTCTGACCGGAGAAGCTCTTGATCATTGGCGCATGTCGAGTAAATGATCGGAACATGTGGAATGGAATCGGGAAACATTTTACGCTGAGCGATGGGCCAGCTTCCGTACATAATTATTAGCCGATCCTTAATTGCTGAACCAGGACTACTCCGGACCCATCTAGGTTCGAGATCTCTTGTGAGTACCTCGCCTTTTAAGGCCGAGGGCTACTCTCGAGTGGCGGCCTCAGGATATTCATGCATGAGTGATTGAGTGACAGGTTCTCACGTGGTCGTTCATTATGTCCCGTACGAATGCTGTACGGACGTTCGACCACGACACATTCCACCACGAGGTGAGAAATGAGCCGGGGAGAAAATGCTGGACATCCGTTCCGAAATGAGTGCCGATCAAAGTTCATTCACAACTTACGACTAAGGCAGCGATCGCGTGGACGAATCGGGCATTGCCGTATACTCCCGTGGCGTTCATTGGCGTGACAACTTTGCCGTCGGGATGTTCACGGTTCTCACGGCTCGTCTGAGCTACTGAAGGTTTTTCCGCCGGGGCCTTATTCTGGTTGCGTCCTACTGCCCTGAAAAATAAACGTCTCGATGAATTGCATCCCGCAGGCTTGACCCCCGTAAGGCACCCGTGGTGCGAGCGTGTTCGGCCATTCGTCTGAGAAAAAGAGGACACTCCCTCGATTCCTGACGAGCCTGCTCGCCATGAATCTCGGCAGAAGAAATAAGCCGACCGCTCGATTGACTGCTCGGTCGCTCGGTCGCTCGCCTAGCTGGCTGGCTGCCTGCTTGGTTGGATGGCTGGCTCGATGCAGCTCGACTGCAGTTGCAGAGTCAGCTTAGCAGCTGCCCAAATCGCAGCCGGAACGGTCGACCGATCGAGCCCGGTCATCGCGTGGGACACTCCGAGGAGCAGGGACAAGTCACGGGGCACACTCACTTGTTGTTTGCAGCCGCACCATTCGACTTGACATTCCTTTGTTTTTTGTCCGCCTGGCTGTTCATGGCGGCGGCATAGACTATTCTCGGATTCTCAGAAAAGCTGCTCGCTTTACGGCCCGCTAGGCTTCGGTGCTATGCACTCGACGCTGCGCTGTCTGCCGTGCTTCCACAATCAGCAAACTGGCAGACAAATTCAATCGAACGTTGTACAACAGTTCTGTTTCACTTAACAGCCTGTGGTAGTAGGCCTATGGCTGAGTGGCACCATGAAAACTAGCAACTTGATACAGACCGGGCTCCCAACGAGAAAAGCGCGCCAACTTTCGAATTCCGCTCCTCGTGATTCCTCCGTCGACGTGAGAGAGCTGACGGCGCCGGAGATCCGGCGGGGGTACTTTCGGCAAGGAAGATAATTGTGGAGAGACGAGGAGCGAGCGAGAGACCACGAGTGTCGTCCATTCGGGGAATCCACTCGATGCGTGCTTCGAGAATCGGGACCATGGTTTAGGAACTTGCTGCATGATTGAAGCAGGGGAGGGAAGGGAGAGCCGTCGCGTCGACATTATCGCGGTCTCCCAGCTCAGTATTTGGGATTGACTCGTTGCTCTTCTTCCTGAGCTCGTGGCGGGAGAGCGTGATCCGTCTCACTATCAGACGGGAATTCGCGGGAGAGATAGCATGCTCTTCACAGAGAGCCTGCATCGATTTCGTTGCTTCCTCGATATTGAAAGAAAATTGAGTTCGCTGCAAGATGACGGTCTCCTGTTTTCGGACTATAACTTTGATTAATTTTTAGACGAACTCTCGACGAGCAAGCGATTACACTCGGGATACTCCGGTAATGGTACGGAACTTCGTTCCGGTGAAAAAAAGAAATCCAATCATAAGCTCCGTCCCTTTAATGACCACCATCCGTTACACTCTCGGCGCCCGTTAGGATAAACAGTTCGTCGACGACAGGCTTCTCGCGCCGTCACAGCAGCGGAAGCGCTTGTGCTTATTGACTTTTGACAGCAGGCGGTCAATGATGCGCGACGGATGATTCGCGGTATGAAGCTGTCTTCCGTGCTTCGTTCATTAATGTCGGCAAAAAGCTCTCTGGGATCTACCATGCGGACGAAGAACGCTCAAATTGCGATAGAGTCGCTCCGGAGAAACTCCACCATGGGTCATCATATTATCTTGTCCAAGTCATCTCAAATCTATAGAAGTGACAAGAGGAGAAGAACCGATATAGAGTTTCCTCGGCGAAATCGAGACCGATATCGCTCTCCGGGAGGCTCGTATCAATTGTGGCCTCCTCGGACTGCCGTCGGCAACCGCACGGGAAGGGAATTCACTCGGATTCTTGTTGGTGGAAATTCGTCGACGCACGAGGGCACGAGGCTACATCACAATATGAAATTATTATCATGAGCGCTCCCGATTACCTCCGTCAAGCAGAGTGTATTGAGCGGAGCACGGGATCGAGGGGGTAGTGCTTATTCAACTCACACCCGGATCCGCTTCCGAGAGCCCTGAAGGCTTCGTCGGGAACCGACCTCCGCGGGATATCATCCTCATAGTGAGGAAGAGAGAACAAAGAATCTATGTGAGCCAGGACAAGCGGGATTTTTTCGAATAGTCGGTTTTTCTCCGAATTCTTCTGGCTCATTCATACCGATGTTATCCTTTCTAGAGGAGTCACCGACAGCTTAGAGTAAACCATCGTGAGTACCTGATACAGTCGTGACGAATCATTTCACATGCACCATTCCCACGCCTTCTGAAACCAGGCGGATCCATGTAGGTCGAGTCCGCGGAGTCGCGGTATCTCGAAGGAACTGTATGGAACCAATCGGCCGGGAAGGAACGGAGGACACTGAAGCCCTTACTTTCCAGCTCATTAATTTTATTTACATTGAGCTGAATTGAAGGTATAGCTATCATCTTCCCGTGAGCTTTCTGAACGCGGGAGCAATAATATCGATGAGTTCGGGAACCAGTCAATGACTTAGTGCACCGATCCCGCGGGGGAGCCGTCGTGGCCTCCAACTGTTACTCACTGCTTTCGTACAAATGCGCCGCCGGTGTCATCTATCTAGAATGTGCTATGAATCGCACCTTCTTCTCGGATCTCCGACCTGCCCCCAACGTTTTTAACCACAGTCACGTGAGAGGTCCTCCCCTGGAATATTTCCTTACGATCTTTGGTACTCAGCATTGCCATGGGTATACGATTTGACTTTTTAGTCACTCTCAGCTACTTTGGCATGTATCCTTCCTGCGCGGTACGAAGGTATACATCAGGTGGCGACAACAGGAGAGGAAATCGAATGCTCCCGGTGAGGCAGGACTCGATGGACTTCTGAAGATCTTGGTCGAGGAGGCGATTGTCCGAGGGGGGAACTAACTGTGAGCTGCGAGCGACCCTGTTGCCCAGAGACCACATCAATGTACCTTGTGATGTGGTGCACCTCACACAAACTGTATCACTGCCCCCTCTCATGTTATGCATGCCTCAATATTCACAGTGAAATGTCCGAAGTGCCTGTAACTTCCATCTGAACGCACGAACGAGACATCGAGGTTCTGACAAGTACGAACCTGCCGGAACGAACACCAACCCTCGGAATGTGAGGATTGATTGGGGTTGATGAAGATCATTCAGCCCCTTGGTTTCGCGATCGCCTTCTGCGACCTCAGAAGAGTCGATGATCGATTGCTTGATTGATTTGGATCCATAAGCGACCTTTATACTGAAAAACATTTTCGTCTCCCGGTCGGAAGAATCTTGCACAACACTTTCCCCTCCACTCCTTGACGCTACTCAGAAGCGTTCACGACAGCACTGGATCCCGTTCCTCGAACGTCGGGCAATTCACAGCTCCGGTCCATTATCGTCTTGTCCCAAAGAACTCGTGAAGGACTCCGAATCTCTCTCTGGAGGATTCCGACGGCTCGAGCTCCCGCTGACCTCGCGACGTTCATGTCGTCTTTGGGCAACGTCGGGCAGAGCAGAATCCAGTACTCAAACTCTACACTATCTACAGTTGTTTGAACCATTGAAAAACTCGGAATACAACCAGAGATAGAGCCACCAAGGTCACAGTTGTATGTAATACTCGTCGCTTGGTGTCTAAGGACCGAACTAGAATCACAGATTTCGCGATCTTCTCTCCCGTAGGTAACTCATCGAGTATCTTCGGCGACTTGTTCACCTGGAAGGAATATTCAGTACTTTTCTCGCTCCCGCCACTCGAGGACGAGCCTGACTTCGGATCGCTCAATGGCTGTCGCTCGTTGAAGAACGAGCGGGAACCGATAGCTCACCTGGTAGTGAATGCAGGGATCGCTGCTCCAAGACATGTTGTACAAAGTACAACAGAAGGCGTTTACGCCCACCAGAGGGAACATGATGTACCTGAGGAGAATCAAGATGCACGAACGTATTGGTGAAAGCCTGTGGCAATCACGCCGCGGCGTCAGCTCGTCCGCCAGCTCTCGGGCCTTCAGAAATCTCGCTTCGCTAGGAGATTGCTTAAACCTACAAGGATTGTGATGTGCTCTGGGTGGTCGAGAATGTCGCCGCTGCAGCGAGGCCACACGCGATTCCGACGTTGTTGAGGCCATTTCCGATTTGGATCCATCTGTCGGATCAGAATCAAGGATTAGATGATCATTATCCTGAAAGAAAGCCTTGGAGGGGGAGGGGGGGGGTCCTCGAAATCGGAAGAGAGACGCTAGCAGAAAAATATCGCAGGGCTTATATACATATATGTATATGCAGGGCTCAATATCCGAGCGTACGGCGGGCAATGGGAATTTCTTGGCATCTTTGTTAGTGGGAGCTCTGAGGATTTTCCATTCTGGGGGGGAAGCTCGATCAACTCTACCTCGTCGTTGCATCGCCGAGACTCCGCGGCTCGATCACGATGATCTTGGGGGTGAATTCTAAAGCTCTATCGAACTCGAGTTCATGAATTTCATGGCGCGTCGATGCGTTCGAATCCGAGCCTCCGATATCATGGATTATGACCCACTCCGGCGAAATATCCGGCGACGGCTGGAGACCTCTGGAGAATTCCCGTGTAATCAAATTCAGGAAACAAAATTCCTCAACATCGGACGCGCGGCGTAGAATGCCGTTGCCGCGTGATAAAAGTTGTAGCTGCAGCAAACAATGAAAATAAGTCTCGCAGCCGATCGCTGTATCATTGATTCCGGATGCATCAAGCTGGAAAGAATTGAGAATAGAACCCAGCGAGTCAGCCTGACGGACTACGTGACTGGGGGAAGATGAGGCCCCCTGGTCGGAACAAGAGCTCTTCGAAGCGAAGGCGCTCGTAGCGGAGAAAAGCTCCAGTGGCTGAAACCTTCGGGTGCAAGCTTCTCTGAGCCCGAAACAATACGCGAAGGGCATCTCGAGTGAAGTTTTATCCATACTCTTCAGCTGACGATTAGCGCGTAAAGGGGTTCTCATGAGCCCCAGCTGATCGAAAATCGCTCCCTTCGTCTGCGGCTAGTGCTCGGTCTCATTTTTTTGCCGGAACATCGATCATGCCGATCAACTTACTGTGCTCGATCGGAACCGGCCATCATGGAGCAACGAAAACAGCAAACGCACTCAAAGAAGCGGTCCCTGGCTAAGGCGACCGCCGATAGACATCAATCGCTAAATTGCGGAACGTAAACCATCGGAGGTCCGTTTGTCAAGTCTATGCATAGCGATTCGAGGCTCCACGAGTGTTCGGTCGAGAGGCGATCCGTTTCGCAGGAGTATACCTGAGAAGCATAATCCTCGCATGAAGATGAGGGCGATCCCAGCGTGATCGGAATCGGACTCGTCCGCGGGTGATCGTGCACAACGACCTGGATGATCTTCATGGGCAATCCGATCGAATCCGGGCGGGCTTCGAGCAGCAATCGACTCTTTGGCTCGATGCGAGTCGTTGAGTAGCGACCTCCGACCCACCGATTCAGGGAGGGGTCCTTATCCGGACTTCCTGGGCTCGTTCATCAAATCTTGCTGCATCCAATTAGACCTAAGATCTCGATGTTTCCAATCCCATGGGCGCTCTCGGCTCCATGTGTTCAAACCTCTCTGCGCAAGAGCTTCGGAGTTCAGAGTTTTCCGAGAGCAGGGCCGTGTGACTAGGCTTTGCAGCGGTTCCGGAACCGCGATTCCGGCGGGTCCGGAACCGCACAGTGAAGATCACCTAACTTCGGAACAAGGAAACGAGCAGCTCTCGAAACTACCAATCATTCCAAAGTCGCCCGATGATTATCGTATCAAGCACAGTGTAACGTTTGCACGAGGGTGAGCATTCCGCTGACGGACTTGGAGAGTCCTCCGAAGAATCTCATATGGTGATGAAAAACGAGTATACCTGACGTGAGTCTCATTCAACTCTGTCTCATTCACCTTGCATCGAACACAGAGTGGCATTTTCTTCGAAGGACAACCCATGTCGGCATCGGCACTCCCGTTGGAAGCTTCTGCATACCGAGGAGAACCCTCGCCCCCCCCCGGAGGAGAAAGAAGCAACTTCAGCTGAGGTCGTTCCTCCATGCAACGAATACTTTGAGGAGCGACGCACTACGCTTGATTTGCGAGTCCAATATCAGCATCAATCAATTCGTGCGGAGCGCGTCAACTGGGCCATAGCGTCGACTGGGCCAGACCGTCAACTGGGCCACAAGTTGATTGGCGAATATTATGAGAATCTTCGGAGCGAAGAGGGGCTATTCTGCGGGAATTTCAAACCCATCAACGACGCTTCATTCATTCCGGAGCGCCTGATGATTCTTCTCTGGGAGCTCGCGTGTACGCACGAGAATCTATTGATGCGATCGATTCTGCGGAGATCCCGCACGCTAGACGTCTGGTGTGGGATTCTTTCAGAGACCGGTCAGTATGATCTACCATGCATATATCACCGAGTTCGAACCGAGCTGCCAATCTCGTCTATTCGTCTTATCGGAGTCGAGGTTCCCCTCCGGGCAGAGTGAGTTTCCCTGGACGAATAAATAATCATCGTGATATTAACCTGAATGCAGTCGCTGAATCACAGGTTTCACGAATCGATGACACGAGAAGTGAAACCATCGCGCATCTGAGGGATCTGCATTGAATCGTCGACGAGAAATCCCGGCATGAGGAAATACACGATGCATTATCCGGAGGGGATTGCGCGCGGACCTCGCGAATCTGCTCCCTCCTATTATCGACCCGCCGCATCTATGCGGAGCACTCGGACTGGAATTCGGTTCACTGACTGTTCATAGAACCCTTCGAGATAGCATGACTACGCTCGCAGCGCAAGGGATAGTCTTTGAGACGATTTTCGGCTCGAGAGTTCGGTGCTGCGCGGAGCGAATCGAAATGTCGCTCGTGACGTTGCAGGATAACGTCCATGACTTGCGCATCACTCTCGCGTACTCTGTTCGCGAGAAGCACGGGCCTCGTGGCGCGTATTGTGTCGGCACGGTTTTATCGGAAGCCGTAGCTTCCTTATTTGAACTTCGAGGTTAGCCATCAATCAGATATAGGCTCATACTGGAATGTCGGCATCCGTGGAAAGTCAACGTGGGAGAGAAAAGCTATTTCACGAAGGGTTCGTGTATGTGTTCGTCAAACTCAGCAGCGACAACAGCACGGAATTTCGGAGATGTCAATTCAAGAATAATCAGTCGAGAAAGTGCTTGGCTCGCCTTCACCGGAATGCCGTTTCTGGCGAAATTTCAGTGAGCAGACGCCATACCGACTTCGCCAACGCATCACAAGTCGAAGTTCAAGAAAAGAAGACAGCGTTGAAACGAAGAGCAGCTGATACCGCGGAAACTCCTCAGCAAGCTTCTGATCGCGGGAAGTAGATCGCTTGTCAAGACTCCACTCCACTCTATTCGATGAATAACAATGAAGCTTGTGTGAACGAACACCGTGGTCAGTATCCGCTCGACTGATCCGCAGCAAACTTTTTGTCTTCTCTGCAAATCAGGGATCGCTGCAGCTGGAACTGATGAATGGATATTCATAATTCGTAACAATGATCGCAGGAATATCGCATGATAGAAGATGATGTCTTTCAGGTGGAGAAGCTGCTGATGTCTTTCGTCAGCGTTTCCTCCTCTGCATCCGATTCTTGGTCGCTCATCAAAAATTGTGTTCCCTATTCCCTCCCAAAAATCGTCCAATGATCCTACGAGAGGGTGATTCGGGGGAAAAGCGCTGCTCTCCGGTGGCAGTCGTGAGTCTCGCCGGAAATTCCTTCTTCGCTCCGAAGATTCTCTTTATATATTCGCCAATCAACTGGTGGCCCGGTTGACGGTCTGGCCCAGTTAACGCTATGGCCCAGTTGACGGTCTGGCCCGGTTGACGCTATGGCCAAGTTGACGTGCATCGCTCGCCTTCGACTCTGCCGTCCTCTTGAATCCGGACGACGTCGGTCTCCGACTCGAAGAGGATTAGGACGATGAAGCACTGGGAGAGATCGAATTCGAGACGATCCAACAGCGGATCCCAGAAGCTCTCACTCAGTGTTCCCGTTGGCGAGGTAATCGAGCGTTTAAGACTAGCGGCCCGTGATTCCAAGGAAAACCGAATACGATGGACGAAATCAGGAAGAATCTGGAAGATCATCTGTTACTTGTGTAACAGTCACTGAAGCGGAAAAATCGAGTGTAAATTATCAAATCTTGTGTATGCTTTCGAGGAGAGGCGAGAATCAGTCCGATTCCGCTTCTATCTATCGATTGCATGCATAGTCACGGGTTCATTCATTCAAAAAAGAGGGCGGGTCGATTCGGGCATGAATTTCCCGAGGAACCGCGATTTGCGGGTCTTTGCGGTTTTCGCCCGCGGTTCTGGCATTGCGGTTCCAGAAATTCGCGGGTTCTTGCGAAGCCTACTTGTGACCGATAGATATCTGCGACGCGCAACGAGCAGCGATCTCTCCGACGTCAGACGAGGCGGTGGACGCAGCGGTGGGAGCGGCTATCGAGCTGAAAGCTACAAGAGAAATCCTTCTGTGGGGCAGTAGTCGACAGGAAAAAACTTCAACCGTCGAAGTGTCTTCCGAAGAGGGGCTCGAGCCCGTGGCTTCCACTCCGTTGATCTCCGGGGTCCGCGACGATATTTGACGGATCTCGATCGTAGAGCACACGGAGCCATGTTTTCCTCCCCGTTCCTGGGCAGGGGCCGTTTAGGCGGTTTCTCGGAGCGACTTGCCGAAGGAACTTTAGTGCTTCCATAGTTGCAGATGACGCTTGTTCTCCTCGGATCGGCGGCTCTTTCCGTGACAGCTCCGCGGCTATCTGAACGCGTACCCTCATCTCTCGAGGTTGCTCGAGCAGAGGGAAGCGGGTACTTGCTCGCGTAAACCGTGAGGAATCATGGTCTCCCGATAATGAGAGCCCATGAAAACGGAGCATACATCCCTCATCAGCATCTCTTGTCGACGCCACTTCCGGACCCCTAATGACCCCTAATCTGACTAAGGATTCCGCAGATATGTATCAAGTATCCCCGCATCGACACATCGTCTTTTATTGCGACCAGAGCCTATCATGTGTCTCCATGGATTAAGCAGGATTTTCTCATAGCATTCGAGGCATATCAAGAACACACAATGGGGGACTTAGTTTCTCGGAGCTCTCCGCTTTGGCTACCACGGATCACTTGGAGCGATGGACCATAGTTCTCCGGTAATCTGATTGAGTTGGCATCCCTCTCAAGTCCGAGAAGCGAGCAAAAATCTATGACAGCTTCCTGTGTAAGCCTCTTCTCGGAAATATACTTCTCCTCGTATTGGCATCCGGAGAGCACCATGTGTACGTTTTTTTTCGAGCTCGACGGTCCAGGAGGCAACGCGACGGTATGAGTCACATCCTAAATACATCTTATCATGCAATAGAGACAAAAGTATCAACGAGAATAACAATTTCCGCTCAGATTACTTTTGAGTAATTTTGTAGATGGAACGGAAGAAATGAATTCGTCGTATTCAGCACAGATGTCCGCACCCCGATCCCGTCCCCATGGCTTCAGCTTGCGACAAGAGTTCCACGACACGAATCTTCGTGTCCACTGCTCAAGAACACTTTGGGTGTAGGCGGCTCTCGAAGCAGCGAACTAATAATGAAACTTGAGAGGAGCTCGGTTTGATAGCGGAATCTAGGAACTAAACTTCGAAGTCAGCGAAGATTTCTTTGAAAATAATGTCGAGGTTTGTCTGGAGGAACTTCTTCAAGTTATCTCTGGTCATCAGCGTCCCGACAGTGCCGATTTGAGTGCCGAGCCACGCGAAAGGTTGGACACCATCAACCTGGACCCTCATGTTATGGAGCTCCGTGAGTCTCACTCTCTCGACCTACAATGAATAAAAAGAGGTGGATCAGACTCGGATCATGACTCTCAGGAACCGACTCTAAGGTAATCGAAATTAGTGTCACGCTTACCTCGAAGTTCGTAAGCTTATTGTGGTTTACTGGAGCTTTCAATTGAACTTCTGCTGTGATTCGATCCGCCAGCGTCCAGAAGCCGCCAGTGATTTGCTTTATACCCGCGAAGTTCCATGTGTAGTGCACCTAAAGAACAAATACCGAAAATTCAGAAAATCCGAAATAGTCGAGCGCAAACCCGACGCCGGACCCCACTATGCAGCATCGATTCAAGGAAGATCTACCTTGGTGTTGTTGAACGAAAACACCAATACAACGTTGGCGACATCGTCAAAGCAAGCCACTTGAGGCTCGTGCCTGAGGTAGAAATCGGAAAGTCCGTAAAGTCGGCCGTCGTATAGTCGCAGAACCTGGAATGAGGAACTGAATTAGGATAAGCGGCTTCACCGCAAACATTATTCGAGATATTCGAGGGGAGTTTTCTTCGAGGGCCCGGCTCGATACGGCATTCGAGTTGGTCCGCCTCTCACCTGTCGGATATCATCTTCCATTTTGAAGGGCTCGTTTGACTTGAGCACAGATCTCAAGTGATCGAAGAGATTTGACATGAAATCCTCACGCCCCTTCCCCTTTTCGCAAATCTGTACGAGCGACATATCACCTCCCGCTGGAAAAACACTTCATTGAGAAGTCACTCGTAGAGCAGACTCCATTTGACTCAAGATCAATGAAAGTCGACTTACCCGAATATCCGATCGCGGTAGCGAGCAGCACAAACACCGATAGCCCGATTCGTCGATCCATCTGTAAGATTTCGAATCAAGTTCTTGAGCCTGTGGATCTGAACCTCCTGTTGGTTTCTCGTCGCAAGCGATCAAAACTCAGGCGAAATCCTTCCCGATCGACAGACCCTGGGAGATCGCTCACGCTTTCGGGCTCTGATTCTCACCGGGCGACAATCGGACCACAGGGGTATCGCGCAGCTAGATCCTGAAGCGTCGGATGGGAACTACTAGGGCGAGACAGTTACCTTTCCGGGCCACGTCTGTTTACACGGGAACTAATTATTTATCCAGACTCGACCAGAGTTTTTCTTCTTGCGGATATCAGGCGTACGAGGCCGCCTACGGCGATCAGAGTCCTTTCCCGGACGAGGTCGTGTTAAGAATACATACAACGACTGTCTTCTGCTTCCGGGTTCGTTCGCACAAAAGCATCCCCGCTCTCACCCCCTACCCTCTCCGAGGTGTCTCGACCGATCGGGGAGACTACCCTCGCTGCCCCTCAGAGAGAAACCGATCGTCTTCGAGAACCCAGGAATTCCGATTTCAGGGATTGCTGTGCGAATTCCAGTATGGTTAGGCGAGTCGACAATTCGAATGGGGTTTCGAATCACCGAGCCACGGAGAGTTTATCACGAGAATCAAACATTCGGACTCTGCCGAATTAAGTATTCTGCACGATGATGGGAGACATCCTAATCGCTCCGTCCGGAGGACGCGTGGAAAAACTTCTCGCTCGAAGTTTGGCGGGAGATTCCGGCGTGATTCATCGAGAGGAGTATCCGCTCCCGGGTGATTATCTGTGACATTACGGACCGCAGCCGAATTCCCGTTCTTCACCGTTGATTCGTTGCGTAGACGGAGCTGGACGCAAGCATGACTCATCACTCATCACATCTCCATTCTGAAACTCTGCGGGGACGGCCTGCCAGCACACGGTACCCACGGCACTACGAGGTTTCACCGCCGGGAGCGTGACTCGGGAATCGATCATCATCAAGTTTTCTCCTCTATGCATACTACCTAGAGAGGGAAGCAGATCATCGGACTCTGTATACGCATTCAATCCTGCGATCTTGTCCAAGCAATGTTACTTCTTCATTAGTACTTCGAGTACTTGTATCAATGCCATCGATCGTTGCAGCAGATTCATACGGTATTCTTCACCGAGCGAGCTTTTGGGTCGCACGGCCCATGAGAGAGTCGGAGTTCTTTCAAAATGATCCGGATCGCTCGGATGCAACATGATCCGAGATGAAATCGCCACTATAGAAATTCGAGGACATCCTGTTTTCGAAACTGTGGCTGACATTGATCGGACGGTTCGATACTCATCGTTCGAGAAATAAATAAAAAAAGTCACTCAAACCTTCACGAAGCGCTAGTTCTCTGACGCGGCTTTCAAGATCTTCGTGGTTGAAGTCGCTCAGCTGATCCAGACAAACATCCACATGCTTTGTCTCGGGAACACCGCGTGAGAAATATGTCACAAACGAGCGAATAAATCGTCTTCCCAGATGATCGGCGGAAACTCGACTGTTCGGAAATGCGGAATCTCAAGAATGTACCTAAATATGGCGCACTATTTTCACGCTAACCTTCACGGAGTTCCGATAACTTTCTTCGACAGGTCGTGACGATGGCCTTGTGGCCCACTTTATCCCGGAATGCTCGACCAGCAGCTCCTGGAGAGAAGTTCACGGCTGAGAGCTTCGGCCCTTGAGTTCGAGTAAGATATCAGAGACGTCGCTCGAGAGCTCGACTCGATTCAAGAACTTCGTTGCGTTCGCACGGACTGTTCTGAGGCGACGTTCACAGCGCTGGCTTGGCGATGCTCTGTTGACGGACTGCTTGTCGGGACGATGTGTGCCGCGAGGGAGGGTTGATGGCGTCCGTTCGCTCATTCGCCTGAGAGTCATGATGTAGTAGAAGAAAAAAAACAGCTTTCTCTCAATTGGCTCACGGTACTCACTCCAAGAGCCCACTATAGCTGTCGGGGGACCGAGGCACGATTATGAGAGCATTGATAAAAGCTTTGAATATAGACTGCTCGGTCGAATGGACTGGCGGTGGCTCCGCTTCGTTCTGATAGGAAACTCAACCATTTCCGCAGACACGACGGACAAGCGGTAGTTTGTCAACGCAGTTAGCGAGGCAGAGAGGAGCCAGCCTTCTTCTCGACTATGAGCAAGCGCCATGGAGTTCTTCCAAGGAGATTCCCGCCCCGCACAGATTTCTCTGGAGGGTTTGCTCTTGATCCGCTCGTGTCTCAGGCTCAGAAGATTCTCCTAGCGGACTTTTCGCAAGACATTCGCCCTGCGGTCAATCGCTCTTAGCTGTACATTCTGACGGCTTCCGAAGAGATCGGTAGGGCCGAAGTCGCAAGTTGACGAAACCGCGGCCCCGCCAGCCTGAGTTCAGACTGCTCTGTTAAGAGTCCAGCTCAGCCTGCTGATCTCAATTTCACACGAAAGTCCCCCCGGCGGGCATGATCAGACGGCACTTCGAGGTTTCGCGACATTGGGAATTCACGGAGGAGTACCATATGGTTCTCATTTCGGATCGGCGGAGCTGATCGACTCCGCGGACTCGGAGAAAAGGCTCGGAAGCTCATGCACCAGCGGGCGTCCCTAATGGGATGCCAATCGTCCTTTAGACTAGACGCAGACCGGAGCTGAATCGATGCACTCGATGTGCTAATCACGACACCTCTGGACGTTCGAGAGTGCGAAAGAGACGCCATATTCTCATCACAGACCTCCGGGATCAGGCGGTCAGGCGCCCCTTTAGGGTGGTGTAGCTTCCGCTCGAGATTTTCATGCTAGCGTAATGAGTGATGAGCCCCCGAAGCCCATCCCGGCGTCCCACGATAGCTCTGATTGAACGCTGATGACTATATTTTTTGCTATCTCGACGATCCTATCCCATTAACGCGGACAATGTGGGAGGAATCTGTCCGATTTAGTATTTTCGGAGGCGATCTTTCGAATTGCCAATGAGCTAGAACCCGCGGGTCGCATTTCGAAACACAGCTCTTCGTCCGGATCTCCTCACTCTAACATCATGGAGCGCTGGCGATGGTCCAGAACGCCTGGGACTGGGGCCGTTGGAGCTGTCCTATCGGCATCTTGCGTCTCTTGACGCTGGTGAGATAGCGAAGAGGAGCAAGCTCGCGAATTAAAGAGAGCTCGAGGGTCGCTTCGTACTCCAACCTGAGGCCGTGAAAACGCTCGGGGTCTCCGGGGGACTGGCTTCTTTCGCGAGCTAGGGACAATGCTTGAGTTCGATTGCGGAGACAAGCGGGCAGCCGAATTTCCCCTCCAAAGGATCAATGTCTATACTGGAGTTTCGAACGACAAAGCCGCCGCGGTCGAGGGCCCCTTGCATGATGGCGAAACTCTGATCGGCTCGGGCTAGTAATTAGTTTCTCGCATTTTCGGGCTCAATCACAGAAAATGGGGAGTAGGAAGACAGTCCCACACTCTTTGAATTCAAAATTTTGGGCCTTGCATGGTTTTCGGACCCTACTCAGCGTCCTCAATGGGAATGGTCGTAAACCGAAGAGATAGATCGTCTCCGCTCGGGTAGTCGCCGCGAATCTCGTTGCGGATCCCCCTCGCTCTGTCGATTCCGCTTTGCGTGCTCTTTATTCCGAATTGAAGTCTGACAACCTGTTCAAACTCCGGGAGCGCTCTTGAGATTGGCGAGCTGGTCTAGAGAACTCATCACGTTCGGATTACTCTACACGAACGCTCAGAAGCCCCTCGACAGAAGCAAGGTCGAGCAAGAGTCTGGACTGGTTGCGGTCAATAACAATGTCCGTCACTCTTTCAACCTTCCTGAACTGAAGCAAAACTTAGTCCCCGATCAGGAGCAGGCAGGGAAAGCGATGGATGAATCAGCTCGCCGAGCAGCAGGTCTCATCCGAGTTTTTTTCGCATGTGTTCCGCCGAAACCGCAACCCGACATGCACCCGATAAATGTTGAGCATCGAAAGTGTGACAGCCGGAACGAAGCTGCAGTCCCAGCCTTAAGGATGCGAATTCCCTTCGAATGATGATTCCAAAGTAGATCACAAAAGGGATCTTTCACATTCGGTGTGATTCCATCGCGGAACCGTAGGCATGATGGGCTTAAGCAGTCGGTAGTGTGTAAAGTTGTACTCGCACAGGTTTCCAAGTCGCGAAAAATTGTAGGCCGTTCACTCGTTAACCCGAAGAGAAGCGAAGCATCCGTCGCTTGTGGACGACGAGAAGTGCTCCCCCCTTTTTCCTTCTGCGCGAGAGCTCTCGGTCAATCAGATTTGCAGGGTCTCGGCCCCGAGTTTCCGAAGCGCCGCGCCGCCTTGAGCGAAGACGAGGCATTTTGTAGGGAATGGTCTCGTCTTGGGCTCTCCGGTGCTAACCGGCCGCACAGCAGTGATTCTATTGATGATAATCAACTCACCTGCACTTTTCGAACGGAGAATTCCTCGCGAAACGAATCAGACCTCGGAGCTGCAAAAAACTCTGTTTCGCGCCCGAATTTCAAACGACTTCGCGCTCGAGAAGATGGCCGCGCGCCGAACGTCATCCCGCCGATGGTCCATATGCGGAACTCCCAGCGAGGCAATGATGTTTGTTTCTGTCGATCTACGAGTGATTGTATAGATGTTACCGCGAGCTAGAGTGTGTCAGGCTTACAACCATTGAGTGCCGATACTCGGCACTCGGGACCGTCGAGCGTCATGCGTGATGTGAGTGAATCAACAATCTGTACTGGGCATGAAAACTTTACCGAAAATTCGACGATGTTTCTGGGTTCAGATTCAGTACCCCGGTATGACAATATGCAAGGCTACAAGATCGGTCATTCTTGATGAAAACCGAGGGGCTGAGCGCCTTGATCGTGTGGAGCTCATGACAATATGCTGGTGGAATCCGCTCTCGAACTCCCCGAGATCATTGCCTCTTGCCGAGTGTGGATGGTAACGTTCGAAATCGTACTCAATCGTTACGGGAGTTCTGGGATTTATTTTCTTGGATATCTTATGAACTCCGTCGGACTCGTCATCGCCCTTGACGGCTCGGACATATGGAGTAGCTGAATACCGTACGGATGAGTCGTCGAGAAGTTCGAGAGAAACTCGTAGAATAAGGGAGCAGGAGCCCAATTAGGGAATCCGCAAGAATCCAGCCTGATGAATTGCCGGAAGGTCTGCCGATTAAGAGTGTTCTTCCTTGAGAATCCCTGTCGTAAAGTTGCATCGAAGTAGGATTCCCCGCAGGCTCGAACAGGATTAGATTGAACGTCTCGTGTCATGATGATGTTTATTCCACTCTACTCAGTATTCTGCAGCTCCGGAGGGGTCCACGTCCGGGAAATCCCGATAAGTCGTACTTCCCCAGCCGGTGATAGCTCAGAGAAGCTAAAATTTGTGGACCAATTGCGCAATCCAATCCACGTGTACGGCGAAGACGACTTCTACATCAGAGTCTTCGAAGGAACCTTATCTCGCTGCCTCAGACTCGGGATTTGATCAGAGCCGCATTCCAGTTGACGACTCCGCGGAAATCGTAATTTCTCTTCTGTCCCCCAGATCCGGCTTAGTGCTTATGGCTACAGCGTGACATGTCGCGTGGCGCAAAGTTCACTCAGACTGGACGTGAGTACCACTGACGAGTGTCCAATCCTCTATTCTCTATTGCCTCTGGAAGCGTTTAATATCGAGAGACTGGGAGTATAGACTTCTGATGATTAGTGACTGGAAAAAAATACAGGTGTCGGCAGATCTCATCCGGGACATGGTTCGGGAAGCCCTCGGTCAGGTTTCCAATGAGAGTGATCTCAAGCTCGAGAATATCTCGGTGAGTATAGGCTCGACTTGGCTCCGAAACGGCCTTCTCAACTTCGCCGCTCCACAGTTCTATGTCTTTGTGTGGGGAACTGATCGAGATTTTGTTGAGCCCTCTGGTGCTAACCTGGACAGATAAAAAAATTTCTTTTCCCATCAGGTGTCACGGAGCGGCTTCAAAATCCAATTTGTGCACGATCCGTCGCTAACCGAAATGAGCGTTCTGCAGCCGCGGTCAGGACGGAAAGCGTCGCCCGACTTCATCGACGGTGTCCTGAACTACGGCGGAACTTTCAAAAAGGTCACCCATCGAATCCAACGTCATTCATGTGGCCTCTGGCGACATCTGTGCTAGACTCGACTTCGACTCATGTTCATTCTGAAAGTTGTTTCTTCCCGAAGGTCCGCAATCATCTCGGTCTCTATTACTTGTTCATTACCGAGGAGCCTGTGGTGGACCTCAGCGCCTCCCCTATCGAAGTGCCACGCAATGCAGTTTTGCAAAGACCCAGTTTGAATGTCACCCCGCGTTCCGTCGGTCTCTCGCCGGCTCGCGAGCGTAAACGAGAACTCTACCAAAGTCTGTTCGACGAGGATATCGATGAACACGAAAAATTCGGATCTCCGGTATGGGAATGAGAACAAATCTCCTGAAGGTCACAGATTTCGCCTTGCGTACTCCGAAGCGGCGTTAACTCCGATTGGCATCTTCGCCATCCTCACCATATCCTCATTCGATTTCTCTCCGCAGGAGAAACCGATTAGAAGTTCGCCAAAAGCTGCCGGGAAAAAAGTTCCTCCGAAAAATCCGTCGATCGGGGATAGTGAGGTAAATGTGGTAATTCACATTTTGGCCCACTAACAATGAAATTGGAGCGAGTATTGCCAAACTCGAATTCTGCTAACAGATCTCGAGTTATCGATTGAACTCTTCAGAGCAAAACCTACACCGATGAGAAGACACCTACGAAACAGAAATCAAAAGATTCTGGTGCGAGATACCGGCCATCCGCTCCTGGTGCGACCCGAGACGTCGAAAGTTACGTGCCCACGGGGGTCAGCGGAAGCTCCTTGACCTATAGCCCTAGCAAAATTGACAGGCGAGCCAACGGTGCTGAGCACGCTGCTGGATACGTCCCTACAGTTAAGGAAAAGAGAATTGTAGGTGCTTTCATCATCAAACGCGCTCGCCTCACCTCAGAGCTTTCGAAACAATGGGGTGGATGGGTATCCTCTTTCGAACTGCTTCAAATGCCTCACATTACAGGCGATTACGAGGGGAGCGGAACAGTACGTCCCTTCGAAAACGGCATCCTCAATGAAGGCTACTTACGTCCCCACAGAGATCAACACGTGAGTGTAGGGGAGAACCTACCCGAGGGGATACTTCGATATGCATTCTGATTGAATAGGACTACTTCATTTTGAATTCACGCTCCTCTACAGGAAATCCGCTTCGAGAACTCTCAAGATTTCGAAAACAGCCACCTACAAACCTAGTCGGAAGCAGTCACCCGAAGTGAATGAGTACGTGCCAGCGGGTGGGACTTCGGAGGCGACATCAGGAGTCTCTTACAAACCCACAATGAAAAGAACGAATAGACTGGGAGCATCCCCAGACACGAAAGCAAAGCACGATGAGGCATATGAGCCCTCCGGAGTCACTGATTCCAAGCTACAATATCGGTGAGATTCGTCGCTAGACTGTTTCGTTATTGCATGTTAGGTCCGGGTGTCCGGGTGATTGGGTGGGACGAGCGGTCTACTCGATGACTCGATAGCGAGTGATTTCGTCGTCATCAGATTTATTGAGAACCGAATACTCAACGGCGCGCCGGAGGTACGGCGCGCTGACAGCAACTCGGTCCCAGCATCTCTCCCCTTCTCAGGCCGTAGACCCGCGAGTGCGCGATAATCTAAGCGGGGTCTAATCCTGTAAGACCGACGTAGCGGAGGGGTACTCGGTACTGCAGGCGGGTCCGATACATCGGTGGCAGTTTCTCGAGTGAGAACCGGGAACTCAAAAAGGTCAGCAGGAACCGGGGGTTGATGATCCCGTGGAGAGCAGCTGCGCTTCCAAAGCTGGTTTCGATGACGAATGAGCTCTTGGCCTTGTGCCTCAACTTTAACCATGACCGGCCCAATGAATTGACGAATCGTCGCCGTTACCCTGCTTCCATCAGCGAGAGCGATCGTCACAGTTTCCCCGATGGAGAACGAGCGCGGTTTTGCGCCATGATGACGATAGTAGTACGTTTCTATCTTTTCCTGGCCCTCCGCACGAGGAACGTCAACAGCTTCTCCAAATTCGTTGATGCGGTTTGGCTCTCGCCGGCAACTAGCCGAGCTCTCGTCGCCTACCTCCGCAACTCGTTCCGTCTTTTCGGGCCACCTGACACCATGGTGTCAGACAACGGCGGCCAGTTCGTCTCGGTTGATTTCGCTAACCTGTGTGCGGATTTCTACATCATTCATCTCCGTTGCGCTCCTCGTTGCCCTCAGAGTAATGGTCAAGCGGAAAGGATGGTTGGGACGTAAAAAAACGCGATCGCCTCCGATCCTGCCTCGTTAGATGCCGCTGTGGCCGCGTATAACTATACGCCGATCCACAATCGGTGGCGAAAACCCGCCCGAAGTATTTTTCGGCCGGAAGATCAGATCCCCTCTGGAGGTTTTGTCGCGGAGGCCTGTTGACGTTCCTCGTACGGAGGGCCAGGAAAAGATGGAAGCGTACTACAATCGTCATCGTAGCGCCAAACCGCGCTCGTTCTCCATCGGGTAGAACTGTGACGATCGCTCTCGCTGATGGGAGCAGGGTAACGGCGACGATTCGTCAATTCATTGGGCCAGTCATGGTTAAAGTTGAGGCACACAAGGCCGAGCGCTCATTCGTCATCGAAACCAGCTTTGGAAGCGCAGCTGCTCTCCACGGGATCATCAACCCCCGGTTCCTGCTGACCTTTTTGAGTTCCTGTTTCTCACTCGAGAAACTGCCAGCGATGTACCGGACCCGCCTGCAGTACCGAGTACCCCTCCGCTACGTCGGTCTTACAGGATTAGACCCCGCTTGGATGATCGCGCACTCGCGGGTCTACGGCCTGAGAAGGGGAGAGATGCTGGGACCGAGTTGCTGTCAGCGCGCCGTACCACCGGCGCGCCGTTGAATATTCGGTTTTCAATGAATCTGATGACGACGAAATCACTTGCTATCGAGTCATCGAGAAGACCGCTCGTCACTCTGTTTTCCTTTGTGTCCCACGTCCCACCCCATCACCCGGACCTAACATTGCTTAGGGTGCTGATGATTTGACTCGCGGCGATGGAAGAGTCGGTTGACGATTTCCCTTTTTTCAGTCCCTCGCAAATCACGACGCTTACGAGTCAAAACACATTTTCCCCGGAACCTCCGCTCCAACTTCGCACCGTCAGACGTAAACGTACGGAAGCGTCACCGGAGAAAACAGACGCACAAAAAAGACTTCGACACAACAAAGCATCAGCCCCCGAGAAGTGTTTGATGTCTGTAAGTTACTTCTTGTCCAACTTCGTGAACTCTCCACTTTCGGAAACACTGGCATTAGATATCGGCATCGACTCGTTGACGTATGTAATTCTATACGAGCGACGTGGTATGTTCTTCTCCGACTGTAGGACTTGATGTTCGGCTGGACAAAAGAGAACCAAGATCGCATCGACAAGAAATCCTACTCCGACAAAGAGATTTCTCTGCTGGAAGCTGAGATTTCCAGGCTCAGATCTCTGAAGAGTCTCACCGAAAGTCACATCAGGTGCGATGTGAAACCCGATCTTAGTTATCATGTAGCCGCTCCGTCAAATTGGTAGTTCGATAGCTGTGTAGGAATCTTGATCGGATTCTCACTCACACGTTGAGCTTTCTTTAATTGCTTGGAGCTCAGATCGAATCCTGAGAAATCTTAGGCGTTCCCTTCTTTTGTTGACTTGTTTCCCTCTGCATCACAACCTCTTCACCGTCTTTCCACCGTCCCGACCGAGTTCAAGTGAATTCATGTGAATGCTTGTCGATAATGATCGTTCGAGACACGCTGCGGTCGAAACCAAATTTTTCGATTGCTTACAACGTCCCATGGAAGCTGTACCTGCTCTATATTAACGAATGGATTGAGTCCGTATATACGAGGGTTTCTTGCCATTTTTCCCGCACCCTGTGTTCCAGCCTCAGTTTCAGAGAGGTCTCACCCGGAATGATCCTTCCAATAGAACTTTCAATACGGCGGACTCCGCTTAATTAGAAGGCATTGGGGCTGGATTATTCTGCTTCGATTAGGCGGAGGTTGCAATCATCCAGAACCCGACCTGATTTACCCGGATGGGCCGGGTCATTCCGTTAGGCCGCCTTTTTTAGGCGGAGTCCGCTGTACAAGGATGTCATGCATGCTTCCCTCTGAGCCGGGAGAACTTTCTCGTCAGACGTTTCTCGATCGTACCGCTATGAGATCTCCTAACATCCTTCCAGGTATCTGTTCTACAAGCTGGAGCACGAAATACCGTTGGTGGCGGTCGGTGAACCGCTAAGACAGCGACATGTTTTGTTCATGAACGAGCAAAGCGCTCTCCTCGACAATGCCATCCCAATTACGGTGAGTGTCCGTTTCGGAACGGATGTCGCACCAACCGCGTTGTTGGAACATGCTCGGAACAACAATCGACGAGGCTGCTGTTACTCACAATCAGTCAGTTAGTCGATCAGTCAAATCTAGGGAAGTCCAAATTGACATCATTAGCAATGGTTCTCAGGCGGTATCTCCGACACAGCTCGATCTCATAAGGAAACTATGCATGGACCATTTCAATCAGGAGCACGGATTCAACATATTGTACGTCGTGCGAGTGCTCCTGCCCGAGGTAAATGGCCCGAGACAGTTTTCTTTGGCTCAACTCTTTCGTTTTGATCGTCATGCTCCCCGTTGCGTTTTTTCCCGACAGGCTCGAAAATAGATTGGATGATTATTCGGTCCTCTCCATAGGTGATCATTCGCATGCATATGCTCGTCCATGGCACTTCATACGAAGAGAGTGATAAGCAAACAGATATAGGGCTCGTTGACTTGAACAAGGCCCAATCTCGCCGAAGTCAGAACGTCATGGATCGTATCCAGCAGACCAAGTAGAAAGTAGTCAATTGTCCAGCTCTATGATCTGGTAGTGTTTCGAGGCGCTCCTGTTATAGCCCGAATTGCCATTCCGAGACCGCTCTTGTTTCGCGGTCGCAGTGGATCAGTCTTTCATTCTGATAGCGTTAGTAATATTAACCCTCGAGCGTCCCCTCCCCGAAAAATCAGTTTCCGATTCGGAGAGTGCCTCAGAGGTCCGGTGTGCCCTGGTTCGCGGAGCTGGATCTCGAGCTCCGTTGTTCAGACATCATAGTGATCCTGCGATGAATATCTCAAATGCTCAAGTATATAATGGGACGGTTTCGATTTGGAAACCGAGCATGAGCTCGGAGCTCTTGGGAGAGAATCGCCTTACTACACTTATGGAAGCACAATCTTAGTTTGCTCATAATAAAGTGCTCATAATTTCTGTGTTCATACGGACGACTCGTTCTTTATCTCTCAAACCCTGGATGGTCGCACAGATCGATACGTCGGGAATTGATGGCCGAAGACGATTTTCAGGCCGAGGCCAGCTGGCAGCGGTGCGGTTGGAACAGATTGATCCCGAGAGTCGCCTGAAGTCCGAGATTCGTCGAAGGAGCGGTGGTGTCCCGCAGTTCGCTGAGCGGCCACTGGTAAGGGTGAGGGTAAACGCTCATTGGCTTTCCGTCAGCGTTGCGAGCAGACACTGCACAGTGCGACTGACGAGTCGAAACACAACAACTACTTGTTGCGATTGACACTTCGACGGCTTCAAATTGGATTGCAGTAAGTCTCGTTCGATTACACGGAATTACCGAAACAGCTCCGTGTTAAGCTGCCTTTCTATCTCAAGAGCGAATTCCTCTGATCGTTCGGAATTAATCAGTGATCAAAACGGACTGCGGGTGATGGGAACGAGTACATCAATCGATGAAATAGTAACCTCGATTAGCTTTCGATTTCTTACAATGGAATCTGATCCATGGAAATGGATCAGATGCCGTGCTCTCCGGGCTGAGAGCGTAAACATTTAGATTTGATATTTCGAGAAGCCCTGTGTCGGCACCATGTCCGTATCAGCACCAGTGGACTAGGAAACCATAGGAGCTACGACGAAGCCGAACCGCATCGCGTTCCTCGCTGATTTATTCGCGTGAATACATCCCGCCTAAGCTGCCGAGAGCCGCTCGGTACTTCCTCAAGTCGTTCACTTTGCAGATTCGAATCAGAAAATGTCGTCGCTGCAGCAGCTCCGGAAGCAGGTGGAACAGCTGCGGCGCGAAGCGAACCAGCAGAGGATTCCCGCATCTCGGGCGATCGAGGATCTTTTAGCCTATGTGACTGAGCGCAAAAACGAAGATTATCTCTACGTCGGCTTCCCGAATCAGAAATTGAATCCTTTCCGGGAGAAGAGTGCCTGCAACATGCTATAGCTTCGAATATTCGACGAGAGTCGTTGACTTCGTGAGCTGATGATGGCGGGGCGCACCAGATTGTCCGGCACTCACACCCTTTCCTTCACTGGACGACCTTCCCAAACATTGTGACATCACACCCGTAGAACGTCCCCGAGAGACGAGTCCCCGGGAGTTCGATCGAGCGTCTTTCGAATCGCGATTTATAAATGCAAAATGAGGAGGAGACGCGGAGGTTTTCTAGGTATTCGTTGTAAAACCCTACAAAGTATGGAGGAAGCACTCATAAACAGTAACCTTATATTCCACGCGTGTCTTGTTTTGCCCCCTGACCTCGAATGGTTCCGCTAGTTTCTTGAACAATATATCGCGGCAGCCACAAAGAAGCCCAAGCCCTGGGTGGACGTCGTCATTTTTATTATCTTCCTTATTGCAACTTCATTATTCATCTCGACGTCTCGGCCATCGGCACGATTGAGAGCTTTGGCGCGGTAGAATCAGATCACACGGTACACCAAATGATGACACCCGTCGGGAAACATGGGAAACACTAGCCACAACAATGTTCAAAGATTCCAAGGCTCACCTTTACCTTAATAATCAAGCCTGGGTTCCTCATGGCCTCATGCTTGCGGGGTAATTTCATGCCGCTGCCGAGTAATCTGACTGTGTTAGATCGAATTAGGGGAATCGCTGTCATTGATCTGGTCGAATTTGGCTGCTGTACCGAACGATCTCGGCATTGTTTGCGCGGCGTTCCCCTCTCAGGATGCTCTTAGCGGATCTCTTTTTCAGACTCCTCAATTACTACCCAGGAAGACTCATTCAAGTCAGGAGTCATTTATGCTCATTTAATTCTATCGAAGATAGATGGCCGATTGAGAAACAAGATACGATCTCTGATTATTCGATCCGAAATGCTGTTGAATATTTTTAAAGTAAAGATGGGATCCCCACGCTGAGGACTCTTTTGAAAATTCGGTCCGTTCCTTGCTCAGCTAGATGAATTCGCAATCAATCGAGATGAGGGACAATATCACACTGGCTTCAATATTCGGCAACCTTATTCCGGTCAATCCTGTGAAACCTTCGTCAGCTAATGATTACAGCCGCAACATTGACGGGCTGTCTTCAGTCTTTCGGCGGACAGTGTATTGCAGGCTAGCGGCGAGGACACCCGCGTAGAATTGAGCCTGAGAAGAGGCCACGCAGAACTCTAATCGAGGAAACGGATATGCGCGCCATGGTCCGGCTAATCACAGAACAGTATGCCACGTCAATAGCCTAGGAGGTGAAGGTTATTTTGTACATTGAGTTATTCCGCTGCGATACCGGCGCGGAGTCGGCGTCGTCAGTCAGTGCGATCCGACTCCTTAATTCGTACACCACCCCCTTTTCTGCAGCAGGGGAATCACGTAACTCCGTCGCGCCGCCAGCTTAGGATTAGACTTCTAGATAAGCGCCCCACAATCCGCATTCGAGCTGGCGAGCTAGCAAGTGGAGGAGTTTCATCCTTCCGAGAGGTCTTCAGAGCAGATTTTCTCAAAGCACAAATAAGGCATCTTCCAACACCTCCCGCTGGCCGGGAGCGGGTCGACATCTCGGAAGGATCACCCGGCTTGTGCGAGTCCGATCAGACTTGATTAACTAGTTAAATCACAGACAAATTCCTCCTACGATCACTCGCCTCGGGAAATTTCGACGCCAGCGGCTGGTGCCTGTGACGGACGTGGGAACCCTTGCGCAGGACATCGGATAATAAACTCCCCAACACAGTACACGTTCATCGAACCCTTCCCATTCCGCGCTAAATTGATATATTCTCAAATCGAGTACCGGTTCTCGGCCCCGCTGCTCGAGTTCCGGATACTGGTGATCATGGATTCAGGATCTCACAGGAAATTCGAATGGTGTCGTTTGTGTCGCTTCGTCTCTGCGCTAGGCTTCGCGGCAGCGGAAGCTGCTTGTGCACCGGCGTCTTTGCCTGAGGCAGGCCGTCCTGAAGAAGGTCCCGCCTCTTGGTAGCGTCATCTGTTGCCAGCGTCAAGGTTCGAAGTCGTCGCTGAGCTGGTCGCGGAAGAGGTCGAAGCGGCCGTCGTAAGCTGAGACGGCATCTGTCGATGCGCCATCTCGGGCGTCGCAAGAGGAGACTTCGCACCTCCGCCGCCGGAGTGTACGCTGACCATGGATATGGTTGGAGAGGGCGCGTGCCATTGACGGAATAGTTCGCAAAACTTGTTGTTCGGGAAGAGAGACGCGAGCATTCCTTCCATGAGTACGTAGACGAGACGCCTGTTCAAGGCCTGATGCTGGAACATCTCGAAAACGCACAGCATCCCTCGACGTGTTGTGTCACTTCCGATTATTCGTTTCAGATCATCTGTAAGGCAATTCAGACCATTTTCAGAGCATCTGTTCACGAAATAATTTGCTGCCTCTCCCATTTTCCCTCTCGAGAGCATTCGATTTTCATCAACGCCCATCGGTGAGTCGGTTCCGATCGGACCACTCACCGGTTACACTGCACAATAGGAGAACTTTCGCGGCGATTCTTGTGCGATTTTTAGTTTTCGCGTCGCGCTCTCTCCCCTGCTCGGCGAGGATGCCGTTGGGCCAGAGCGCGTTCTTGAAGGTCTTGACGTATTCCGCGATCTGCTCTGAAGAGGTCAGCTCCGCCACAGACTCGACGATTCTCCGATTTATCGTATCTCCAAATGTGGTTTTGACGATTTGACGTAAAATGACGATGATCCGACGTCTTCAGATTTCGAGTCGCCAGAGGAAGTGGGAAAAGGGAAGAGCGGAAAAAGCATTGAAGTCGCAATCTTGATTTGAGTTGAACGCCCTCGTATCTACTCATCAGCAGTACGAGCTAGTGACATACGAGATAAGGATATTATCGGAGTTCAAAGCGAGAAATTCCTGGAGAATACAATAGACGAGGCTCACCTCAGCCATGTGTTGCGAGTTTTCAAGTCGAACACTTCGTCCATCAGAAGCAGGAGGATTCTGAATGGGATATTGTCGTCGACATCGATATCGATGCCCGCTCCTACTTTGGAGTTGTCCTCGAAATGCTCCGCGGGTTTCGATCGCATCACCCGTACCAGGCCGTCTTTCAATCCGTCAAATATGTTCTCGGGAACATTTTTGACCATCGATCCGACCGTCCTCACGGAAGTCTTCAGCGGGTTCACGAAAGCGTTCATACCGCGTTTGGCTACGAAAGAAAATTCGATCATACGTTAGATGACCGACAGCGAGCGGCCCCACTCAGCCGAGTCCTGGACTAACGCCGGAATCCAAAAGCGCGGTCCCTCTCACTTTTTTTAATCGTGTGCTCGTATCGTCCAGGCTCCAGGAATTGTTCCACTAGTCTAGCCATGTCTGCGTTCTCCTTATAGTTTAGAACGCTCGGCTGCAGTAGACTCTGGAGGTACATGTTGAGTTGAGTTTTCCGCTGCTCCAAGAAAGCTGTCGACATGTTGTTGAACGTCTTTTTACCGGGGAATGCCGTCGTGACAAGATGAGGAAACTGGGGAGGGAATTTGTCCCTGTCAGCCGGAATCTTTCTGTTTCGATGACACTGTGCCTTTCGAGACGAAGAAATGATCACAACGAAGCTTCGCCGGGGGCGCCGGGGAAGCCTACTCTCTCGTGGACTTACGAGTTTAAGAAGCTTTGTGTGGAAGTCATGAAAATCCGAATAGCGCCTGAAGACACACCACTTTGCTTCCATCTGGTTCGGTTCAAGCTTCGTGACGGAGATTGCGTACAAGGCGTACGTCGATGTACCTCGCCGCACGATTCCCGTATTGTAGATAGAGGCACAGAGGTACGACTCAGCGCTGGGCGATTGCGGAGGAGGCATATTTGACGCGAGAAACTCATCTGGCGGCGGAGTCAGAAATTCGACGTCCTCCCCACCGGGTTCGAGACTGTTCAGACTTGCGGAATCCTCTCCGCTGCCGTACGACCGATTGCCGTAAGACAGTCCGAGAGACTCCATGTCCTCGTCGGACTTGACGCTCGGCTCCCTCTGATCGGTGATCAAATCGAGCTCGGCCAGCAACCGAATGTAATAATAACTCTTCTTGAAAGCGGCATAGTATTGTGGTTCCTGCATTTTCTCCATCACCTGCAACGGATCGACGTTCCCAATTACCTGCGAGAAAAATCTATTCACAATCGATTACGATATTCAGACAAGCCCTTCGGATGGCCCACCTCTGCTTGAATGTCGTCGAACCAGTTCATGTTGAACTTCTCGGAGGAGAATCTCTTTAGGAACTTCTTGATATGTCTCTGATCAACGTTGATACGTGGGGAAGCCTGAAAAGACGAAGAGGGTGAGCTCCTCCATTTCTTCCCCGCTGGTCCCGCAAGGAGTACACGGGCTTATGATCAGAGCGCTGTCTCTTGGTGAACCCCTCACTTTATCCAATCCTGTTGTGAAACATATAAGGAACAAAGCAGAATGGTTGAACGACGATGGAGAGCGGATCCTCTCCATCAGCAATAATTATTCGAGGTAGGAATTCACCTGCTCAGAGAGATAGGTGCTATAAATATGCTGAGCGGCTTCCCGCTGACTTTTGATGGAGTTCTCAACTCGAGAGGGGGTGGCATCGCCTCCCACAGCTCGCATTGTCGATGCGGTTTGTTCCGCCGAAGTTTTGAAACCTTCGACATGCAAGTGGAACATTATCAAGTTTTGGGCATTGATGCTGGTCATGAATTCTGGAAGAGAAGCGAGAGTTCTTCGTAATGGGGTTTTCATGTAAGCCGTGACTCGTATGGCAGATTCAGGCGACAAAAACTCACCAATAAAGTAAGATAAGGCGATGTTCATGTTGAGAATATCCTCAAAGGGTATATTGAAAAGTTCGCCTGCCATGAGTTTCTTCAGGTCGTCCTGACATGGGAATCCGGCAACATCGTTATCACACGTTCCGTCCTCAAGACGCTGTATGCGTTCTGGAAGAGCGAATTGGGTAAACTTAGTCGAACCTTCAAGTGGACGCGAAAAAAATCGCGTGTCCGTGTCCATCGGCGCGTCTGCATTCTCGAGGGGAACTCACTCTCAATAATTTCTCGGACGTAATTCAACGAGGCGAGCTGCTGCTTCACCTGTTCGTCCTGCTCGCCACCTTTGTCTCGACTTCGCTGGACCGCAATCTCGTGATTCACGACCTCGAGGGTGGCCGTCAACTCGACCAAATTGTCTGTGCATCGGAGAACCGCCATGAAGTCGTCGGACGAGATGCCGCTCTCTTTGTTCTGGAAACGAATTTCTCGAGAATGAAAACTCCTCCCTTCACGGAAGCGAATACGCAACCTGGCACACACGCAATCCATGCCTTCGTGCGGGGCAGCAGCGATATTTCTCCACTGTGTGATCTGATTCTCTGTATCTTGGGTAGATATTGAGTATCCTTCGGGGAGTGCTTTCTCCCTTGACAACTATTCAGCGGCGCTCGTTCCAGAGTTCCATCCTAGAACGTGATTCCAATCGTGCATGCCCATTCAGGTCCTAGTCCAGATCAGTGCAGCAGCGTGCGAAGGGATTCCACGGCATTCCTCGCTGTGTGCTTGAGCTAGAGAATTTTCGCTACTCACATCGGGATCGGATTTGTAGATTTTACGCTGACGTACCATCCAAACAATTGTTTGATTTATGTAGTCGGGATCGGTGATGAGATCGATGACCGGTAGAAGAACGATATTAGCTATGAGTTCTCGAAGGAAGACGCGTGTGACTCGGTTTTGGAAGTCGGCGGGGGGTAAGAGTAAGTAGAGTAGAACTTCGGAAACCTGTTGCAAGTACTCTGCAAGGAAAAAAAACATTTCTAGCCCTCCTTTTCCGACACGCCGAGAAACACTCGGCAGAACCTCCTCTCGAGCTCGATCGGGGATTAGTACGCAATCGGCGATCATGAGTCACTCACGAATTTCGCGTTCTTTTGATATGCAGACAAGGTCTCGGCAGAGTGAGCGTTCCATAGCGGTCTCCATGGTGAAGAAAGTCCGGAGGAGATCTTCCGCTCGCGCGTCTGATTCTTGCTGAGGTTTACGCATCACCTGCGAATTCGGGATCGGTCTCGTCAGACTGTTCAGCATCCCGATAAGGACTTGGACGGCGGCACAATTCGGAACCGGAGAGAGTTCTCGTACTGATGTTCACGAGGTCGATGATCTCAAAACTTTACCTTGGCTTGAGCTTGTCTGAAGAGTCGTAGATGTGATGCGAAGTCATCCACGAGGTTGACAGTGAGATAAGAAACCTGTAGGGAAGGAAATTTCAGATGGAGTTCCTCAATGGAAGGTCAGCCCTCGACGTGATGGAGGCCTCGTGCCAGAATTTCTCCAGAACGACGTTCCCCTTGTGGATTGAGCTCACTCTCAAGCAAATGCGACATACCCAATCTACTTCTCTGGCCTTGTTGGACAGGTTCACCACAACCTCATGGAAAAGGTCTTTGATGTGCGCTACAAATGATTCATCCTGCGAGATCAGCGAGTACCACGGCGTGACGTAGTCTCGGAACAGCAACTGGAGGACGTCCGACAACGATTCATCTATCACTGTATGTCCCGTCAGATAACGTTCCCGACGCGGTTTCCGGGAAGGTGAAAGAACAGACCTGAAATTGAGAGCCTTCTGTCAGGATCCGCAGTTCCTCCAATTGTTTCAATTTCAATAAAAGCGATCAGCTCTTCAACTATCACTAGCCAATGTATTCGTTTCGCCCGATACGAATTCGCCCAACGGTCTCACCGTGTGATATGTGGGATGCCTTTGAAGCCGATGGGCGAGTCAGTCGGAGATGAGGCACACAAGGCCGCGGTGAGGGGATCGGATGTCTCCTCGTTCTGTCGGACAAGTTCGAAGACATAACTCATCGAAGCCAACCTGGGAAATTGCAATCAATGAGAGAAAATTTCATGTTGTGGCACGAGCCACTGACGCTCATTAACAGCATCGAGTCGTCTATCCGGACTGAAAATAAAATACGCACCCAGCGAGGAGACTCAATAACGTGATCGGAAGAACGAGTATGAGTGAGTAGCCGTGGCAAAGCCAGAGTACTCCCGCTGAAACGGCCAGCCAAGAGCACACCGCGGTCTCGATGGTCATCTGGAGATAACGAGCAACTCAATACTCGGATGGGCTTGCTTAGCTAGCCGCAAGATAAATATTTAACTATACGTCCAACTTCTCGATGATCGGCAGTTCGCTTTATCTTTTCGAATTTCCCTCATTGAACCGGGTCACTGAATGATCAACGTTAAGGTTCACGAGAGAGCTGAGCTCTCCATCTCCCCGAAGTTTCCCAGCCTTCCCATTCGAATAAAGATATGTCGGTTATTATCTCTGTATGCATGGATCAAATATTTCATTCATCGCATCCACCTATCCGGCCTCTCGCTCGCTGATTCACGAAAGAAGTCAACTGTCATTCCAAGATAAGTGAATTGTTGCACTTAGGTCTAACAGGCGACGATTGTGTCAGCGCTTTTACGTGCTGGCCCCATTGAAAAAATCGCGACCTAGGTTCACGGGAGCATATTCGAGCTCAGCCCGTATATCTCATCTCTGGGAAACTTCTACTTCAGATGAAAGGAAGACAGAGAGATCGAGGGATACATCCATAATTAACAATTCACAAACTAGGTGAGCTGATGGATACTCCTCTCGAGATGATAGCATATAACCTCTGGACTGCCACCGAGATCACTTGTATGTTCTTCAGTTCCCGCAATGACTAATCTCCTCATAGATTCTGCGGAAGCATTGCTCGAGGACGCTTCTTACGCGTCAAGATTCGAATTCGCTCCAAATTTCGACTCCCGACTCCCGTTGACGGGCTCGGAATGAAAGCTCTCTTGGCGCAACCACCGACTCGGAAACCGCGCCTCGGAGCGAACATTGACGCGAGCTGGACCCCTTCCTCCAATTGGATTCCCGGCAAGATCAGCGCGTCAGACTAATCGACATGCGACCCTAGGAAGTTGCCAGAGACTTCCTGGTTGCTGATCGAAGGGTTACGAGTGTGTAGAATTCGAACGAACAGATTCAGATAATCCACAGCTGTGGGAATTCGGTGTCATTTGATTCTCTGGTCGCACCTGATCTTTCCAGGAGGCGTGACTTTCACCAGAAACGTCAGTCGACGATTCTCCAACCTACCTTGGGCGCCTGATTCTTCAGCCGATGAGTACGCGAGACGTCATCGCCGATTCTCACCGCATTCGGCAATCATCACTCAGTCCGCCCAATGTCTCAACAAATAGATCTGCCGGATCTCTGGATGAGCAGAAGATCTGGAGGGGCTCCCAAGCTCGGTGGATACTATCGGCTATCGCGGCTATGTTTCATGAACATGAACGTGACCGAGGCCCTTGATCGCGGAACATGGTCTCTGTGGCTGTGAACTGCTGAGAGCGGAACACACTCCACCTAAGTCTTGCCAGCGGCAGCAGCAGCAGTAGCACCACCAGCACACGGCAGCCAGAGACTTTCACCACAACAGAATCTCGGCATCAAACTCGGCTTGTACGATCGTACGCCTTACTTTCCTCGCGGCCGTACTCATGCTCAAGATACCGTACGACTGTACGAGTGTCAAACTCATGGAAAATCCATCCAAGAATTATGGGGGGTGTGAAATTCAGCATAGATTGAATCTGTCTAAGGGAGAGTGCTGACAATGATGTTGATGATCTTTCGCTAGAATCTAAGCGAAAGAGGGCGATTCCTTCGACTGTCTCCGGTATCAGAGGATTTGGTTCCTCAGTCCCACGGAGGTTTACAGCTCATCGCTCAAGGGGTTGCCTTCCATCAGCTCAAGGTTTGATGAACTGATTCTTGCTTGTGAATCAAGGCGGATCCTTGATTGTCATGAGAGCTCTGAAGATGTCGAATCATCACTACCTCACACTACATATCTTCGAGCTCGCGGTGCTGCTGAAGAAAACTCATCTCGATAACATTCTCGATAACCTCGCAGAAAATGAACGAATATCGCCAGGAAATCTCTCCAGCTGCAGCTCCGATTCTCCCGCCCCTGAATACGGGCCAGGCCCCTCGGTGAGCGAGCTCAATAACGCTGGTTGGGAATCGACAGAGAGCAGGACGCAGCCCGCGCAGGATACCAGGAGGAATCCGAGCCCATGTGATGAAGCCACGAGAAAATTTCGAGCCCGCCGCTCAACACGGCCCGAACTAATCGTAAGCTTCCAAACGATAGGCGGAAAATTAAAATTAGAAACTACGGGAGGACCCTGGTCCCTGAGTGAACGAAGGGGCGAAGCATGACCTGAACTTGGTCCCCGCATCAGAACATAGGAATCGTGCCCCCAAGGGTGGGTTCGGGGCCGGACTGTGGGTAGCATGTACCTTAGCGGGGTTGTAGGCTACTGCCAAGCATGTATAGGAGTTCAGTTTGAAAATGGCGGATGCTGCCACGTCCGATTCAAAACAAACGTTGAAAAAATGCGTTCATCCGGATGTAGTGATGGCGGACGACTCTATGGTGTTTTGAGGAGACTTTTTCTGATGCTGTCAGCGTCAGATGAATGAAATGGCGTAATTACTCCCATTCTCATGTGAATAGTGCTCATCGAGGCGTGCTGCGTTCCTGTGAGTATTGCGTAGTGAATACATAACACGGAAGATCGAGGCGCGCTTCTGTCTTCTGTTCTACCGACACCGTTCCCAGTCCCCATTGACACTTCCAACTGTGGAACTGTTTTCTCTGATGTCATAGCGCCAGGGCAAGGTATCGATTTGAATAAGCTGGGGGAGATCGCGTCGCTCAGCTTGCCGCTCGCTGTGCTCCGAGCAGAAGAGGAGCTGAGGAAACCGCCCTAGCGTGTGATCTATTTTCTTCTTATCCCGAAGCGCCTTCCAGACAGCGGGATATCCGTCTCTTATCACTGGCTGGGAACGTTCGCCTATAGTGTGCGGAGAAGCTCAAGTATGGTCCAACGCCGAGCTCCCGTCGCGAAAGCCCAGGTCGCGATCGAGCTCGTTCGCGTTTCGAATTCGCTCGAGCCTCCGATAGGCCACGCAATATGCCGCCTATTTCTCCCCCGAACCCTACTCGTCGTCTGTGCGAGCTAATACAACGTTCTTCAGGTTGCTTGCCGATTATAAGCTGGCAGATCTCCGTGCGGAGAGTCCGAAACCGTTCCGGATGGAACATTCTTGGCTGGGAGCCCGAATCTCACGAGCTGGGTCTGGAAAAGTGAAACTTTTCGGTGAGCGGGGGTCGACGATCGTCCCTGGACTACTTAGCTCTTTGTTTATGTCGTGTCGCGGTCATGTGCCGAGCAAACTATCAAATTCATGCAAAGACCGTGACGTTGATTCTCGTCGATCCGATCATATGCGAGAAAGTCGTGCAAGCTGTTTTCGTTACTCCGATCCAGTTCTGAGAAATAAAGTCGCCGACTGCTGGCGGTCCGAGCGAACGAAGATGACTTCCGCATCGGGGATGCCACTCATCCCGTCGCTTAGTTCGCCGCACACAGAAACACCGATGGCGCCAAATGCGGTCCGAACCCTTCGTTCATCTTCTGCGTTGCGGTCTTTAGCGGCTACGAGCTCGATTGGCGTGTGAGGATTATCCATAATGAATAGGCTACTGGAGGCGCTCGTGATTGAAAGCGAGTTGCAAGGATATCACGAAGAAAAATCTTTGAGGTGTGATGCGATGCTGGACCCTGAGAATTTCGGACGGTAGACGAAGCGAATGAAATACCGAAGGGAGGGGGAGTCGCGAGAAACGGAGTAGGTCTCACTAGAATCCTGTCGCTTATCTTCGCAAAAATCAACATCGGAATTCCGAGATCAGGAATTGAATTCTCCGAGAGAGATAGCTCGATTGTGGACTCGACACCAACTCGACACTTTCCTTGCAGCGATTCTGGAGAGGCTAATCCAGAGAGTCCTTAGTGTCTGCATAGACTCGACTAGGCCAACTTGTTCCGCATTAAGGCAATGCCCGGTCCGGGTTTCGAACCCGCGCTCGGACCCCTAATTTTCAGAGTGCTCATCGACTCTACGCCGGTCCTTCTGGGCTCATGGAGGTCAGTGGATGAATCACATCGCAGAATTTCAATCCCAGAAGCAAAAGGGGAAAGTCGGAGCTTTGTTCCATTCATCGTGCGTCTGGGTGATCTGACGATCCCATTCCGCTCCTACAGGTAGATCGACTGCCCGATGGGCGACCTCTGGCCCAACTTTCCTTGGCTGAGATCAAGGAACAGTGTGCGATACGGAACCTGTCAAAGAATGGATCCCGGAAGGACTTGACCGATCGTCTCAAATTGGTAAGCTCATCGATCTCCCGCCACCTTTCGGAGTCGCCGAAGTAATTTCTAAAATTATTATTTTTATCGTGATCGATTTGACCGGGCTCCGTGCTCGAGAAAAACGTGTTTGCCCTCTGTAGGTTCAGAAGCTCTCCCCGTCCCATCGATTTCTCACTAATAATTGACTTTCTGACTGTTTTTCAGCGGCTCGAACTCGAAAAGCTCAGAGAAGAGGCATCTCGTGCTCTAGCCAAAGAAGATGTTGTGCCTAATATTGGCTTGCAGGTTCGTCGAATCCGCGAGATTGATTCCTCCCATTGAGTTCTCGGCTTGCTTACCGATTGGGGCACCGATGCATGCAATATATTCAGTCCACTGATGGAATTTCAAAAGTTCGTTGAGCCTATCAGGAAGCTTCTCTCTCCTGCAGGATACCCCCGTCGGTCAATCGGACATCGTACGGCAATACCTGGAAGCTCAACAGAGGAGACTACTTCTCTTCGGAGTTCAACGGCCCCATTTTGGGAACACAGTTCCGATCCAAGAAACGACACCGAGCGATGAACGGGTGAGGAGACAGCGGCAGCTTTTCCAGTATTCTGAGCCTTACGCGAGCGATGCTCCCGTGAATTGAGGAGCATCGTATGAATTGTCGTTCGACAACTTACTTCACGGATATTCTGCTGTCAGCATGCGTGCTTAGGATTGATGCGAGTCTCCACCGTGAGAGGCTTTCCTGCATCCGCATCAGTACAAAAAACTACCCGATCGATTCGGTCGGGCCCTGGAGAGTTCTTTTGTTCGTAGCTGTCGATAAGGCATATTGTGAGACTCGGAGAGAGGCTCAGCCTGATTCTCGATGCACGTGGCCGGCATTGTAGACCACAACCGGCTCCTGGGTCCCCGTCCCGAGGCAGGCCGCGCTATTGTTCACGGCCCTTGTACGAGAACACAGTCGATTTCCATATGATTATCTAGGGGATCGTGCGTGCTGCATACCGCCGTAAGATGATGATGATGATAATTATAATAATTATTAATATATTATTATTATTATTATTATTACTCGGGAAGATTCATATGGACAGCCATCCGCCTTGTAGATCGTAAACTCCTCAGGATTGGTTGACTCCAGCGCCTGATTTCGAATATTTCCTTCCTGCAGAAACGTCCGGTGGCTCAAAAAACGAAAGGATCTCTGAAACAAGCCGATCTGCTCGCTAGCACACCGGGAGCGACTAGGAATGTTTTGTCGAACACTGAGGCCACGGTCCTTGACGACCTCGAGGAGACCTCAAGCGCGGTGAAGACGACCCGCGGCCGATCCGCGAATCACAAAGCTCGAGCCGATGAGACTCCCGCCCGGAAGAAGACGCGCTACAATGCCAACGATGCGAGCAACTCTGTCTCAAAGATTTACGAAGATGCAACCTCAGCCGCTCCCAAGCGGCGACGTACGGTTCGTGGAAGTCCAATACAGGCAGATGGGCTCCAAACGCCAACGGTGACCCTAGAGCTCAGTCCGACTGGCACTGATGGCAAGGAAGTGAAACGCGGCCGTGGTAGACCCCGGAAAATCAAGGAGACACCTCCTGCAAACACCGTCGCCGAGCCGCTCCCTGCTCCCGGCTCATTGTCTGACGATGTTGCGCCGCAAGAACACCCGACGGTCAAAGCCGAAAGCGAAAAGAAGCCGATCGCTGCGGATAAAGATGAGAATCGTAGCACCAGGGCCAAACGGCTCAGATCTCAGGACGAGACCCCTCAGACGTTGCAGGATAGAGCCCGAGCCCCACATCCGCCGAGCTCGGTGAGTATCCGTCGCTCGAGAATCGGAATCATTTCCTGCATCACAAAATCGAATTCTTGGCTGGAATGGGAACCTTGAGCAACATTTACTCTGGCACGACGGTCCTTCCCGGAAGCGATTGAGATGCATTGAATTCATAAAAATCTTCAGGCGGATCCCGCACCATCTGACGCGTCTCAGGACCCTATCGAAGCCGCTCTTCTGGCGATGCACGGTGTCGAAGACGCTACCAAGAGCCCGAAAAGACGAACCGTAAGTCCCGGATCCTTTTCATATTCCCTCATCAGGGTGGCTGGTTCGCTGCTCCATAACTTTTCAAGAGAGATACGATGAACTTGTCGTAACGAAACCTTCCGTGTCTCATCAGTTGCCTGCCGATGAGCTCGGAAATGAGATCTTGAAAAATCATGAGAGTGAAGAGAGATCCGAGCAGCAAGACGATACTCCCGATCAACATGTAGATGATTTGGCCCATAATGACAGTATCCAATCTGGGGAGATCGTTGAAAATTGCGATACGGTGAGACTCGCCGTCGTCCGCGAGGACTCGTACTACCTCACTTGGCGCTTCTCGACTCTGTGCTTGCGAGTACACCATTTCCGCGCTCCCGATCTTTCGCAAGGCTCTTCGGAATTCCGGAACGGTTGCCCCGTCCCGTAATTTCGCTTTCGACATCCAGAGGGGTGATGCGAGAAGGCAGGCTCTGCAGGCAGGCTTGCTCTGACTATAAGCTCCTGGGAGACCCAAGAGAGACCCATATCCGAAGCTTGTCGTCTTCAGACTTCTGGCAATATTTCCCGCTCCTCTCACCGGCTCGCTTGCCCTCCTGTCACGTCATCGATGCTGCCCGAACGCCACGAACCCTCCCATCTCACACTCGAACACCCACATTGAAGTTCTCTCTGAACTTGACAATTTTCCGTAGAGGACGAAATCTCAAAAGATTTTCATTCACAGCTGCCTCGTTCTGCCCCCGGTGTCGATGCAACGGCGAGCGATACGACGGCAACGAGTCGAGAACGGTCGAAAACGGTAAAACCAGCCCGCAACAAAGAGGTCTCGCTACCTACCGTGAAGGAGGTCCCGAAAACCGTTGAGCCGAGAGCCGAACGTGTTATAGAGAGAGAATCAAAAGAGGTCTTCGCGAAAAAGTCGACTCCAGTCAGTCAAGGAAGTCCTCGACAAGATGTTAAACGTACAAGCGGAACCGTTGAGCGCACTGTTCGCGAAACTCGGAAGCGATCGAAAGTCGAGAACATCGTTCAGAAACTGACTCAAGACAAGGTGGAGGCCGATATCGCCGCAAAGGGTAAGCGAAACCCGCTCTCGCAGTTCCTCCACAGAGAATGGGGGGATACCCCGTCATCTCAAATTCCTTTAAATTAGCGATATTTTTCTACAACTTGTTTTTCATTCATCGTCACCAGAAGCTAGCCTCTCGAAGCGTCCACGGAAGGAGAACGGTCAGGCAGACACTTCGAAGCTTTCGGATGCATCACCCCCGAGCAGCGGGATATCGCCGGGTAAGCCATGGTTCATTCCGGTCGGATACCTTTCGGCTCTTTCGAAGCCCATCTCTGTTCGAAGTCCTATGGTTCCCCAGAGCGACGCCTCGTTCGGGGGGACATGCAGGACGCTTCCTTTCCGGAGATGAAAGGGACGAAGAAAATGACGCGGGAGCTCAAGATCCGTATTCACTTTCAGATGACTGTGTTTTACGTCTGCTCGGCGAAGGTCCCAAAGTAGAGAAGACCGACAAAAGGCCGCTAGACACACCTAAAACGAGCAGAGAGAAGAAACCCGATCTGGGAAGCCCTCGTGAGAAACGAACGAAGGACGAGTTGCCAACTGTATCATCTCCACCGTGAGTTTCTCCGCGATATAAAGTCGGAAATCATGTCGAATGTGCCCTGGTTCTCACTATCATCGAATTTCCATTCTCTCCGTCTCCAGGTCGCGACGAACTCGACGAGGACCCTCTGGCGAGGGGATCGATGCGAAGCTCGGATCGGAGTCATCGACGACGAGCGGAGCTGTGGCTGCCGCAGCTCCTGTGGCCGCGATCGATGCGGAATCCGGTCGCAGAGACAGCGTAGAAGCAGCTGTTGCTGCGCTAATTGGTGAACCTCTGGAGCCCGAAACCGTCGGAGAGTCAGCTTCGAAGCGCGCTACGCGAAAAACTTCCAGAGAAACAAAACGCGCCGATGAGCAGCAGCAACAGCATCTGCAGCCGCCGCCGCAGCAGCTGCAGCAAAAACAACAACAGCAGCCAGATTCATTACCTGCGGCAGTTTCTCAGCCGTCGACCAGGAGCAGCCGAAGTTTACGGTCGCGGGAGACTTCGACGGAGGCAGAAACTGTCGATATTGATAGTCTTCCGAAATCTGCTGGAGAAGTTGCTCCCGTAGAACAGAAACCCCCAATCGCCGTAGCACCTGAACCGACGATCCACGAAAAACGTGCCGCTCCCTCGACCCAGAAGTCGAACATCGAGCCAAGTCCCGCCGGAGGGAATCTTCCTAGCAAGTTGGAGCAGGTGATCGCTAAATGCGAAACGAGGCGAACATCCGCCCGGAAAAACTCCCTGGAGGTCAAGGAATCAAAAATAAGCGAGATTCTCAGCGCTGAACAACCAATCAAAAAGAACGCGATCGCAACAGAGCCCGTCGTCGACGTCGTCGCAACTGCATCGTGTTCCGTCAGCGGAGAGGCACCGAGTATCAGCGTCAAAGATGAAATACCGGAAACTCTCCAGGTGGCAGATCTCTGTGAAGAGAAAGCTATCAAACAGATGGCACTCGCTGTCGAGTCCGGCACCGACCCCCTCCCGGAGCCGAAAACCCTCGTTGAGGTGAACGATGTGGGCGACAAAGAGACGATCGCGTCGCGGAAGGGGGAGCTACTCGGCCAACCCGGAGAAACGACGCACAACAAGGCTACCGTCGTTGTAGCGCCGGAGAAAACTTCCATAGATCCGAACACAGCTCCGGAGAAGCGGAAGCAGAAGGACGAAGCCGACGAAGACCCCGACTCGTTGAAGATCGATGAGAACCACGACGATGAATTCGACGCTGAAGAGAGTCAGAGGCCCCTCGTCAGCGAACTCGATGGAGAATGCAGTAGTTTGCAGAAAGCGACTGCGGGAAAGCCCGCGGAGGACGAAGTGGTACCTCCGCCAAAGAAGGAGAATGAGACCTCGAAACCCTCGGAATCGAACATCGAAAACCATCAAGGAGCGGAACCTGACGAGCAGCACAAAGAAAATCGCGCAGCGGAGGGGGAACTATCCGAGACTGCAGCGGTAAGCCCTTTTCTTTTTGTTTCCTCACGGGTCGTACGTCCTGGCTCCCGTGAGGATTTCCGATCGTTCTCTGCGGATTCGAACACTGCGAGAACAGCACACTCATTGGGCCTCCTCTCTCGATTTCCGCAGATGAACAAAGTTTCGGATCTACTGGATGGTAACAAGGATATCGCTAGTGACATCGAAGAGGAGGTTTCGAGCAAACCACAACCCGAGCAGGATGATCTTTGGGAAGCCGTTTTTTGTGGCGATCAAGAAGGCAATCCAGCATCAGACTGGCCGGAAGGCAACAAGTGAGTGGATCTCTGTCTCTTTACCGCTGTTTGATCGAAGAGTTCGAGCCGGTTCCCAGCCCCGAGCTCGGAGGGAATATGAGAGAAAGACACGCTCAAACTCTGTCGCTGAATTTCAGTAACGAGGACCCGAGTTCGTCTTATCGCCAAAGTGAACTGTTGGATGACAGTGAAACAAGCATCAACGACACGCCTGGAATCAAGCTCCCTCATAAGTTCCAAGTGAGTGAGAAGATCCACGATAATTAGCGGAATATGTGGAGTAAGATATTATTTGAGGAATCGGAAAAAATCGGGGGTGATTTTCGCGATGGCCTCGTCCTCATCTGATGACTCTTGTTCCTCAGCCCAATGTTGAGAGTGCGGTGGCTTCGATCCTCGATCTGAACGACATCATGCGGCCGTCATCGAGTTTGTCTTCGCAAGGTGGACACAACGAAAATGACTCCGCGGTTATCGACAACGTACCGGATGCCGATAGCGCCGTGGCTGGGCTTCTGTCGGAGACGCCTTTCGACGACGACGGAGGTCACTCCGAACTTTGCATCGACGATGAGGTCGTCTCCGACGCCGTCCCGCTCGAGTTCGACGAAACGGAAGGCCCCGCCGAGGTGTTCGACCAGGAACCCAATCCATCTGAAATGGGCGAAGTTTTGCACGAAGAGAGCAGCACTTGCAAGGAAACTCCTGAGCGACGTATTAGCGAGGAAGTTCGTTCTGTTACCGGAGACGTTGTTGAGAGCGTGGCCACCACGAGTCTCCTCGTCGACGCCACAGAGCAGCAACAGCGAAAGAAAGCGGTATCTCCATGCGACACAGAACGGACATCTTCGGATCCGCGCGAAGACTCTTCAGTAAAGCCGGGGAAAAATCCTCCCGCGGATGCAACGACAGTGACTAGAAGTCCGCCCCAAGCAGCGATCGAGACGCCCCCTGAGGCCAAGAGCAGCGTCAATTTATCCGAAGAGAGTAGCTCGGAGAGCGACCTGGAAGATTTGGGGTCTAGCCGCAAGGCCCGGGTGAAGCAGCAGAGAGACAAATCAGCTGGATCATCCCTGCTGAAATCCACTGATAAAAAGATCGGGGACCGGAAGGCCCCGTCCAAAGGACCGTCCTCTGTTTCTTCGTCATCGTCCTCGGGTTCGTCGTCCGGCTCATCATCGTCGGGCTCTTCTTCTTCTTCTTCCGAAGACGACGATGATGAGGAGAACGATGTTAGCGAGAGGAAGACAGTGAAAGCTCGCAAATCGAGACCGAAATCGCTCGAAGATGCCGCAGACGATTCCAGAGCGCGATCATCGGCGAAGAAGAAGCAATCCGAGCATCAGATAGACCAGACGGTGCGGGACGTCAAGCGGAATGAGGGAGATACGAAGAAGTCCGAGACGACGAGTGACGGAGAATCGAGAAAGCAGCAACACGGGGCGGATCTCCGGAAACGATCGCAAGAAGGCGCGCGGCGGGAACAGCGAGAGAAATCGCCCAAGAAGGTGAAGGAGCAGCGAGCTGATGAGGCTGGAAAACTGCGCGAGGAGCAAGAAGCAGGAGCTGAAAAATCACGCGCAGAAGTCGACGCGAAGGCTGAGAAACTGCGTCGGCAACAGAATGACGACGCGGAACGCGTAACCGAAGAGAAACTGCGAAAAGAACGAGAGGCGGAGAAACGACGTTTACAACGAGAGGAAGAACAGAAAGAGCGGGGAAAGCAAGATAAACTTCAGAAGGAAGCCGAAGAAGAGGCGCGGAAGGCTGAAGAAGAAATAGTGCGGAAGGCCGAAGAAGAAAAGCGCGGAAGGCCGAAGAGAAAAGACGCGGAAGGCCGAAGAAGAGAGAGCGCGGAAGGCCGAAGAAGAGAAAGCGCGAAAGGCCGAAGAAGAAAAAGCGCGGAAGGCCGAAGAAGAAAAAGCGCGGAGGGCCGAAGCCGAAAGAGCGCGGAAGGCCGAAGCCGAAAGAGCGCGGAAGGCCGAAGCCGAAAGAGCGCGGAAGGCCGAAGCCGAAAGAGCGCGGAAGGCCGAAGAAGAAAAAGCCCGGCAACTCCGAGAAGAGGAAGAAGAGAGAGTGAGACTACAACTGAAAGCAGAGGAGGAAGCAGAGCTCCTGCGAAAGCAGCGGGAAGCGGAAGCGGAAAGACTGAGGCAGGAGGAGGAGCTGTTGAGGAAGCAAGAAGAAGAGGAGGCAGCGGCGGAGGAGCTGAGGAGAGTAGAGGCGGAGAAACTGCGCCGGCTTGAGGAGGAGACATTGCGCAAGCTAGAAGAAGAGAAACTTCGCGAACTAGAGGAGGAAAAATTACGGCTAGCAGAGGAAGAAAAGTTGCGACTACGGCGAGAAGAGACAGAGAGGCTGCGTATAGAAGAGGAGGAGAAGTTGAGGATTCAGCGAGAAGAAGCCGCTGCAGTGAAACTCCGGGAGGAAGAAGAGAAAGAAAGATTGCGGCAGCAGGAAGAGGAGAAATTGAGGATCCAGAAACAGGGAGAAGAACGGGGGAATCGACAAGAAGATGAAGCTCGAGCTCTGCGCGAGGAGCGAGAAGATAGAGCGGAGATCCGCGAGGGCCAAGAATCTAGAAATGAAGAAGCAGGAGGCCCGCAGATGCCACAGGCGGGAGTCTCCGCCCAAGAAACGCAGCAATCGCGAGACCCGCCTCCAGAGCAGAAGTCCGTGACGACAGAAGCTACAATACAGCCCCCACAAGCACACAAGACCCTTCCCGACGCAATAGCCCAGGTAAACGTTCCCGTTTCCGAGGAATCAGCCGCTTCCAAAGCTTCGACGTCGTTCGACGATGCTGAGGGAGGATCTCTGGGCCGAGGGCCGAGCGACACGAGTAGAGAGCGAGCGGCGGCTGGTGGCTCCACGATAGGATTGAAGAGTCAACAAAGGAAAAATCCTCTAGTCAGTTACGGCTTCGACAGCGACGACGACGAGGACGACGACGAGGAAGGTGACGACGAGAATGACGACGATACCGAAAATCGCGGTCACGCAGCTTCGAACGCGTCCGAAGCTGTGGCCAAAGACGACACCTTGAGAATTAACGACGGAGGGTCAAACGAAACGGGAGACTCATCGTCCCGCGCCAAGTCCGCCGATGGAGCACGCCAAGACGCAGCAGAGAGTTCTGGGGACTTCGTTGGGGTCGATGTTTCGGCAGCGAAGTCTTCTGACGATTCTGGGGGCGTCCAGGTTTCGTCGTCGCACACAACGAGCATCTTCACTCACTCGGTCGCAAGCCCCGGTCTGGCTACCGGAAATCCGAAAAAATTCGAAGTCACCTCGAGTAGCGACAACCCGACCGGAGTAAGTCGCTCCGCAGTGCCTGATGATCAAGCCGAGGCTCCAGGCCCCTCCGGGGACGAGACCGAGGTCGGGGCTCGCGAGAACGAGCTCTGCGACCAAGGACTCGTGGCGCAAAGCGCCTGTTCGCAGGCGACGAGTCAAGCGGAAACCGCGTCGAGCTCCGACGAAAGCGGTCGTCCGCTCGAAGTGGCTCCGGTCCGTCTCGGTTCGTTGTCGGCGGAGGGGGCGTCATCCTCCGCCGAGATGACATCGTCCTCCGACAGGGCGAAGCAACACTCTCAGGATGGCGCAACGTCGAGCTCGGATGGCCTTCATTCCGAGTCTTCGATGAGCGTCCGTCCACCGGATCAGGAAACCGACTCGAAAGCGTCATGCGTCGCATCGTCTTCGCCGTCCCAAGCGATCGAGCACCCATCGGAACAGCAGGACCAGCAGGCCGAGGACGCGTGTTCGAGCTCCGACAAGCTACCGGAGAACGACGATGATCCGCCCGTCGATACATCGTCGGGTGAGGAGCTTCGAACCGAGGTCCAGTCGTCGTCCGAAGTCAAACCGCTCGCGGAGAAGCCCACCGACGCTTCGTCCAGCTCCGACGAGAAACATTCGGCCGAATCGTATGCGGACTCGTCCTCGCCTCAGCATACGATGACGACGTCGAACATCGACGTTGGGAGCAGAAGCGTAGATGCGGAGGGAGCTCCATCGAGTTCTGACCAGCAGGGCACGGCGGACAGCAGAATCGAAGCGGAACCCGATGGCGTGGATCCAGTTCGAACGTCAGTGGAGGGTTCCGACGAGGCGAGTTCCCCCGACGAGGGCGGTGGCGGCGAGAACGACGACGACAATTCCGTCGACGCGAGCGACGATCCGACTCGGCCCAAATGCTGCTCGAGTAGTAGCGTTCCGACCGAACGAGGCTCAGCCTCTGCTGAAGAATTCGAGAGCGGAAGACCGCGTTGCGAAAGCACGAGCGAAACGAGCCGGATCGCCCGGATCGCCGTCGACGACGACGACGACTTCGAGGACAATTCTCAGCCGGAACTTCCGGGAGCCTGCACCAGTAGTCACAGCCAGCAACATTCGAGTCAGCATGCTGCATCCGAGCAAGCCGACCATCCATCGAATGCCGCTGACGAAGACAAAGACATATCGAGCAGCAACAACAATCACAATAACAGCCACGACAACAGCAACAACAACAACAACGACGACGACAGGAGCAACAGCAACAAGGACAGCAAGAACAACGACGGTAGCAACAACAATCTGATCGGCGAGAGCACCAGCAGCCGCACGAACAATCAGGCGACCTCGGAAGCTTCCTCTGCCGAAGTCGATGCCGCTACGGCGGAGAGCTCCTTGTCGAAGGCCGCCGAGGACAAGACTTCCATTTCGAGCTCCGACGCTCAACCATCCCAAAGACCGGCGGACTTTAGTTTAGACGAGTCCTCTGGCATGGCACAAAGTTCTGACGAGTCGCGAGCTCAGATGATGGCGTCGCCGTTGCAAGTCCCCGACGGCAACGAGGTATCGGCCAGCTCGTCGTCGTCGTCCTCGTTGACATCGACCGTGACTGGCGAGAACCAAGTCAACACCTCCGGTGGGAAGGACTCTCCAGCCCCGACGCCGAGTAGCAGCAGCTGCAAACCCGACCTGAAGTCTTCTCTGACGTCTTCGATGGAAGACGCGTCTTCCGAGGCGATACCAATGGGCGTCGATAGCTTGAAAGACGAGGATGCCTGTCGGGACGAAACCGCCGTAGCCGAAGAGAACGCCGACAGCAGTCGTGAAGACGAGAACCCGAGCTCGAGTTCCCCGTCCGAGATGAGCGGCAACAAGGGGAGCAAGGAGCCCAAGTAGAATTATTCCTGTAGACAGAGGATTTTTCATTTTTGGTTTGTTCGACGATCCGCGGCGCTTTTCCGATTCACGCCTTGGTGGGGAGACATCACGGAACTCCCTCTCGAGCCGGACAGACGTAGGGAGGGGGGTCGTTCGCTTTCGCATCGCGTTTCGACCTCTCCAGTCCCGTCGCGGATGGGTATTCATTATCATCACTATGGCTCCACCGTCGATTCACTATAATTTTTAATCCGGATTATCACATATTATTTCAATATGCTTCATTACACAGTATGCCGGTTACTACTTCAAGAGTACATAAGGATGTGTATAATAATCGTCATGATCGGGAAGGGCTTATCGTTCCCTCTCGGGAGACGGCCAAGTGCAACTGCATGCGCTGATAGTTGATAGGTTAAAATACATGACGTCAACCCCTCTCGTCGGTCGTGAATGACCGCCGATGAAATAATTTCCGACTACAAGACTAAGTAGTAGCCCTTCTCTCGTTCATATGGTATCATACTCGATGTTAGCGAACGTTTCGCGACGTGTCAACCCTGCGCTCGCTCGAGGTGGATACTCGTTGCGGGAAGGACACGATAGTTACCGTACGGCGAGACCAAGCGGACGCGGCGACTCCGGTCCAGACAACGTTTGCGTTTACAGCATGGTTCGGCACCCATCGGAGGTTTATCTGTTGGGTGCTTTTGTACACTTTGTAGATAGTAGGTGAGACATCGAATTTATCGAACACGGGAAGACAAGAAACGTATGCAGGAAGTATGAACTCCGAGACTAGAAAATACGACGCGAAAACTCTACCTCGAGTTCTTCGAACACGGTACGCCCTCGTCCTCGCAACTCGCTACTCAATGAATGAATCCGCATCGATAGCGAGGCACAACACGTTGGAAAAGCAACTAGGAACAATATATGAAAGTATTCGCAAAAAATCGTCCGACTCATACCACTGAGTTCTATCCGTGAGCCCGGCTCTCAGCGGAGCGTTGAAGATGAGTCTTGATATCGAATCGGGGAGTGTCAACCGGAATCAAGCTACCTATCGATTTCCGATAAGCGTATTTTCGCGTTTCGTGCCTGTTCGTGCTTAAACTACAACCCACATAACTGTAACGTAACTGAGTGTTATTCACTTGAGAAACTATAACGTTCGACCTAATATAAACATGCTTAACCCCACGACTTGGAAATAAATCTATAAATATATATATATATATACATGATGCGAATATATAAAGAATGCAAGAGTGCGTGAATTTTTAGATATATACTAGCGGGAGAAAACAACAACAGTTTTTGTCATCGTGGTTTCATCGAGTCGCCAGTCAAAGACAGTCAAACCTGTAAGCGTACATCGGGAACCCTGAATTCCTGTCGTAAATGATAGTCGCAAATGTAAAAACAAATTATTATTGTCGACGATTCCTGTACAAATTGGCTTGATACATCAACCATTGTTTCAACCAACTTCTCGGATGTGTTTGTGTGGCCTGCTACGGTCGGACTTTGAGGAGAAGAATAATAAGCGAATTCGATAAATCCTGAGTCTTTTTTTATTCTTGAAGGTAGGGCTTTGTGGGAGTGGGTCAGTTCGGAGAAGCTTCCTCTGAAAACTCTCGGAACCACGGCTGCAGAAAGAATCTCCTCGACATTAGAGTAGCACAGTCATTCTTTATTCAGAGCTAATACTTCTTGACTCGACTCTCAAATTCAATTAATTGTACTCGTAGCGGCGTTAAACATAAGCCTTCGCAGAATATTGCCACATTCCAATCCTGACTCAAGAGATGGATGCAAGGCCTAATCAACTACAACCTGGAAAATTTGTTCAACAAGTAACGTCCAACAAGTAATGGAGTGGCAAGCTCTTCCTTCGTCCTCTAAGCCTCCCGAAGTCGTGTCTCCGACACTCACAATCTCTCAGAAATCGATTGCTTCATCGGCATTGTTCAAAAGTTTTCTAAGCAAGACTTTCTTTACACCTAAGACTCGTATTCGTCACAAAAATCAACAATGAAATGCCACTCGTCATCACGATGCTCGTGAGACTGCGCGAATTCAGCTGGCAGTCCAGCCTGCATAAGGCCGCAGATCGGCTCAACATATCCCGGCAGTTTGTTCTATCATCGAATGATCATATGGAGGAGTCGACGCGGAAAGAACGACGGGTTGATGAAATGCTCCCTCACTCCGAGGAGATGATTCGAGCTCCGAAATGGACATCTCTGCCGGAGTTCCTCTTTTTTTGCATGAGAAAGCCCGCTTGTCCATCATTGGATGAGGTCCATCGCGCAGAAGAAATGCAATATTCTCTCTATTGCTTGGTGGTGAATATTTCATTCTTTGATTCATTACCGAAAATGCTGCCTGCCCGACGTACGTCGCGAGCTACGATTTTTGACGCAAGCTTACACAGGGCTGCCGGCGCCGTTGTAAATAATGTTGAGCTCTATTATTTTGGGTACATTCTCTTGACTCTGTGATCACATATACAAGCACTCAGCGAATCCCATCCCTCCGAGGTATGTTGTACCAACGTTCGACGGAACTACTCATGAAATTAAATTTTTCAACGCTCGAATTCCTTAGATTCCGATACGATCGCGGTAGAAAAACGCAAACAAATGAATCAAACCAACTCAAAGACGTCCTCGCTTTATTACAAATCATCGAACCTTAAATTATAAAACGGCCGAGTGCAAAAAAATACCAGAAGTTTGCGAAATCATCTTCCCTCCTATGCTCCTCGAACATGATCGTACATGCTTCCGTTGCTTCGATGTTCGATAATGAAAAGAGAAATCAAGCTCTGAATTTTTCCGTCGTGATTGTTTGGAAGACTCTACCCGGCAATAATGGGACATAAACTTCTAGACTTTCCCAAACTCCAGGAGATTTTCGGCTATACGCCTCGTACGCTATACGCCTTCCATGTACGCATCGCTCTGGCATAAATAACAGTGGTTTAATTCTCTATAGGCGGTCTTCAAAGTTCGCTCATAAGCAAACAAATCATTCCTTCGATTCGTCTCTAATTGTACTACAGAGGTCTTCGTCGTGATCGTCAACAATTAAAATATCTCGTATGTTGTACTCGGAATTCACCGTACCATCGATCCGAAAGTCCACGGCTCCTCCCTCTCGAAAGAACGGAAAGCCCGAAAACCAATGGCTTGACTCTCGCTTCCGTTCAAGCTTGACCGCTTTCAAGAGGGGATCGCTTCGTTTTGCATCGATGGAACAGGAGGGCAGGGCCATTAGTTCCTCTTGTATGAATGCACTGCAGTTCCTAGCCCTGAATCAGCCTAATGCCGCCTCGCGTTAACAACTCTTCGTAGTACGACCGTTGTCAAATTCCCGAAAAGCATCTTCTCGCAGTTCTTCTCCGACCGTGTAGAGGTCACGGAGGATTTCGTGGTATTCAGTGCGTTTATCAGATTGTATTCCCCGGGTACTCCGGGTCTGGCTTTTCGCCCCCCAAGGATAAGGAAAAATCAAGTTCCTTCTCCCTGAGAAGCGTCACAGAAGCAGAAACCGGACGAAGGAGCCATTTCGAGCCGTTTCGATTAGACGGAGGATTCGATTTAGGTTTGGGCCGTTACCATCTCGACCCATCGCCGTAAGTGTGCGTGCTTCGTTCCGTGGAAGCGATTACGTTCCCTGCCTCCCATAAATGCATGACGTCTCCCTCCGTCGAGGTTTTCGATGGATAATGATCGAGTTGCTCTTTAGTTAGCGCTATTGGTCTTTCCGTTTGGGATCTAGATGGTCGTTCTTTTTGAAAGTTTCGTCTGATGACAATGAAAGCGCCTCTCACGATAACTATGGGGAGGACGGAAATCCTTCTCATACAAATGTCGAGACTCGGAGCTCCATCGATCCCATCAAGCAGGGATCGGGAATGCTTACTCATCCCTTGCTGTATTGCGGGGACTCTGCTTTTGAAAGACTAAGATTTTTCCTAGCGGTATACCTCTACTCTTTGGTTGTGTAGTATCGTAGGTTTTTGAAAAACTATACCTCGGTATAGGTGGACTGAGAGTGGCGTTCCCCAGAATGGAACATCGTCACCGGAAACGAATACCGACTATGATCGATTGAACTCCGCAACCAAAAAGTAGACAACAATGGAGACATTTTGTAAAAAGTATTGCACTCTGAAGTTGTTGCTGCTATGCGGAAGCTGGGACCGCTGTCGCGTCCCCTGCTGTCGAGGCTCCGCATGACTTGATTTCCGAGCTATTCCATGCTCCCAGCCTCAAGCCGGAGTTCGAGCCTCGGAAGTAGCCCTCAAATGGAGGTTTTCATCACGCTCCGCTCCCGGCGGTGAAGAAGCATAAATATCATTCTGGCTCCCAGGTGGTTCCAGTGCTTTCTGTTTTTTGTGTGCTCGTGTCAAGGTAATATCTTCTCCAGCTCCATCCGATTAACAGTGGAAACAGTCAGATAGATCTATGAAAAAAAAAAGTTTGTGTGTGCCGGTGTGAGGTATTGTTCGCTGATTTGAACGAGGTATTCTCTTTCGGATTAGTTCGGAGGTGTATCACACCCCGAACACCGTATCACACGTCCTTCAAGGGGTTGGCAGTCGCGGTAGTTTTCTTGAACGGTTCCGTCGAGGGGTCCGAGCTCGCATTCGCCCTCGCAGTAATTGAGCATCGAGCGGAATTTATCCAACTGAGGAATCAAGTAGTCCGAATGATTATTCCGTATATATATTTCGAGCTCCGCAAAGTTTCTCGTGAGACTCCACCGTTATTAAACCATGATATATGGAATCTGACCTGTGCTTTTGAGAGTTCTATGCATTCCCGCATTAGGATCCAAGTGACGCTTTCATAACAAGGTGGAGTTGTGAGGGAACCTTCGTACGTGAAGTAGTTTCCTGGTTGGTCTGAGAGGCGAATGGAGCAGTCTGAGATTTGGCTCGCTCTGAGCAAGAAGGATCGTCGAGATCAATTCGGAGAAACCGAGGGCTATCCTACGATACTCACGAGGGTAGAACGCTCGAAGGTTAAAAGGACCGACATCCGTAACGCTGCTTCCTTTGTGCTTGATTTTATCGATCAGAGAACAGATCTTCTCGAATTCAGGGTGTTCGTCCCCTTCCTGCAGAATTTTCATCTCGTGATTAGTTTGTTTCTCGATCACCAACGATGTCAAACAATAGTGAGCGGTGACTCGGCCTGCATTCCGCCACAGCCTCATTGGCGTCCACTCACCTTCAGGAGGATTCCGACGACGGCGAGCCCGTTTTCACCGCTCATCGCTTTGGCGGGCTCATCGTAGAGATCGATGTTGTAATGCACGAGGTGGAGTTCCCCCGCTGTGCAAGTACCTGCGGTGAGAGCATATTGAGCATGGCTTTCAATCGGCAATAATGGATCTCGGAGAGTTTCCGAGCAAGAGAGCGAAGGGAAATCTCACCATCGATTGTGTGTTCGGATCCAGAACAGCAGGACGGTCCCCAATGCGCGTGGAATTGAACTAATTTGTACCGGTGGTTCAGAGGACCGCCTTCAAGGTCTGAAAAAGCGAGCGCTATAATGTCACGCGCCGGGACAGGACGACTCACTCAGTCGAATATTTTGTTGTTCCCATAAATCGATGGCCTGGAAAAGTTTCCGACAATCATACTCACTATGGCTTGGGCTGTTGACATCGACTCTCCACCCGAAACCTCCGTTCGTGAGCTGCGTGGCTGCTACATCCTGGCAAGAGGAAATTCGCTTGAGCCATGCGATTGCCCCGACCCTTCATTCGTTATTCTTGAGACTCTGGCCAGGACACCCACGAGTTCAAGGAAAATGATAGTGGGGGATGACACGGGATCGGAGCTCAGATCTCACCTCGTATTGATATTTCAAGGGTTTCGAAAGCAGCATGGGATCCCTGACCGCCTGCGAGCTGACGATGTTAACTGGACTTTGTCGATGCCCCAGTGCCAAGGGAAAGTCTTTGCCCCAGTGTTTCGGGCCTGAAATCAAGCACAGCATTAGGACACAACTCGTTTCATGGGAGGACGCGAGTGAAGAATCAGGGATCTATCAGCTCCCTCCGAGACCTCGTTGCCGACAGTTTTTTTACCCGCCGTCTATGGGGTCGTATGCGGGAATCCTCATCGTAGGAGAAGCGAACTTGTATACGAATAGTCTGTAGAAGCGAGGAGGAAAGAAATTTAAGACGGCGGTCTCCTCCATGACGATGTGACAGTGGACTTGCAGCTCATACCCACTGGGATGAGGAGAGACGGTTCTGACAGCTTTCGTTCCTGCTCTTGACAGCGCAACTGACAAGGGAGGATAATATTTCCGATCTCGGAGTCCCACACGGTGGTATGATCTGACCCGGAGACCTACTCTATACGAGGTATATTTCCCAATAGGAATCGTTCCCGTGAACGCTTCCCCATGAGAAAAAGGTTTCCGAGATCCGATTTGATCATGTTCTGATTCTCCACCTTGAGGTTCAGCTCCAGAGATATTATTTTCCCAAAGAGCTCCGGCTCGGAATACAGGGATGCAACAAGTCAGAATGGGCCCACAAGCACGTAGGATGACGGAATTCCCTGCGAGAACGTGTTCATCGCCCTGTCGACGCGGACGCATCGCACAAGTTGTGGGACGGGGAGTAAATGGGGTGCTAAGTGGTTCTCGAGCGAGAGCTCGACACACCGAGCGAATACATACGTCTGGAATACGCTGGTGTGATTCTGTTGCGTGGCTCGCGACGGAAAAACCCGTAACTTTTCACGTGAGGAACCTCTTCGTCGAGAGTTGAAGTAAGGGAATTTACTTCTCCGTAAAACCCAGCTCGGTTTGCACTGGCAACCGTACGCGACGGATGTGGACGGGTCGAATTCCTATGCTCGATCACCTTGACGCAAGCCGAACCCATCGTCGGTATCGGTGTTATAGAAACTCCTGAGCCGCGAGCATCGGCTCGACCGGATGAACAAATGCGTGCATTACTTCGCGTCCGATATACACTCACTCTACGCGATGGGAAAGCGTTCATTGTCATGCAAGCGAGCCGGTTGAGCTCAGTCAGTCAGACGGTCCGCTCGGATTTTCTATTGAAGCCGCGTTTCTGTCGGACCCGCAGTCCGATCGAAACGTCATTGTGTTTGATTTCTACGCCATAGAGGACAAGCGAACGTCGAAGGATCTATTCCGAGTCGCTCGGTCTCCGTATCACGGAAACTTCCCGAGGAAGGTTTCTGCTTTCGATCCCTCAACCACGAAAGTTCCCCATGGGTAAAGTCGCCTTGTCATCGAAGGGTGTACGTATTGCGTGATGCAACTGTGTTGTAGCGAGAGATATGCCGGTATCTAATCGTTCGGTATCGCGACGAAGGATGTCGCGAGATGACTCGCAAAAAATGCAAACGACTCCCCAGTCAGTTGCCAAGGCAGCTGATCGCGCGAGGGAAAATGAGACTATACAACAATCTGCTCCATCAGTCTAATAAATAGTTGTGATATGGGAAGGGATAGAAGAAGACTCCATTGGCTGCATACTGATATTATCTGCCGAAAACCTCGAGGGAACAATTAGCAACTGAGTACACTTGGAAATCCTGGGTCGACTGGTCGAAGGAGTCAGCTATCTCCGTTTCTCATGCGGACCGGTCGGATTCGTCGGAATCCGCCTTTAGAACTTCAAGAAGATCATCCGCTCAAATGCCGCGATTCAGGGCCCGCCGATCTCTCCAAATATCCAGACGGGGCCCCTCTGTTCAGGCGTGAAGTCGATCTCAACAACGAATAGCTGCTGAGGAATCTCCGACTCGAGTCGTCAGCGAAAACATGTGGCGCCATCTTGCGAATGAGTCAAACTCCCTCGCAGAGCTCTCAATGTTGACATCAATAGTGGTCGAAGATGAGCAGCCCCAGATTACTACAGATGATGTCTGTCCGAGCGTGGGGCAAAGTCTTGTGACTTTCTAGAGTTCCTCCCTTCGAAATCCAGAGTCATTCAAGTACTTCTGGCGGAGCCTTCATTACGGGGCATCCACTGGAGCCCCACCGTAATTGTTCTGAGATTGAACTTGATCTCAGAGGTGCAATGGGATGTTCAAACTAGGTGAGCTTGCTGGAGTCCAAACCTCTAGACGGCGCCTGTGTCAAAGGGATACTCTCCCCATCCTGAGTCTCCTCTGCAAAAGCCACGAGATCCCGAGCTTTGTTCCACAGCCATTGGATTGTCTGAGTGCACATAAACATGTTCAGAGTCGATTCATCGAAAGCGATCAAGCGAACGACTGAAGCTCACACAGGATTGCTTCGGATTATCCCATGCGGAAAGCCGAAAATCGTCCGGTTCTTCCCGTCCGCAGAGCTTCCCCTCATCGGCCACCATGACATCCTTGTCGGAAACACTGAGGAAGCTCCTCGTGGCTTAGGACGAATTTCAGAGAACTGATGTCCTGAGAGAACCGAAAACTCGAGTGAGAACGGGACTCCCTGAACCTTGAACCATCCTCGACGACGGAGTCCTCGAAACAGTGGCTATGTTTAGGCCCGTAATCGATATATTCGACTAATTTATTACTGGGAGCCAGGGGTCAACGTATGAGAGCGGCTCCTTCGACTGAATCTCGCGGAATTCGACGGGACCCGGTTGTGTCGTCTCCGGGCGTCGAGCGGGCTCCCGTGAACCTCCGAATGATCCCCCGCGAGCCGCTGCTAGGACCAGCAGAGAGGTCGTGCGCACGGACGGTCAGGCGAAAATGAAGGGATACCGTTATCGATGCCTGTTCCTGGACCCTACTATTCCAGCCGAGTTCTTCGCCGAAAGAACGGTCTTCAGATTCCCCCTTCGCCTCCCTCCCACGTCGTCTAAAAACATACTAGTGTTTTCGAGGGACTCTACAGTCGACTCGACCTATTTTCGATGGCCAATGGTCGTGAATAGCTCCGCATGATATGGTAGGGGTGGAACCCGCAGACCTGTCGATTGCCACTTTTAGAACTGCAAGTCCAATCTGGGTCCGGCTCCCTACGGCCCGAGCTCCTCGCTGATCGTCCTCTGTATGGGGAACAAGGTTCCCGAGTTCCCATCCTCGATTCTTTCATCCCCTATCCGTGGATATTCCATCGGAAGATTCCACTTATTATGCATCATGACTCTAGACAGACCATAAGACGACCCAATTAATACCTCCAAATGACTGATATTCGATCTGATAAATTCCTGTCTCGATTTCTCGTAAACATCGCGCTCGAGATCACTCTGCTGGGGCAGTGTCCGATTTCCGTTCACTCATGGCCTTCTTACTACGAGCGAAGATGTGTTTCCCCTTGACGTCGCAGCTACGTAGCATATCTTAACAGATCAGTTTGGAATGAGCGTGCGGAATTCCTTGACCTGCGGCGTCGCGCGTAGACTGAGACGCAGGATGTGAGCGATGCGAACTCTCAAGAGCAGGTATGCCGGACTTGGAAAAACGCTAAAGCGGGCAGAAAACAGAAGAGCAAAGAAATTCACAGGGCCCGCGTCAGCTTGGTCTTTGTCTTCCGCCAAAGGCATGGTCCTCACCCGATTGTTTCGAAAACCTCTGCGATCGATATCGAGACCCCTGCCAGCGTATTTACGAGGACGCACTCACGCGAAAACAAATCGACAGCTCGTCGAGTTAGCGAGCGAACCACGAGCAACAGGAAAACCGAGGGAACTCTCGAAGATAAACCGCGGCTTGTTCGTGCCTCCGGACATTGTTCTGAACGTTCAGGGACCCACCTTCTTCGTCGATCACGACTCGCTTGAATATGGACATCGCTTTCCCATCTCGACCAACCACCGCCGGCATCAATCTTCTTAAAGCTGTATTGACCAACATAACTATTTAGTTCAGTATCACAGTGGATGAAGTAGGTTCCGTTGAACTTCGTGGCTGGACGCTTCAGTCAGTCATATCCCGCGTAAGTTCACTCCTGAACGACCACCCAGAGCACGACGAAAGCCTTATCATCTGCTAACGGGTCCGGATGGGAACTCAGGTCGAGGTCGATTTCGGAAACTTAATCCTGATGGTTCTCCTTCCGGTGCGCGGAGGGGAGCGTAACCGAATGCGGAACTGAGCGAGTCTCTCGCTGATGGGTCTTCCTGGGCCGCTCGATCTCAGTACGAGGATTGACTTAAACTCTCCAGACATGCCTCGAGATCATTTCTGTCATTCCTTCAGTTCTAACCGCGGTTTTTCCGGCGCGGTGAGGGAGAGCCCTTCCCCTCTCGAGATTGCTACCGTATTGCAGTTTTCTCGGGCATTGATAGCGATTCTCTCCTGTCTGGAATGATTCGGTATCGTTTTCCCCTCGGACCCCTCCTTTCATTCATTTCTCTCTTAGGATGATTCAGCGCGAAGAGAGACCTTGTACATGATATCCGCTCGTACGTCGCGACGGTTTCCTACGCCGAGGCGCCCTCGGTGGTCGTCTCGAGAAGCGAAAGCCTTCGGCGTGTCAGACGGCTTGACAACCCGGCTCCGGTATGAATTTGCCATCTGAGCTACCTTTGTGTTTCCCCAGAACGGAATTCAGATCGTGATTTTTTTCGAGTTGAGCGAACGCAATAATTTCGAGTCCACCACAATAACACGATAATCGAATCTAGTTATGGGTCGACGTGCGATGAAATACGCAGGGCAGAAAGCGTCGCCAATGCTCCCAAGTTTGCCCATTTTCATATACCGTGTCGATAACGATTCGCTGTAGGGCTCGCTATATCTAAGCTCGTGGAGGCGATGCTTGGACACCTCATTTTCCAAGTGATCGCTCCAGCGATTGCTGACTTCGAAGGTGAGGACGACTACGCTTGCAAGCATCACTTCTGTTCAGACAGTCCCAGAGGAGAGCGTTCCCTCATCTCTTGCACTTGTTTCCAGAATAGCAGCGATACGCTCCCGATCGTGGCGATAATGGTGATCAGCCGCTGCGAGATAAATTGCTGAACGAGGCCCTCGGTTCAACGGAGGCG